ACTGGGTTGTTTTATCTGGTTTGTTGATTCTACTCATCCAACCGTTGGTCGGTTAGATGTATAAAAAATGTGTTTTTTATATTGTTTTTTGGTTTGACATACTTTGGAATGAAACCGAACCTGAACATTGGACCTTCTCTATGGCTATATATATCCCTCTCTTCACACTCATCAACCCATCCAACTAACGAAATCCCCTCTCAACCTACATAACATTCTTCCTTCCTTAAACTTGTAGCCTTTTGTGTGTCATTATCCTTAAAATCCTCACTAGAGTTCTCATTTGTCAGAAATATATGGCGACTATTATCCTCATACGCAGTAGTTTTGGCAAAAACGTGTTGACATTATCACCTCAAAATAGAAGGTTAGGTTGAATTGCTAGCTAGGGTTTGTTGTTTGTCAATTCTAGTTGAATGAAATGCTAGCCAAACTGGCTGACAAAACATAATGCCGAATGCCTACCCATATTTTGGACATTACTTAGACGATGAGATGAGTGCACCTTTGGGAAGAACCCCCTTTGCCAAAATCCATCCATCCATTTATGGGCGTTTGCGTATGCAAACATACACATAAAGACATAATTGCTTTCCTTGCTTATACCAACAATCGAATTCATTCTTTCGTGTTTGTTTGTTTGTTTATCGATTTCGTCTTCTTCGTTGGTATGTGAGTCGAGGTGAAAGTAATGATCAGATAATTAGATTTTGTAGGTAAAATGCATTTTTTATTGTTTATTTCATTTAGAAGAACACGAAAATCAGTTTTGCGTAGCATATATAGATACATGTCATTGGTTTTTACAAGGGTGAAAGGTTTTTTTTTTCAAAATAATACATTCCAAGGGTGAATTCGAAAGGATTCTTACAAAGAGATATCGAATAAGTAGATATCATTTTGTATCACTCAAACGTGTGAAGAGAAGTGAAATGATTTCGCTTTAATGAGATAACCATGGAAGAGACGGATCGTGTCAACTAACGTAATGTGGAGTGCCTCTATGTCAGTTAGTATTTTTCTCCCACTCTACGATGTTCTCTTTTTTGTTATAGAAATTATCAAATTAAACTCATTAAAGCGACATATTATTGATACTTGTACAATTATAATACAAAACTACGCATCTCGTGTACAATACAGTCACCCAACCTATCCTTGTGTCATGTACATCAACGATTCAACGTCATTAAACTTCCATTCTTGACCGCGCTCTAACACGTGTCTGCACTGTATCTCCTTCCAGGACAACTATACTCTACACACATCAATATATAAGTAAGACAAATACTTTCGTTAAGAAGATAAAAATGTTCCAATGCACAACCTCTAGTATCATAGAAGTTACATAAAATCGTGTGTCCACATCAGTGGCGGAGCTACTTGGAGAGGAGGGGTGCTTGCACCCCCCTTGGATTTGGTAAAAAGTTCCCCGAGTAGGGGTATATACGATTCAAACTAGTGACCATTCAATAATGAGAGTTCCTTACCATCTCAACCGAGTGATTTTTGTTATACAATGCACTTTTGTATTTATCTATAGTAATAAATGGTTGTCTTTTGTTTTAATTTGCTCATTTCCTTTGCAGCTCTACCAGAGAGGAATCTTTTGTCTTTTGTTTAAACAAAGCTGAAAGTGAAGAAGTACCAATTGAAGTTCACTTGTTTGTTTCACAAATCAATTCCAAGGTACTTCTGAGTTCTAATTTGTAATATTTGATGAATGGAAGTCTTGACTTGTATGTACTGAACTTATTTGTTTGACGTTGTAATCGGTGTACATGAAACTATTTTTATGTAATTGTATGAATTTAGAGTATGGCGTGATAGAAAACAACTTTCGTTCGGTTTTTATAATAATCGTATTAGGATAATTGTTAGGGTTTTCTCGCTCTTTTCCTATATATATGTATGTCATTATTCATCTATTCAATCAATAAGAAGAATATTAATAAAACTCTCCTAATTCCTAATCTCTCAATCCTCACAATTCTTTATCTTAATCCCTCTAAAAGTCTAGGTCGATTCTCTATCTTCTTCCCCAAATTCTTATCTAAATCCCTAAATCGCCATCAATTCCCAATTTTCCAACCCAATCGATAGAATCCTAGAAATAGGTTTCTATCATTGCGTTGTTGACTTTTTGTTTCATTTAGAGTTGACTTTTCTATTATATAAACGATTTCTTATAATATGATAACGACACCCCTTTGACCAATTTTCTAACTTATGGTCCACATCCACCATGGAAATAGTTTAAAAACTTAGGGGTCGTTTGCTTCTAGGATTTTAGAAAATGAGGGATTATGATAAAACCTTGGATTTTGAATATGAGAGATTATGTTGGATTTTGATTATGTTGGATTTTGAAACTTCCATGTTTGTTTGTAGGATTTGGTAATGGCTTTTAGTAGGTTGGAATTATGGCTTGATGGGGGAAATTACTTTCTTATCCTTAATGAACCACTTTTTACTTTACTTGTATTTTGAATGTTTTTGTATATACATGAAGAATTAGCATATGTAAAAATGGTAGCAACATCCATACTATTTGGTCATATTGTATACACGCAAGAAGCCATTAAAGTAAATTGAAACTCTCAACCCAAACCAATAATGTCGAAAGGAAAATCAATGGTTTGGATTGGATTATAAAAAAAGAGGATGTAAGCATGAAATAATTAATTGTTGAGCTTCATATAAAAGGAAGACAAAACGACGATAGGCAGAGATGGAAAAGGTTGCCGGAGCTTTTTGCTGTGTTGCAATCCTTTGGCAACGAAGAGACAAAGTTGGTGAGATGAGAGTGTAGACAAAAGTCCTCAGTAGAGATAATAATAACCGAGGGCAAAATTGGATTACACAAAATGAGTGGGGGTAACACGGTCATTAAACATCATGGATTATATCTATCTTCCAAAATCCTAGCTATAGAGGTAAGATTTTATAATCCATGGGGCCCACGGATTTTAGCTCCAAATAATCCAATATTAGTGGACCCCACAGATTGAAACAAAATCCATTATATACTAACAAACATGAATTCATTATAAAGTCCAACATATGTTGGATTTTGCCAAAATACCAAAAGCAAACGACCTCTTAGAACCCTATTGATTTCGGTCTTTGCAGCCATGCGAAGGAATCTTGGAGTGACTGGGGAGCGAGCAAGGAGGAGAAGAAGAAGAAGGAATGAAAGGAAGGAAGGAAAGTTCCAGGAAGACGCAGCAGTGGTGGGGCCCGCCCCGACGCGGAAACTGAGGGATCCTCATCATGGCATCATTCATTTAATTTCCCTCTCCCTTCTACGATCCCATACCAAAATAATAATTACACAAAAGCACCTACACTTTCTATTCATTCCAATACAACTCCTAATGTTGTGAATCCCTTTCTCTACTCTTTTTCAACTTCATTAGAAGATAACTCGCTCAAGATTAGCAGCTGGTTAGAATATCTAACCCATATGATAATACTAATAAGACATGTAACTCTTACAAATTACATAATAATACTCATACTTTTACTCTATACTCATACATTAATATTCTCCTCAAATTGATGATAATCATTTATCGAAAATTCAAGTTGCCGTGAGGTGCCTCGACTTTAGGGGATTGGGATTTTTCCGACTAAAACAAATCATGAGATATTTCCTAATTTGTATCATGGATGACCTTCTCTTCATTTCAATCCTTGGAGTCGTTAATTAGCTCGGGTTTTTATACGACACTATGTGTGTTGGTGCTACACTGAGATCGACCAACAACGTAGTCATGCCGCATTAATAAAACACTTACCGACCAACATGAATCTATTGACACTATTGCTCTTCATTTACAATGGGTTGAGGACAATTCTTACTGTACTTCACTTTCCTCTATAAAAAAATTTACAAAACTTAATCATCGGATTATCCATGGCCATATGTGGATTCTTGTCTCCTTATTTCATGGGTAGTGAAGCGATTCATTGATCCAAATAGAGCAAAAAAGTTTGATGAAATCTTTAATTTGTTATAAGGTGTGATCTCATTAACCAAATTTTCTACCATCCTAACCAGTTGTCTAAAACAATGTACTAGCCAAGATCGTCTTTTCCATGATTGTAATTTGTAACACAGAAAAAGTGGATGTCAAACCTAAACGTGCTTACGAGCTCAACCTATACCTAATATGATTCTAAATTTTGAGTGCATTATGGATCGACTTACAACTAATAATCAAGTAGAGATCAACATCACACAGAAAACACACATGAAATGAAACCCTAACAAAACCTGGAACTTAGCTAATCAATATGCATGGCTGGATGGCTGGCTAGATGACGATCGATATCTCATTGAAAGAAGAAATTTCTGGATTGTCACCATTAGAGAAGGCGACGACTATGCTCGCTCAAGTTTTATAGTTATATATATGAATAGTTTGTGTGATGGCAGATGACGGCTTGGTTGAAATGGTTCGGGTGGACAAAAGGAAAAAAGGATTTGGAAACTCATTGGATTCATATGACCATCCAAAAGACTATTACTAATGCCACATGACTGAACAAATCTAAGGCTTTAGATGAAAAATGTAATCTTAAGAGTCCAAAACACACTCCAAACCCTAGAAAATAATCAATAATCGTGTATCAATGTGTCATCTGAAATTTGAGAGTCTAAAAATATGTGTATTCTTAAAATATATGCATTGAAAGTACAGTGATCGTAAGAAATGGTATTTGTGATTCTCACTTAAAAAAAAACTTTATGGCCAAAAGGACTTATATAAGTTTGAAGTTGTTATTATATATTCATTAAAGGAAGGTATAGGTGAAATATGTAAAAAAAAGTATAATAGTGACAAGAGTGAGAAAAAAATCATCTAAAAATGTAAAGAAAAAGAATCTCATCATTTTGTAGAGATTCTAAAATGAATAATTCTGGTCATTCAAGATTCTAAAAGCTCATTTAATTTAAAGTATAAATTTAAAAATAAAATAACTCAAATGAAACTTGTTAGATTTTTATATTAAATAATATTATTTTCTATTTTAATAAAGGGATATAAATAAATAAAAATATGTTTCCTCGAAAGGATATTAAAGAATGATAATATTTTATTAATTTTTTTTAGCACCTCTCAACTCATACAACTATCGTAGAATGATTACAAAGAAAAGCTATGTCTAGTATCTACTATAATAAACTACTATCTGCATTTGCCCCTGTCGAGGCTATTTCGCAACTCTAGAACTTTCCCAACTCTAAACCATATGATACGTTTCAACTCAGCTCATATAAAATGAGGAGGCTTTGATGCATTACTTCCATATAAGCAGGAACAACGCTCTCTCCATACAAGGCTGACCACTAAAATCCAGACTGAGCGACCCAAAGCTGCTTCTTAATTCTTTTCTCTCGACTACTGATTCCCAATCCAGCATGTTCTTACCCCGGCTGCTGTTGCAAACAACTGAAAGAACATACAGAAAATAAGGACAAGAGCAAAACAAATGAAACCTTGCCTCGATCCCTCGTGAACATAGCAAACAATTTTTCTTATAAACTTTAAATTGAAACTTTTGATTCTATATTATAAAATGTTCTTCCCAAATTTTCGAAAAGTCGAGATTATAGAGTTGTTTAACCGACGTCTAAATTTAAAGAAGAAAAACACTTTTAAGGTCGGTCAAATCAAGACAACTTTGGCTATAACAGAGAAAAAGTGACACCAAGTTGTGAGGAAATACAAACTATGTTGTCTTTTCTTTGAAAAAAAAAAAACGTAGTTCTGATTTATTGCTAGGAGACAAGGAATTAGATGAGGCGACGAGAGATCAGGAAACAGTTAAGGTATTAAATGGAACTTCTGAGAAACTTCGGGGACGTCGGCCGTACCCCACACCTCCATCATCGTATTTATTCCTACTACTTCCTTTTCCAAAAAAATTTAAATATCAATTTTATAGTCCGGTAAACGCTCTTCTAGTTTTCTTCTTCCTTTCCGGTCTTCTCTTCCCCAGTTCCCCTTCCGCTTCCCCACTTCTATTTCCCTTCAATCCTTTCATTTTCTCTCCTCAAAGATCAGATTTCCCCCCCCCCTTTTCGTTTCTGGGTTCGGTTTATTCTTTGATTATACAAAGCCGGCGACTTTTTTCGTGTTCTTACATATCTTTTTTATATAGTCAAGTTGTGACGGCGGCTGTGGCGGTGGCGGGGACGAGGCAGAAAAGTAGGAGAAAGCTGGAGTTTGATATTTATCAACCACCATCACCACGACCACCACCATCATCATCAGAAGCAGTAGAAGAAGGGAGTTGATTACGACATAGAGAACAGAGAAAAGAAATATGAGTAAACAATCAGCTACAGCTTCTTCGAGAGGAGCCCCGTCTTTCTTCGATAGAATCACGGTAGGTTGTTTAAACCCTTTCTTAGTTCCTGTGATTTCTCGATTGGGTTTCGATTTTTCCGATGAGGGTTTTGCAGTATGGCCGGGGAATTGTGGGGGTTCTCTGATTTTTTTGGTTTGTGGCGGCGGTTGCAGTGTGGGACGTGTATGAGATCGTCAAGCAAGCAAGATACAGGGAAAGGGAAGAGCAAATCGTCGAAGTCAAGACGGGTTTCACACGGTTTCCACTTGGTCAAAGGCAAATCAGGGCACGATATGGAGGATTATCACGTCGCTGAGTATCGCAAATCAAGGAATCATGAGCTTGGTTTGTTCGCAATCTTTGATGGGCATCTTGGCGATAGCGTCCCCAATTATCTCAAGGACAACCTGTTTGACAATATCCTCAACGAGGTTTGATTGCTTTGGGTTTCCTTCATTATGTTTATTTTGATTGTGTTCTGTTCTTAGTTCTTACTTGGAGTGGTGGTTTGGTTGGAATTCATACAGCCCAATTTCTGGAAAGATCCTGCTGTGGCGATCAGGAATGCTTACTGCTCCACTGATAATTCCATCCTGGAGAATTCATTGCAATTAGGCCCTGGTGGCTCAACTGCAGTGACTGCCATTGTTATCGATGGTAAAGACTTGTGGATTGCCAACGTTGGAGATTCTAGAGCTGTTGTTTGTGAGTTGGGTGCTGCAAATCAACTTACAGTCGACCATGAGCCTCATGTTGAGCGAAAGAGGATTGAAAATAAAGGCGGCTTCGTCACTACTCTTCCTGGTAAGGTCATTGAGTTTGATAAGTTTGTCTGCGTTCTCATTGGTGTGGTTGCTTGGAATTGTGGTTTGCTGTCTGCTTTAGCATTTCTTTAGGTTTGTAATTGCTTTGGGTTATTTGTATTTTGCAGGAGATGTACCAAGAGTAAATGGCCAACTAGCAGTTGCTCGAGCTTTTGGTGATCAAAGCCTTAAAGCACATTTAAGTTCAGAACCTGATATGAGACATGTGCCCATAGACGCCACGATGGACTTTGTTATATTAGCAAGTGATGGTTTGTGGAAGGTCAGTTTTCTTTTGGTCCCTTGCTCTGTTTTCCTCGTTTTGTTTTGCTGGTTAGACTTGCTCCTTCTATCTTAGAATTCTTCCTTTTACTGTAGGATTTGAGTATTTTCACTGAGTTACTTGGTTGATGCTATGTTGAAAGTAAATGATTTATGAAGTACATAAAGGAATGCCGAGAGCTTCTGTATTCAGACTGTGTTTTTTCAATAGCTAAATTAGAGATTTCACTCATGGCCCTGAATTTTGACACGTACTCTATTGAGAATGACAATTGCTTTGTCTCATGGGGTTATAATAGTCCCTTCTCTTACTATTACACTTCGTGAAGTATATGCAAGTTAATTTTTGATGGTCTCCAGTAGTGTATACTTGTTTTGCAAGGTATTGATGAATATTGGTTGTGCTGGATTTAGACTTGGCATTGTTTGATTAGAGTCGCAGAATAATTTTAGTTTTTATAGGCACTGAGTTGTTGGGTTAAGGTTATTTCATTCCATCCGCATGAAAACTAGGTGCTAGCCATGTGTAATATATATGTGTGCTTATTACCCTTCTGCGAAAAGCATGAGAATCACATTTACTATATTTGGCTTGAATGGAAGTCAATAGCACGGGAAATTACAAACAAGAGACGTAAATGCAAATGAGCAGTAATCATATGACGCTCAGAACGCTAATAGACCTTAGGGCACACTCGTGGCTTCTGCTGCATCTCATTTCGGCAACATTAAAGCTAGTTCCCTGTGAGAAGGCCTGTGGAGACTGAGCTGTGTGATTCCATCTATGATTTGGATGGATGCCACTTGGTGATGTGATAGATGCTCTCACCCTTGCATACATGTCAGAAATTTTGTGCCTGCATCATATTTTACAGTTCTGAGACAATTTTGGATATTAGTTGTCTTTATGAAACTAGCGTACAGCCTAAGTAAAGTCCAGTGAAGGAACTGTGAAGTTATGATCTTTGTTTATGAGTTCTTTTAAACTCATGGAATATCATTTACTAACAATCCTTGGAAAACTACTTCATCTAAAAAAAACAATCCTTGGGACTACTAGTCTGCAACCTTGTTTATTATGATTACATGAGTTGCTGGGTTGATCAGCTACACCAGTGACAGTATGATGGTTCTCTCCTCGGAACATGTTACGTATAGGTCAGGAGTCAGGACACATACAGGGTGGGACTTGCATATCTAGCTGCATCAAGATTTTCATAACTTGTATGATTTAAATCGTTTGTTTGTTGTGATAATTCTTAGATTGGATACACTGGATGTGGTTTCTGCTGACAAATGCAGAAGTTTTAACCTTTTCATGTCCGCGCCATGTGGTATTAGCGAACTGGAAGAAGTTTGTTAACTTCAAATTTTGCATGAATGCTGGTTTACCAGTTGGCTGGAGTTAATTTGAATCAGCATACATCAGACTTGTTCCTATTCATAATATGGCGATGGTTCATTTATTTCACTGCTGAATCAATCAATGGAACTTGTGCTTTTTATTTAACAGCAGCTCCTGATTAATGTCACCAGGTTACTTGCCCTGCCAGAAGCATAGAATTATAGCCTAATGGTTGATTGACTAATGCTTCATCAGTTTGTTTGCTTATTGCCTTCAATACTCAGAACTAATTGGATATGCATCAAACAGGTCATGAAGAACCAAGAGGCAATAGATTTGGTGAAAACGATAAAAGACCCTCAGGTGGCAGCCAAGCGCTTGACGACAGAGGCATTGGCTAGAAACAGCAAAGACGATATATCATGCATTGTGATCCGCTTCGGATGATTCTTTGTCGACTTCACACAACGCTCGATCCGAAGAGAGAACCACAATGACTTTGTGGGCGCGGGTTTGAAATGTTTGGAAGGTCTGTTTTTAATGAAGTAGACTAGTAGTAGTCTGTAGTATTCTTCTTATTCTTGTGAAGTTGGAGCTAGGTTGGGATTTATATGTTTTTTTCCTTCTCTTTTATGTCCTTAATGGTGTCTTCTCTTTGGTTTATTTTCGAGTCAAGTTTGGACTGGGAGACATCTTGGTGTTCTTATCCACTTTAGCCTACCTAATTATTGAGGTGGGGCTGGTTGTGTTGCTGTGTATAGATAGATGATTGTTTTGGTGGGGGCAGAAGGTAAAGGGTATATGGCATTTTGTTAATCAAGCAAAGAAGGGTAAGAGATGGGGGCTTGTTAGATTGTAGGATTCTCTCTTTTGTGTATAGGTTTGTGGACATGAATAAAGACTCTCCTTTTAAGTTATATACATTTCTTCTAGGTTTCTCATTGCTGTAGTTGCCTGAGATTTCACCTCCACTCCCAGGTTGCAGTATCTGTATCGGCACTGCCTGCCGGGCGGTCCTTAGTTTTTTGTTAGCAAGAAAGATCATTCTTCAAGGTGCTTTGGTTTTGGAGCAAGTCCTGCTAAGAAAGTGCGTATTATTTGGTGTTGGATTCTTGGGTTCATGGATCCCTTTGTGGTAGATACATAATGTTCAAAGAAAAGATTATAGTCTACAATATCGGCCACGATTTGAGGCAAGTCAAGGGTTTGTGACAGAATCAGATGTGTAGTGCTTTGTGCAGCGCTGTGGCCGCAAATCTGCGTTCAAATATAACTGTTTGCATTGAACATTAGAAAACAAGTGGCCGGTGGGCTATCGCTGTCAGACCAGAATACGTTTGGCGCTGCTTGATGAATTGGTTGGATTTTGACCTGGTTTTTGCAACGGCTGCATAGATTTAGGGGTGGGTGAACCTGGGAAACGGGCGACTTGGGCCGTTCGATGAACTAATCAAGTGGTCTTTTTAACTAAAGTACTGCATTTTGACATTACATAGAATTCTCACATTCCCACCATCAAATGCATAAATATGCTTCAAATCCTTGTAAGTTACATTACCCTGGAGAAGTTACTCGTCCAGGATTGAGAGGAGCAACAATGATATTGAGAATATGGTGAAACAATTTGACGTAGCAGTAAAGAGACATGGTCTTCTGCATATCTTAAATTACACAGAAGAAGGAAACTAAATACACTGGGTCTACCAAAACAGAGACTTGCACCCCCCAGGATTGGAACAGCCTGTATTTGCCAAGTTCAACTCAATCTTGATCAATACATAAAAACAACAATATCTTCTTGTCATTTCATTAGGTCGGAGATCACACACCGTCCTTCAGATAATCCGCCATACACGAGGTTTGAAATCCAGATTCTGGCAGAAAAGCAGGACTTTAGGATCACAAGATGCACTCCATCAGCATATATAATTCACTGCAGTAATTTCCAACCATGAGCTTCAAAGAACAACAAGTGACGAGAATAATAAGAGCGAATAAAGCAGCAAGGCTCAACGAAGTACAAAGAGAAATGCAAAAATTGGACAACAAAATCATTATCCTACGCTATAGAATCTACAACTTGGTTATTCACGAAATTACAGGAAACCGAAGAAGGATACGAGTTAGAGTACAAGCAAGCTGGCAATTAACATCAACAAATGGAATAGGGTATCAAACGAGCAAGCAGCTAATCATTGTTTGAACATAGCAAAAGTGAAAAAAGACGGTACAAGTAACGCACCTACTTTCCATACCTGGCATGTTCAGGTACAATCAGACTTTCTTCTTGCTTTTAGCACTAGGCTGAACCTTCCCATATGCTAAGAGCCTACCATGAGACAATTTGAGATGTGCTTGGTTCTGCCTTCTCTTAGCTTTCCTGGATAGGCCAGCTGAAGTTGATCCTTCACTGTTATTACTATCGACCTTTGGGCTATGATTCTTCTTGCTAGCCTTTCGGATGTTGAGGTTATTCTTCAACTCCTTAACCTTCATCTTATACTGGTTCTTCTGATTGCTGGGAACCTTCCACTCGCTCTCTCTGTAAGGTGCAAGCTTTTTCACAGACACATACTGGTTCAAATCTTGGTCCTCTAACAACAATATATCCTCTGTCTTCAGTCCATATTTGTTAGGATTCACTTTAGCATATTTAAACCTCGTCTTTAGGTCTCCAATTGTCCCCTCGTAATCCAATTTATAGTACTCGTCCAGCAATTCCTGCTTGGTTTTCTGAAGCAAGGACAGCTTGCGTTTTTGCTTCTTCCTTTTACCTCCATCCTCCCTTTCATCCTTTTTACCTTCCTCTTTCCGTTCTTCCTGTTCATCATCATCAACATCATCATCATCACTCTCACCCTTCTCTTTCAAAATCTTTTCCCGAGTAGATGCAAAGCCATCCTCATCATCAGCTGTGTTCCAGCCTTTAGGAAGTCCAAGCAACTCATCCTCCTTATCAAAATCTGGCTTCTCGATATCACTATCATCATCCCCTGCACTGCCAAACCCAGGATCAGCATCTTCAGCTTCGTAATACCCATCATCAAATGCCTTCTTCATCATCTTATCATACTTCTGAGGATCGAAATCATCCTCCAACTCATCCAAATCCAATGCACCATTGCCACTTTTAATACCTGCAACCTCCATAACCTTTTGGAGCCTCTCTTCCATCTCTTTCTTCTTCAAATTCTTCAAGTGCTTCAACTCCTCCTCTCGCCGAATCTCGGCCTCCTTCATCCTCTCCTCCTTCCTCTTCCTTTGCCCTTTCCTCGGATTCTCCTCTTTCCTAATAGCACCTTCTACAAACCTAGAGTGACCCATCACCCTATCCCCTTTGTTCTCTTCATGTCTAAAATTAAACTTCCCTTCAAACTCTTCCTGCCTTTCTACCTCCTCCCCATCTATATCATCGATGTCATCGAGCTCGAAACCATTTTCCCTACCGTTATTACCCTTTTCAGCCCACATCTTATTCTTGAAGAACTCCATCAGAAACATCTTGTTCTCATCCAACTCTTCCTGAGGGCCAAAGTACTCCCCCAACTTAGCCTCCAACACCTCATCATCCTCACCAATCCCTTCATTCCCCTTATCCTTCAATTTCAAGAATTCTCCTCCCCCTTCCCCATCATCCTCACCCACGGCGTCCTTCACAGCATCTAGAAACTGGTTCCTCAACTCCTCCTGTTCTTCATTGTAAGTCTTCCCTCTCTTCCCCTCTCTAGTCTCCACATCATCAAATTCAGGGCCATCTTCGATCAAGTTCTTGGCCACAACATCCTTCAAGTACATTGACTTCCTCTTCTTCTTGCTCTCATCCTTCTGCTTCTCATCAACCTTACCATCATCCCGGCCCTTCTCTTCATCCTCTCCTTCTTCTTCTTCTCCTTCGCTATCGCTAAAGATTGGAACATTCTGGTACAGAGAAGGGTCTTGCTTCCTTACCTTGAGCAGATTCTCGAAGAACTTGATGTCCTTCTTCTTGTTGGCACCAGCGATATCGGCAGCCTCGTCGTCCGACGACTCGGATTCTGATTCCGAATCGTCGTCGTCGATTCGGCCACTCTTTTTCAGCTCCTCGTACCGCTGGAGATCCTCCCGCTTCTTGTTGTGCGCGTACCGCCGGGCGAACTCCTGGTCAATCTCAATGTTGGATATATCCTCGGCAGTGACATCGTCGTCTTCGAATAGCTTCATCGCTCCAATGTCCGGCGGAACAACGGCAGGCGGATTGATTATCGAGTGAGAGAATAAGCTGCCACCGCCGGCGGCTAGGGTTATAGAACGAAATAATAGTATGGTAGAACCGCCGTGATTTTGTATGGTGGGGTTTCGAACCTTATTTTCTTCCTTCAGGAAGACGTGGGCTATGATTATTGGAAATTTGGAATTATACGCTACTAGTGGGCCTGTGGGCTTTAACTGAATCTATGGTCGGGATGGAATTGGGCTTGAGTTTTAACACTGTGATCAATTTTTAACTAACGATTTATCAGCCATACAAAGGAATATGATTCCATGGTTTATAACTATAAACCAACTAGTTTCAATAATTTCGGTCGTTGAGAGAAATCTATGTACGATAATTAATTACTTTCTTACACGTTCAATATAGAGATACAACGTCATGTCATCGAAACACGGGAGAATGATACAAATATTGTGTTTTTTATTAAATTTACCACCAATATGGCGGATTAAAAAGTATTGACAAGTATATTGTGTTTTGGAGAAAAAGTTAGGCGGCCACCTGAGACTGAGGCGTCACCACATGAGACTCAGGTGAATAGGTGGGAAGAAAGTCCCAGGTGTTGGCGCCTGAGACTGAGGTGGTACCGCCTGAGACTGAGGTGGTACCACCTAAGACTGAGGTGGCACCGCGAAGAACAATCCTAATTCTAACCCTGAAACCCTAAACCCTAAACCCTGAACCCTAAACCAGCGAATTTCGTATCAGTTATTCACACCACAAATGGCTAATAGGTAAGAGACATATTTATTTTTTTAATTATATTATTCAAATGCTATTATGATTGTGTTTAGTTTAATTAGTGAGTTTTTATGTAGTGATTTTAGAAGATTTGAACTAGTCGTTCGGTGGAAATCGGAGAAAGTAGAGGATAATTTGGGCGTCAAATTCGTTGGTGGTGGTAGTTTTCAGTTGACGGTTTTTCAAATGTAATAGTTGTGGTTTGAAGTAGTTGTTGTTTTTCAAATAGTTGTTATGGTTTAAGAAGGTTGTTGTTTTTCAAATGTAGTAGTTGTTGTTCTTGGTCAAATTATAAAATGTCCGAGTTGTTGTTTGTTATTTGTTGTTCCGAATAGTTATCGCTAATAACATCATACATGAATGTAAAAATAGTTCAAGGAATAGTCCACAAACATAAATAGTCCACATAATAGTCCACATAACACATAAATAGTCCACATACATATCCCAAATAATAATAACATAACAAAAATCCAAAAAAACTCTAACGACGACCACCACGATGACCACCATGCTGATCCATGTCGAGGATGATCAGCCCCAGCATGATGATGGTAGGCCTAAACGGATCAGGGTGCCAATGAGGTACCACCACCATGCTGATCCATGTCGAGGATGATCAGCCCCAGCATGATGATGGTAGGCCTAAACGGATCAGGGTGCCAGTGAGGTGTGGTACCGATGGCCATCTAGTGGATCAGCATGGTGGTCGTCGTGGTGGTGATCGTTAGAGTTTTTGTTTTGTATTTTTGTTATGTTATTATTATTTGGGATATGTATGTGGACTATTTATGTGTTATGTGGACTATTATGTGGACTATTTATGTTTGTGGACTATTCCTTGAACTATTTTTACATTCATGTATGATGTTATTAGCGATAACTATTCGGAACAACAAATAACAAACAACAACTCGGACATTTTATAATTTGGCCAAGAACAATAACTACTACATTTGAAAAACAACAACCTTCTTAAACCATAACAACTATTTGAAAAACAACAACTACTTCAAACCACAACTATTACATTTGAAAAACCGTCAACTGAAAACTACCACCACCAACGAATTTGACGCCCAAATTATCCTCTACTTTCTCCGATTTCCACCGAACGACTAGTTCAAATCTTCTAAAATCACTACAAAAAAACTCACTAATTAAACTAAACACAATCATAATAGCATTTGAATAATATAATTAAAAAATATAAATATGTCTCTTACCTATTAGCCATTTGTGGTGTGAATAACTGATATGAAATTCGCTGGTTTAGGGTTCAGGGTTTAGGATTTCAGGGTTAGAATTAGGATTGTTCTTCGCGGTGCCACCTCAGTCTTAGGCGGTACCACCTCAGTCTCAGGCGTCAACACCTGAGACTTTCTTCCAACCTATTCACCTGAGTCTCAGGTGGTGACGCCTCAGTCTCAGGTGGCCTCGCCTCACTTTTTCTCCAAAACACAATATACTTGTCAATACTTTTTAATCCGCTATATTGGTGGTAAATTTAATAAAAAACACAATATTTGTGTCATTCTCCCTCGAAACACATTTTGGGCATTTTGGAGACGGTGATGGCGATAGTACTAGTAAATAGTAGTAATGGCCAGCGAGGCGATTTGGTAACACTAGCGGCTGTCTTGTCTTGCTATTAATGAGTGAGCAGTAATCAACATGACGCTAAGCTTAAGCTGTCAAGCAGAAAATCCCAAATCTCCGGCAACCCTCTCCGCCGCCGCGTCCCCAATTCGGTGCTACGACAGCGACACTTCCATGTTTCAAATTTGGCTAGTGCAGTACCTTATTTTACACCTTTTTGCCGACATAGCGAGTTGTAGCTAGCTAACAAATACATAATAACTTCTTCTTTTATGTGCCACCACCACTTTAGCTCCTTCAGGATTTGATTTTTATCCACTCCAGTATACAAGGTGTTGGAACATGGATGATGTTCTTCACAAACACATCATTACTTAGCTTACTTGAAGAACAATCTTTTCAGCACAGTTTGTGTTCCGTACCCTACCATCGATGCGGACCAATCGCATATTGCTGGCTAGATTGGCGTTGTGTACGTACATTTGAAAACATTGTACGGATCAACACAATATCGATGAAATGCTTACTCGCGATTTGTCAGTTTTAGCCCGATAAGATGAATACCATGTTAATGTGTCACTTGTTGAATCAAGATTGTGTCAATAAATAATCATTTCTCTAATCCGACATTGTCTCCAATATTATTTCACAAACCGTCATTTCCAGGGATTGTTACCGTTGAAACTAGTAAGGCAAGGTACTGGATTAGTGGATGATCTGTACTGTGTCTGGAATCTGGATAAATCATGGCCAGAGCATTAATTGCTTGCATTAATCACATAAATTCAAATAATACAAAAAAAAAATATATCCAGATATTACATCATTTTGACAGCAAAAGGAAATTTTTTAAGAATCTTTTCCCCCTTCCGTCTATCACGCCCAGCCCAATTAGATTAGGTTAATATTTAATAATCCGTTCTTCAATGGGACTTAATGATTCATTATTTGATAATAATTACCTTGACTTTTCACGTGTGCCAATTAACACTTACTGGTCGAATCAACCTCCTGAAACGATCAATCATACCACAATTTGCAACATAACCTTACTATAATTATTATTATTATTATTATTATTATCATCATCGATAATCAAGTTTCGGATAAATGACAGAAATATAGTTTTTTTTTTAATTTACCACGAATATGGCCAATTAAAAACTATTTACAGAGATATTGTGGTTTTTAATAAGGATTGGGGCGGGACCACCTGAGACTCAGGCGGGACTACATTTTTACCCAGTCCTGGGCGCCGGCGCCCCAGTCTCAAACGGCCCCGCCTCAGACAAATTTTTTTAATTAGTCTGAGGCGCTGGCGCCCGAGACTCAGGCGGGAGCGCCCCGGACTCTTTTTTTTTAAAATTTCGGACGGTCCCCTTCCCTCCACCTTATCCACACCACACACCACACAGCCCCTTCTTCCTCCCACCTCCCCCCCTGCGAACCAGACCCACCGCCTGCTACCGCCCCTCGCCGCCGCCCCAGACCCCGGCCCCGCCGCCCCAGACATCCGCGCGGCCGCCCCAGACCTCGGCGCCGCCGCCCCAGCCACGAGCGCCGCCGCCCTAGCCACGAGCGCCGCCGCCCCAGCCACTAGCGCCGCCGTCCCAGACCGAAGCGCCGCCGCCTTTGACTGACCCGCCGCAGCCCGAGATGTCCTCCGACGAAGAACCACTCGCCGCCGGCAGAGGGAGAAGAGGTCGGCGAGGTCGTGGTGGAGCCGGCAGCCGTTTGCGCGGTGAGACTCTCGTCGGCAGTTTGATTTTTTTTTAATGTTTTGTGTTTTTTTTAATGTTTTGTTGCTTTGGTTTTGCAGTTCCGAGGCTTATGGATCCTTATTCGATGAGATTACCGCCGGCGACAATTGATCCAAGTCCGGTCGATCCGACACTTCTTTGGGGACACGGCCAACATCGTATCGACTCTGTTTGGACAAACGAGGTAAGTATTTGATAATTATTCATGTAAAGTTAATTAGCTAATTAGATTATTTTAGGTAGTGAACTGAACTGAACTGTTAGGTGAAATTAGTATAATTTTATGTTAGATAAGACAGATTAGAATTTATTAGGTGAAATTAGAATTATTACGAATGAAAATGAATTAATATAAGTTTTGTGCACTATAGGCTGGTGATCGACCGTACCATGTTCGAGGTACGACCATTTTAGTACCTTACCATGAGCTTTATCGGCCATATCTCGAAGCGGCAGGCTTGTTTAGTGTCGTGCCCCTAGTCCCTATGAACCCCGATGCTAGTTTGATTACTGCGCTCGTAGAGCGGTGGCGCCCCGAGACGTCGACCTTCCATCTACCGTGTGGTGAGATGACGATCACGTTAGAGGACGTTGTTACACTGTCCGGTCTGGCGATCGACGGTGATGCCGTCGTAGTTGATATACCGGATGAGGAGTGGTCGGCGATCTGTTTGAGACTGTTGGGACGAGTTCCGGCCGATCTTGTAGGCAGTGTCGCTGTTGTTAGGATTGTTTGGCTGAGGGTTGAATTCAGTCATCTGCCGGAGAATGCATCACAGGAGGTTATAGAGCAGTTTGCACGAGCTTATGCTCTATCTCTGCTTGGAGGTGTACTTTTCTCGGATCGGTCTGGAAGTACGGTGCACCTACAGTACCTACTTCTGATTGAGGATTGGGAGAGAGCTGGACGGTTTGCCTGGGGAGCTGCTGTTTTATCCTACCTGTACCGTGAGATGGGTAGGTCGACTTTGCACATTACGCATACCGGCACTTCTCTTAGCGGTGACCTTGGTGGATGGGTCGCCCTACTGCAGTTTTGGGCGTGGGAGCGATTCCCACATCTGGCACCTCGAGACGAGGAGACGAGGGCACAGGCCACCGAGGATGCATTCCCACGTGGTCTTCGATGGCTTTCGGCCAACAGTCGTCAGTATGGTGACCAGCTATTCCAGTACAAGCTGTGGTTTGACGCGATGGACACCGTGGTGGTTAGTATATAACATTTCATTTTATATAATAGTTTTCATTTGTTTTATTTTTTTAGATTTAGGGATAATAACGATAATTTTTGGATTTAATGTAGTGGCAACCTTACTTTGAGAGAGCACTTCATCTCAGAGGTAGTGTGCTACAGTCTGAGACATTTCGAGCAGTAGTGCCACTTATATGCTTTTCATCGGTGATGTGGCATCATCCAGACCGCGTGCTCCGGCAGTTTGGCATGAGACAGCATGAGCCTCATCAGCCACATTCTGAGGCTGAGGTTAGGTTTTTTCTTCGCCAGGCTACTCGTGGGCCATCGCGTGGGCAGCAGTTGGTACACGCCTCCAGAGAGTCGATTGCTTTCTGGAACCGTCGACACGAGTTTGTAGCGACGGCTCCATATACTGATGAGGAGTTAGCCTACCACTCGGAGCATATGGAGTGGTATAGAGATGTCACCAGACGATCTGGCACACGGAGAGGAGCTGCAGCAGAGGCGTTGGTTAGTTATTTGATTTATTTGCTTAATTTGTTGTTAATTGTGTGAAATATCTGACATTTTTGTTGGTGTTTTTTAGTACGACACTATCGAGCATGCTGAGGTGAGTTTGCGTGACGGTGTACGGTCTGGAGGGCTGACCCCCGACCAGTGTGAGGACTTGGCCAACTTTATGGCATCCGGGGTTGCTGCTCTAGGGTTTGAGGATCGTAGATACCCTGATCTCACAGTACCTGTACAGCGCCATTATGAGGGGCCCGTCATGACTGCCTGGCCAGAGCGTACTGATCCGACACCGGGCTGGGTCGTCCCAGAGCCACAGTTCAGACAGGAGCATAGGCCACGTAGACAGAGACGTGAGCATCGTGATGCACCTAACCCATTTCGGGTTTCCGATCGACAGCGAGCACAGCCCATCCGGCCTACATCGAGGAGCTTCCAGTTTAATCCGCCTCGGACGCAGTTTCAGTCAGATCCTTCCTCGAGCTTTCAGCCGCCGCGACGACAGCAGTTTCAGTCAGATCCGTCATCGAGCTTCTATCAGCCAGAGGATAGCTTCCATACACCGCAGCATGCTACGATGGGAAACATGGCATCAGGTGGTGATACTAGAGCAGCGGCGACTCCCGACCTGTGGCAAGAGGGTGATGAGGTGTTTAGGGAGACGATGTGGATCCATGAGCAGCACCTTCAGTCTCAGCGTAGTGGTGGCGGTCAGCCTGATGAGCATCTTCAGTCTCAGCAGGATGAGATGTTCGGTACACAGGACCAGGATGGTGGAGTTGAGGAAGATGAGCCCCAGGAGTATGATGGTAGACCAGTGCGCATCAGGGTGCCTGCTAGGTGTGGTACTGGCGGCCATCTAGCGGTGGAGCATGGTGGTCGTCGTGGTGGTCGTCGTGGTGATCATCAGTGAGACTATTATGTACTTCCTTCAGACGTTTATTTTTGGATTGTTATTATTATGTACTTCCTTCAGACTATTATTTTTGGATTGTTATTATTATGTACTTCCTTCAGACTATTATTTTTTGGATTGTTATTATTATGTACTTCATTCAGACTATTATTTTTGGATTGTTATTATTATGTACTATAAACAAACAACAACATCTCAAGCAACAACATCTCAAACAACAACATCTCAAACAAACAACATCTCAAACAACAACATCTCAAACAAACAACATCTCAAACAAACAACTTTTACATGGTAAATCAAAAGATAACAACAACATACCAAACAACAACATCTCAAACAAACAACAACTTTTACATGGTAAATCAAAAGAAATATAACAACTTCTACCACCTCTCAGCCACGTCTATTACCTCTACTTCCTCTTCTACCACCTCTCGTACTTCGTTGGCCACCACTCCCTCCTCGGTTGCTCCCACTCCTACTAGCTTGGCCGCCGCAAGTTGATGCATTATGTCCCGCTTGGTTACAGTTGCTGCACACTTGGTGTGATGCACCCTCCCTTGGCCAGTCCATCTCGTTGTGGATCCTTGTAACTCGTGGCCTCCCCGGCTTCCTAATCATGTGCACATTAGGATGGAGAATAGGACCATTATGTTTCTTCCAACCCTTAGGTTCACCAAGAGGTGCGAAACTTGTCCCATAACAAGCCATCACTGTTTCCAGCTTGTAGACATTGTTGACAAACCTATACGCATTAGCCCCCATTCGGTTGCAAGCTGCAATGGCATGAGAGCAAGGAATTTTATTTCCTTGAAATTTACCACAAGTGCAAAATCCTGCCCGGTTTTGATCGTCAAAGTGAACTGTGAGTGTGTTTGACCCTGTCATGTTGAAATTGTTGGGAGGAGTCTGAACTACATAGATGCCTTGACCTCGATCAAGAGCTGTCACAGAATGTCCAATTGCCTTTTGTGACCTGTACTTCATTAGCTCTTCGCACTTGTTGGAGTACTGTGAACCGCCACTTCTAATTTCTGCTCCTGTCTCCAACCTATACATATCGAATTTCTCCACCAATCGCCAATAGGTATGCTTCACAAGAGAAGCTATCGGAAGTGCACGAATACCTTTGAAAACACCATTGACGCTTTCTGCCATGTTGGATGTCAGGATAGACCAACGACCCCCACCATTGTAGTTATCATGTGCTAAACTCCAACGAATCTGATGTTGATCCACCCAGTTATCACATGAAATATTTCTATCAGCGGCCACCTTCTTAAATTGCTCAACTTGACGATCAAACTTCTCCAACCGTTTTTCTCCGGCTAACAAAATAAACCACAACACGTGTTAGATAAATTCATGACAAAATTACATGAAAACAAATAACAAAATTAAATGAAGAAAGCTTACCGACTCGAAATAGTTGATTATACATAATTTTGCTTCGAGTCTTCCTTTGCAAATTGCTTGCATAGTGTCGCATGCACCACCTCCACTCCCAACCTCTTCCGATGTTATTCATGGCTTCATAGAGTCCTGCATGTCTATCTGAGATGATGCATACATCATTTCGATCAGTCAAACCCTGAACCTTCCTCATGAACCATGGCCAACTCTCAGTATTCTCGCTCTCCACTATGGCAAATGCAATTGGAAAAATCTTCCTCCGGCCATCAAATGAGCTCGCCATGAGTAGCACTCCTTTATACTTCCCAGTAAGAAATGTTCCATCCACAACCATGACGCCTGGACAATTCTTGAATCCATCTATACAAGGTCCATAAGCCCAGAATACTCGCTGAAATATTGAATGACCAGGTTGAGTCGAAGGAACTGTTACCCAATCAATCACCGATGTTGGCATTTTTCTCTTGACCACCCGCAAGAATGTTTGCAAAAAATCATAGGATTCTTCCCAATTTCCATGCAACTTCTCCAATGCTCTTTGTTTCCCATACCAAGCCTTCTTGTAAGTAACTTGCATATTAAACTTATCTTTCAACTCGGCTTGAACAGTTAGAACACTCAGATTTGGTTGGGCACGTACCAAATGTTTGACGGCCTCAGATATCATGTCGACATCAAGATGGCGATGATCCGTCGGTTGAGTCGTACTGCTACAAGAATGCACCAACTCAGCTTTTCTCACAGTCCATTCGCCCCCAACATCTCGACATCCAAACCGCACCATCCAAGGACAATTGTCATCCTTGTGCCTCAAACATTTGACCTTCCATATTGAAGGTGACGACTCCACCACGCCATATAGAAAGTTGCGTTGTAGTGCGTGGTGTTTAATCGCCATCTGTGCAGCTTGTTTCGAGTGAAATATCTGCCCCTTGTAGAATTCTCCTTCAAAACTATCAACAATAGGCATTGGAATTACGCCATATGAATCAGCAAGTGCAAATTCTTCGTCATCTTCATTGCCCTGCAAGTAAAAATATGGAGGATAATTAAGTTGCTCTCCTTCCTCCTCCTCCTCCTCCTCATCTTCCTCCTCTCCGTCATCACCGTGATCATAGTCATGATCGGATGGCACGCTCCATGTATCATCTTCTTCCTCTCCACCCTGATCATCACTGAGCTCAACATGTATCTCAGCACCCAAACAATAAGGATTTTGTGCCATAAAATTCCAAAGCACATCCAAGCTATCATCATCCACAATAGGTAACGCATAATGAAATAAAACATCATTCTGCCATTCTGGAAGACGGTAAGTGAAACCTGTGATCACATCACTATCTTTTACTGCTTCGTCTCTGCGCCGTATTCTCGGAATTAGAGTCTCACAAAGTTTGTGATATGTGACTCTGGATGGAACCGTCAACTGAAAACTACTACCACCAACGAATTTGACACCCAAATTATCCTCTACTTTCTCCGATTTCCACCGAACAACTAGTTCAAATCTTCTAAAATCACTACAACAAAACAAACTCACTAATTAAAAACTAAACACAATCATAATAGCATTTGAATAATATAATTACAAAAATAAATGTGTCTCTTACCTAGCCATTTTTGCAGCAGCAACCAGAGCTCTCTCCTCTATTTTGGACGATTTTTTTTGTGGTGTGAATCTGAAACGAAATGTCTGTCTGGGTTTTATAGGGTTGGTGGCCAATCCACCTACTCGCCTCAGTCTCGGGCGCCACCGCCGGAGTCTTGATTTCCACCTACTCGCTTCAGTCTCGGGCGCCGCCGCCTGAGACTCGGGCGCCACCGCCCGAGTCTAATAAAACGGTCCAAAAACCAAGTCTTAAGCGGCGGCGCCTGAGTCTCAGGTGTACCCGCCAATTCTGATGTATAAAACACAATATCTTTGTCAATAGTTATTAATTGGCCATATTCGTGGTAAATTTAAAAAAAAAAACAATATTTATGTCATTGTCCCTCAAGTTTCAAAGGCTGTGAAAATAAGTAATAACCAGCTGTTATTGTTTTTGTTACACCATAAACCCAACCCAATCAGTTCATGAACATTGAACAAACCGAACCTCTTGGATTAAAATTTTCGGTGCAAAATTTAAATTAACGATAAAGGAGTTGGATAAAAGAAAAAAAAAAGAATTAAATGTAGTATTTTTCCTCGACGGTCGACGCAATATAACAAACCAAAGAGAAATTAAGGAAAAGCCGAAAAGGACAAATCTCCGTTTTTTAATCAATTCTGTTATACAAATGCCTTTCAATGTCGCCACGGACGACGAACTTAGTAGTACGGAATCGATGGCGGCGGCGGCGAAGCGTACGATACACCTATCACCGGCGGCAGAGGCACGTTCTCAGCTGCTGGCGGCGGCGGTGAGTGGGGAGGAGGGGGAGGAGACGAATACGTGTAACGTGGTGGAGGACTTTGGTGATGTGGAGGCGGCGGAGATTGCGGCGAGTGGTAGCTGGGCGTATGTGGCGGCGGCGACATTGTTGGCGCTGGCGGCGGGAGCTCACATCCGGGCTTCGCTGGCGGTGGTGGCGGTGGAGTTGTGCATGGGACTGGAGCGGGCGCGTGGTTCGGTGGTGGTGGAGAGCTCGGGTGATAAGGAGGCGCGTGATGCTCACCCGTTGGTGGTGGCGGTGATTGCTTGTAAGTAGGCGGCGGTGGTGGTGGAGATGACTGTTGGTAGTAAGGAGGCGAGTGGTACTCAACCGGTGGTGGTGGTGGTGAGGAGTAAACTGGTGGCGGAGGTGGTGACGAGGAAACTGGCGGCGGCGGCGGCGAGTAAACAGGTGGCGGAGGTGGAGGTGAAGGCGGCGGCGGCGGGGGAGAAGAGTAAACTGGAGGTGGAGGGGGAGGTGGAGAAGGCGGCGGCGGGGGTGGAGAGTAAACTGGCGGTGGTGGGGGTGGGGGAGAAGGTGGCGGCGGAGGTGGAGAGTAAACTGGCGGCGGTGGTGATGGAGGAGGAGGAGATGGCGGCGGAGGCGCGTGACGTGTCCCTGGCGACACTTTTTCTGTAGGAGGCGGTGCTGTCTGTTGCGTGGGAGGAGGCGGCGGTGGAAGATGAGTCACCGGTGAAACTCGCGAAGAAGGCGGCGGTGGAGACGGAGGTGAATGGAAAGATCTCGTCGGTGGCGGAGGAGACCGTGATCTAGAAGAAGGCGACGACCTAGACTTTGGAGGCGGTGGAGATCCACCAACGATCGGCTGCTTCGGCGGCGCGGGCTTGGGCGTCGACGGAACATTAACCGGCGGCCGTCTACGACCCCCGCTGCCGCTGCCGCTCCCACTTCCTCCACTACCGCCTCCGCCGCCGCCGCCGCACTGAAACTTGCTACAATCAACCGGACGAGCAGCTCCTGACGAACACTCCCTACCAGATCTCTGATTCGCCTTCCCAGCAATACAATTACTCGTCCCATTAACCGCCACGCCGCGTCTAACCGCCGCACAGCTGGGTGCCTCGCCGGAGAAGTAATTGAACGAGTAAGTAAAGTTCTGCAGATTGGGCAACGAGCAAATACTCGCCGGAATAACTCCAGTGAACTGATTATGCGCCACATTGAGCTGCTGCACCTTCTTCATATTCCCAATACTCGAAGGCAGCGAGCCTTGAAGATGATTGAAGCTCACATCAAACACCGTGACCTCCTTCAACATCCCAATCTCTGCAGGCAAACAACCGGTAAGATTATCATTCATCAGAATAATCTCATTCAACGTCTTCCCCATTTTTCCGATACTCCCCGGGATACAACCGCCGAGATTGTTGTTAGCAAACACCAGCACCGAAACCGGCGAGTTCCCTAGATTCTTCGGGATCCCGAATCGGAACCGATTGTCATTCAAAAACAGAGCATCGAGCGGCTTGTCGAAGAGCTCGGAAGGAACAGAGCCTTCGAAATCGTTGAATCTCAGATCCAGGTATTTCAGCGACGGCAGCGAGATGACGACGGTGGGGAACGCGCCGACGAAGCGATTGTTGCTGATGTCAAACTCGTGGAGGAGCTTGAGCTTGCGGAACGATTTGGGGACAATGCCGCAGAAGCGATTTGAATTTATGTGGAAGAGTGCCAGATCTGTGAGGAGGCCGAGCTCGGTGGGGAGGTATCCGGCGATGTCGGCGTGGTTGAGGTCGATGCCGGCGACGACGCGGAGTTTGGGGCTGGTCAGGGAAGGGGCGCAGAAGACGCCGGAGTAGGAGCAGACGGCGGGGCCGGTCCAGTTGGCGGTGAAGTTGAAGGGGTCGGAGTAGATGGCGTGCTTCCATGATTGGAGGGCAATGTAGGCCTGGCGGAGGCGGGGGTTTTCGAATCGCATGGAACGCGGGATGCGGACGGCGTCGGAGTCTTCATCGTCGGCTGCGGAGGCGGCGGAGAGGAGGAGGAGGCAGAGGAAGAAGAGGGAGGAGATGGAGCGGGGAGACATTAGGCGGTGGCGCATTGGTGCGGGGCGGCGGTGGCGGAAGGTAGGGAAAGAAATGGAGTATATTATTTGATTTGATTGGGGAGTCAGATGATGAAGTGGTGGAAGGAAATTTGAAAGAGGGAGAGGAGAGAGAAGACAGTCTGCCTGCCCATGTTTTCCGTCCACCATGTTGAGGGCTTGAGGCCTGGTTTTATAAATAAATAAAAATGTTTAATAATAATAATTAGGTTTTTCTAGTTGGAAGCGCGGCTCCAGCTTATTATTATTATTATTATTAATTTTTATTATTATCAATTTTGGGTAATGATTTGGGGATTATTTTCTTCTTGGGCAAGTGTAGCTAATTAATCAGAAATTAGAGGGATGAAATTTGGGGTGTTGGTGTTAGTGTTGTGGTATATGATCCACGATTGAACCTCTCTAAAAAATTCGAGTTATTGGGGACCAACTGGTTCTTGATATTGTATCAGAGCCTAGAACCGAAAGGTAATGTGTTCGAATCTCCACGCCCCCCAATATTAACAGTTTATTGATGCACAAGGTATGGTGGGCCTGTGCAAACTTCAAGCCCATAAGTTGACTTTCGTTTGAGGGACCGTGTTAGAGAGTGGTATAAGATCCAGCCGAACCTTTTTCCAAAAACTCGAGTTATTGGGAGCAACTGGTTCTTGACATTTGGGAGGAAGGTTGGGAAGGAAAAGGAAGAGGAGGACTAGGTCAAATGGGAATGAGAACATGAGAGGCACGACCAAGTATGTATTGTGTACTAGTGGGGACTACTCTGGGTGGGTTTGACACCATAGAGAAGCAAAAGATACGTGTGTAACTATGTCAACAAGGACGAAAGCAAACATGAGAGTATTCGTTGTTCTATGAAATCGAGCGGTGTAGAGTTTGTTATGTGGTAGGTCGATTAGAGTTATGAGGCAGAGTTTATGTTAGAATTTTGTATGTTTAGGTCGATTACAGTTAAGAGGCGGAGTTTATATTTATTTTTCCCGCTTATTGGCTAATTTATGTTGAATATCAAAGAATAAATATATCATCTGCTTCTAATCGTTGTTTTTCTCTTGATCCTCTTCGTTTATTTATGTTTTGCTCTCTTCTTAAATCTTCCTAATTTCGTTCTATTCTCGTACAATGTTCTTCTTTGTTTTTTTTCCGTAAGTCCCTCTTTGTCTCATGTCACCTCTTGTGTATATGGTATCAGTAAACTCGGAGATTTTTACACCATAAATCCAACAGTTCACAAGTCGTCACGAGGCAATGAAAAAAATGTAAAGTGAACGCTCTGCATATTGATCAAGGTGTGGCGACGGTCGTTATTGATTGGTTTCTCAGGACTAGTGGAATTTATCCATCGTAATGAAGAAAATGCATCAACTCGATAATTTAAGTTACAATACGAAGTAGAAATTATACAGCTATGCACGATAGATAGATAGATAGATGGAGGAGGAGTTGAGTCCGCGTATTGGCGAAAGAAAGATTGAAGCAGTAGAGTCGTCCCTTCCACGTTGCAATTTTGCAGCAGCTACAGCTCTGCACTATTAACAGCTGCTGCAGGCAGGAAGCGGAAGACAGGGAGGGAGGGATAAATAAGGCTCCTCCTCACCAACCCTTCTGACCTTTCTCTTCAATCTTTCCATCTATCTTCTGCTATGAATCTATTATCCATTTATTAACCCAGCCGACTCCACAACAAACCTACCCTTCCTCTATCCCCTTCACCATTTCCCGGTGGCTAATCCATCTCAATTGTTGGGTGTTTTTTTTATATATAAAAAATGATACTTATTTAAATCTTAGGGGTAGTTTGCTTCAAAGATTTTATAACGAGGGTTTCGTCATGGATTTGCTAATTAAAAATCTTGGGATTTATTAGGGATTTTGGGCATTATGGATTTGAGAAAATCCTTTGTTTGTTGAGCTATTTTTATCATGGATTGATGGTTTTTTCAGCTTGTCTCCAAATCCTAGGGTATGAGTTGGGAATGAGATTTATAAAATTGTGGAGCCCATGGATTTTGAGAAAAAAAAAAACCCAAATCCGTGGGCCCCACAGATTTATTTAAACATTTTTTGACAAAGCAAACAACGGATTATGTGTAAATCCATGATGGTTGATTTTTTGGTACCAAATCCATGATGCAAATCCTTAAAACGAACGACCCCTTAATATTTTCTCTCTCGATCTAGTTAAAATACAATCGACATCCAGTCGAGTCCAAACGAATATGAAAAAGATATGTTCAAGTTCAACGAAAATTCAATGAACTGATCTCATTTGCTCCGTTGCCACCTTTTATCCAATAGACTTAATCTATACATAGTGGATAAAATAAATAGTTCATTGATTACTCCCTATGTAACGCGCGGAGCAAAAATTTGTATATATTGTAGAATGTAAATACATCTAATGGTAGTAATGACTTTTGAGCGACCGATTGTGGATTGATCCTCCCGTCATCCCTCTGCTTCTTCTTATTCGTTGTAACTCTCTTTGTTCTTGACCTTTTGGTCTCCCCTTATGCAAAAAAATCTAACGGTAGTAATGTTTGTGACAAAAATATGTACATGTAATCTAAGTCTATCTCATAATTTCCCACCTTGATGTTTCAAATTAATGACTTTTGTTAATTGTGAATCAAGGGTAAGGGAGAAATATATATATAAATAAGCAGAAAACGCGGGTTCAACTAAATTTGCAATCCTAATCCTCCTAGAAAGAAATTTGTATGTGGACTAATCAGTTTTAAGAAACTGGGGCATGATGAACATGGTGGTGGGTTGGCAATCAACTAATCAAGCATTCAAGCTACTATTATACGCCATATTTTGTGTATAAATGTATTTCGGCAGGATTATTTTATTTTAAAATACTTTTTAAAAAATTTGTGATTTGGAGGAGAATTCAAAGACTCGGGAAAGGAAAATGACAACAACAGGACAATCTGCTCTCTCGGCGTCGGCGATAAATGGAGAAGAAACAAGTAGTGGGAGGCAGATCAGAATCTAATTGTTGTTGAGGGTTAGGCCCGACCATTTTAGTCTGGTTTAGCACGAATATATGACACATTTATTATATTGTTCATACATATATAAATTATATCATATATCATCTAACATGTTAACATATAAAATTACACTAAAATAATATGTCGTACTTGGATCCAACATTTAGTGAGAATTCACACACTTATATAACATCAATATTCAAATTTTCGATTTAGAGTTTCAAAGATAGGGTTAGACAAAGAGGAAACCCAAAGAATAGGCGTGTTTCGCAAACCAAAGGAAAAACGACATCGTGTGACCTCCAACCCAGTCATCTTGCAGCATTTCGACCCAATGAGTGTGTACGATCTTTTTTTCCTCAGTGGATCAGGGTCAAAACAGACCAACCAACAGTTCGACCCGCGGGTTGACAAGCTTTGACATTCAACATGTTTAATTATTATCATGATTCTCATTATTATACTTGGAGCATGTTTGTAAGAAATCTAAGAGCATCATCCCATTTACAGTCAGAAACGAGTTGGAGATTCTTACGAGAATTGAGAACAGAGAAAGGAAAAATGAAAAAAAAAAAAAACTTAATGCTTAGCACACCTTGCAAACTTATTATTCCATCATATGTTTCCGAAAGAAAAATGAAAGAATAAAGAAAGCATTTTGATTTGATTTTAAGAAAAATACATAAATCAGACCTTTTTTTTTTTTTGTGGGTTCAGTTGTTTAATAATTATCATTTTCTCCACATTCTTTCCTTCCTCTCATCCTTCCCTACAGATCACCTGCTCCAGGTTAGCACTGGGTGGCATTGTCAATCTCTTCTTCCCCTTTCCTTCTTCTTTCCATCATGGTATCTTCCTCCCATTTTGACACCATTGGTTCATGGATGAACTGATAAATTTCATTACATTTCTGCTAAACTTAATTTTCTCTTCTCTCTACATTTTGTTAGTATATAACAGCTAGAACCTAAGAAGCTCCTCTCACACTTTACAAAAAACCACAGCTGAATGTGATCAGTTCCCCTCATGAGATTGAATCACCAACTCCCCAACATGATCAGACTTACACCAAATCGAATCGTAATCCATACATTACCCAACTTCTGCAAGTCTTTCACTAGTAGCAGTTATTTCAAAAATCAAACAATTCAACGAAAAATTGAACGGTAAGACTGCAATTTCTGCACACAATTTACACAAAAAAGGCGGTATTTAGTAACCAAAATAACTCATCTACGGTCTACCCAACCTGATATCATTCCCTCTCTCCTCGGGGCCGCTTATGACATTCTGAATGTTCAGTTCTGGCAGTGTCAGTTGCCTGATCACTTGATGTTTTGGACGAACTCTGACTTCTCACATATGTTGTCTTTGCAGGGGAGGATTCATTAGCAAATGGGGCAGACCTCGACGGTTCGACTTGTGACGAGGAAGGAGAATCGATGCTGGGATTCGACTTCTGCTGTTCTTCCAGCAACTTCTTCAGGAATTCTGCGTTCTCCTCTATGCGCAACTGAAGGAGCTTTTGTGACTTCAGTTGGTCGTACAGCAGTTTCTGTACATCGATCTGCATCTGTAGAGCTGTTGTGACAACCATGTCTCTGCAAGTGAGACATTTTATCAGCATTCTTCTCACTAGTTAGGTAAAAAAGAAAAGAACGTGGTTTCTGGTACATTACCTATTCATATTTCCATCAGAATCAGTGTTGGATGAAGCTGTTTTCTTTTCCACAGGGCTGGCCATCTTTTTCTCTGAACAGTGACAAGTCGAAGCACATCGGTACATGAAAGTAAGTCGCATTGTTATTGCTAGAGATCACATCAAATGCCACATGAACAATTTGACAGTCCTAGGATTTGATTTTGCAGCAGTTTATGTAGCAAAAGGGTATGAATAATTTACCTTGTGTCTGGAGCCGATACTTCTGCAAATTATATGTCCATAGAACTAGTTAGAGATAGGGAAACCATGACGGTAAAACTGACGACGAGCTGTAGCTTGTTTGTTAAGTTACCTGTAAATGACTCTTGACGTGGTAGATGTTTAAGCCCTTGACATCCATAAGTGACAGTATGCGCTTTGGAGTCGCAACTACATCCACAGTTTGGTGAAAATTGTTACTGCAGAAGTTCAGTGAAATATAGGTGTTTTTATGAACGAGTGCAATGTTCTTTCCTTTACATAAATCTAATGTTATATATGTTGTTGCTCACCTTCAGGGCCTCCGAGGGTTCTCACTGCTCCAAGGAAAAGGTCATGGAGCTCCGTCGTCCACCTGATTCGCTGCTTATGACAACTTGCAGCCTCTGGATATTTGTAGCTAGTTGCAGGCAAGTAATCATCTGCATTCTTGTACTTTTTACAGTGCAATTCAGCAACAGGCCCCCTTGGATCTCGAGGCGGCGGTTCATAAATACCCTGCTCTTGCCAAGGAGAAGTTCATAATTGATCAGAATGTTATCCACTTTTCTCATAATCGTTATTCAGATAATTTGATTCCTCTAAAGACGATCATATTCTGCAATAATTTGAAGTTTGAATGACGAAAGTCTGACTAGTAGAAATACATGTTATGCCCTCATTTCTGTTATCAATATCATCATTTATTTGTCTAAAACTTGACAGACTTACCTCAAGAGCTGGACTTTCATGATCATCATCGTCGTCGTCATCATCGAGAGGGATATCAAGCTCTTTGGACAGATAGCCCATCGTCTCCTTCAGTGTCATGATAGTATCTTTACCCTGATGCAATTGACGAAAGCTGCTGTTGTGACTAGGGTCTTCCTCTGCAATGTCAAGGAAGTCTGTCAAGTCTTCCAAGCTCTCCATGCCTTGGTCGTCAAGCATGAATGGAGATTTCCCAGCGCTGGTATGGTGATGATGTTGATGATCATGATGATGAGGAGGTGGTGGTGGAATGATTCCAAGCCGTGGATCCATCCCCGGGTCGGTTGAAGAAGAAGTCGGGTGCAAGCTTGTGCAGAACATAGTGCTGTTTGGGACTGCTCCATGTAACAGATGGTTCAAATGTAGTCTCTGGGATCCCGGAACTGGTGATGATGCCTGGAAGGGGAAACCTGGCGGTTCATTTTGCGAATTCGGCTGGAAGGCACGACGACCAGAGCCATTGGTGCAGCAACTTGGCATCAGTTGTTTCTGATGATGAATTCTCAAAAAAACCTCACTAGCAGCAAACAGCTTCCTGGAACTCAAAACTACTGTCAGGATTTGAGAAAGAAGGGAAAAAATGACTCTTATCAGAGTTTTTACTGAAAGCTGACTTGAGTAGTTAGCAGTACCAAAAGATCAGACCTTGGAAGTGGTTTGGAAATGGAGGGAGGGAGGGGCTGTCTAGTTCCTTTCTGGCGAAGAAGGGAAGAGAGACTTGTTCACGCGGTTTGTCGCCATCAAGTTATATGGATCAGATTAAAACAGGCGAGCGAGGGCTTACTCCTTCGCTTCTTCCTTGTATATTCCATGCTGAGTTTTCTCTCTTGTCGCCAAGCTTTTGTCCCCAGCTGCTTATGTTTCCAATGCATTTTTTTCCTTCCTTCTCCTGAAGTTCAAAAAACACATTCGAGGAAAGATACATGCGGGGCGGGGTGGGTACTTTAATATCCATATATGTCTCATGCTAAGGGTGGTTTAGATTAGAGCGGTGGACAAAGTCGATGCAGATGGGTCCATTACGACATTTGTCTATGGAGAAGTCAGACTGAGCATGTAAGGGCAGGGTGAACGGTGCGTGATTTCATGCGAATTTGGATGGTCGCGAGTTACACGAAATGAAAATTGAGATAGAACGAGTTAAAAACGAGAAAATGGAACCGACCAGGAAGAAATGCAAGCAAGACACATCCTATTTTATGCTGCTCGCGAAGCACACGAGATAGATCAGGGACATCTAGCTGGTAATTTCAATTCTAGGCCAACTTGTTAACATTTCGTGAAATTGTCGCCGTGCTGTTATTGTTATCTGCCCGCTAAAAGGCAGAGGAATACTCTGTTTTTAACCGCATTCGAAACTCAGTAAGCAGCACAACGTTCTACAAAGGCCAACACGAACAAGACGCCTGCTTCAATGATGGTGTCTTTAAGCCAAGCTGTAGGGTCAGGTTGGTACCTTAGGAATCAATGGCGGGCGGCTGGATTCTCTCCATATATTAAAAAAAGCTGTCTTTTGGGATCTTGGGTTCTTCATCCATCGTCGAGGCTATTAGATAACAGGGCAAAATAAAATTGTGGTGTATTATTGACATCTTTGTGAAGTTCGAGGGGGAAAAAAAAGAGGAACAGGGTATCACAGCAAAGCGCCAAAGCTGGAAAAATTGTTGGTTGGTATGGCTGGGGAAGGAATCGGCAAATGGTGGAATGCTCTGACAAAAATGACGCTGTACTGTCAATCCAAAGGTGTTCGATGAGAACAAGAAGCCATTTTTGTACTCTCAGTCTACTTACCTGAACTTGAAGAGGCTCAAGAGTCCAAGTCACTGAAGCACAAAAAGGGATCATGTGGATAAAGACATCAGCTATTCCCTGTACCAGATCAGGTTGTTTAGCGTCACATGACGAAGAAAGAGTACAGAAGAAACAAGGCAATGCTAACCTTTTTGGGACCTGGATGTCCACGATGGCGCACGACACCTCCTTCGATGCCTTTCCGGCCTACCTATCAACTGTAGAAAGACAGCTACGTATAGTACAGGGGAGGCAACCGGCAACGACGTGGTGATATAGCATATGTACACATATGATGTGGAAAATGCAAACATTGCAGGATGATCGACTACTAGTCTAGTCCACTTCTCGAAGATGCAAGTTCAAATCCTGAAAAAACTACAGCAGTGTAGTTTTCGTTTTTCGTTTCTGGGACCCGAGTAGTACGTGGTAAAAAAATAGAAAGCAATTCGAGAGCATACAACAAAACAAGGCAGACAAAATTCTAGTTGTTCACTAACTGAAACCTGAGAACACACACATCCCAATTCATCAAACACTTAATCAGAGAGTCTCGTGGCCAAAGTGAATGTTAAAACTGCCTTAACACGGCTACTGCTATAAACAAGTCCATTGGGTCTCAGTTGAAACAGGGGAGAAAATGAAGATTGGTCTCAGCATACTATCATACACTTTTTTAGTCGCAAATATGGCTCCTTTTGGGTGCTTTGCTCCCACTACCTATCCTTCAGTTCCTGCTCGAATTGGAGCAGTTTCTCTCGCACAGGCTCCAAAAATGACTTCACGTCTCTGTTGATTCGCTGCTTATTCTGCTGAGATATGTCCTTTGTGTCGCTCAGCCGAACCTCAAACTGCAGTAGAATTAAGTAGGATGTATCAGCATGTATGGAAATTTCAGCATTCATGTCAAAAGGTCAATTGCCTCCTCGCACCGCTTCAATGTAGGATTCTGAAACACAAAAATTTGGGTTTCCAAGTTGATAAACCGGGCAGCCTGCTCCCGGGACTGACATTGTTCATGTAACAGCCAAACCCATCCCAAATCTATCCGAGTATTATATCAGTTTTGGATTCTAACATATGAAAATTTAAAGCCTTGATCTGTTGCCTGGTTGGGATTTTCAAGGATGCATCTAAAATCTACATATGAACGACCAAGTGGCTTCCTAGTTTGAATTAGATCAACAAGTGACTGCTGACTGTAACTAAATCGCTTGCCAGTATACATTGTTCTGCATAACTTATTTGGACAACATCTAACCTCCAGCATATTGAAATGAGGTTCCTATAAAACTAGGCATTTTGCAGCTCCCTTAGCTGTAATTAAGTTCACAGAAGATTACTACACAATACGACAGCATTAGATCGGTGCATCTCTTTAGAAGCCTGTAGAAAAACAATTCCTCACCTGCAAATCATCCAGCTCGCCATAGGAGAACTCTGTGATATCAACCGATCCTCTTATTGTTTTGGTTTCCTCTTCAATAGTCCACTCTCCTGATTGGATTATCGACTAGTTAAGTTAGGACAAGAGAAATAATCCAATGCAATTAACTGGGAAGTAGACCATTTCAGACAGCTTTCAGCTACCTTTGATGTCTAAAGTTAATTCATAAGTATAGCCGACACGCTTCTTGTTTCTCACAGTGACCAAGAAAGCCTGTTCACGCAGAGAAATTAACAATAGAAATAAGCACATTTTTATTCGACTAGAAAACATACTTCATCAGTAACCAACAGATGGGGAAACTTACATCGCCGGAACATTTTGAAACTGCTTTGATTTCTGCTTTGCCACCAGAGAAGTCCAAGGTTCCCACTGATGTAAGTAGCTCCTGCAGAGAGTACGACGTCAGATATACGTCTCATAAGAAGTAATCAACAATTTCTAAGGGAAACAGATAGGGTGAATTCAATTGAGAGGTAAAGAGACCAGAAACAGGCATGCCCATATGTAAAGTACAGACCTTTATTCTCTCACTCGCCCATTTATTAAGGTTCTTCTCCTCCCAAGTTCCTGCCTGCATCAAGTTCAAACCCAAACTCTTACTAGCAGCAGAGAAACTATGCAGGAAACTCCCCAAAGCAATAGCCTTTTTACTGCTAATACCATATCCTCAAGACACAAAAGTTACACCAAAACCCTTCACTGGAAGTTCTCACAGAAGTTTCTAAATGTTCAGGTGATTGGAATCTGCCCATAAAGGCAACTACAAAACCAGAGCAGTTTCATTCAAATCAAAATCCACGGATTCCTCCATCCCTATCACAATCCAATGCAGATTCCCGTAACCATTCTAAGCTCAAATTCGACGTAATAGAATATGAGTAGAAAAGAGAAGAGGGTTACCCGATTCCAGACAGACCCGAGGGGGGTAGACTTAGGTTGAGAAGAGACAACGTCTTCAACAGAGAGCTTCTTTGGAACAGGGACGGGAGCGGCATCCGCCGTGGCTTCCCTCACCCAATACGTATAAGAAGATCCTTGCTGCGTTTCCTCCTTCCTCAAATCTCCGTTCTCCATACTCTCTACCTCCTTCGTTTATCGCAGGTCGGCGCGATAACCCAATGCCGATCCCAATGGTTAGATCGGAGCCCAGAAAGGAGACAGAGGGAAAGAATCGGAATTTCTCGCAGGCAGAAAATTTTAATCTGGTTTAGGAGCGAAGGGAAAATAAATAAAAGAAAAGTGAGGTTAAAGAAGTGACTGGAAGAAACCTGACGCCGGTCTTCGTTCCAGAACCTTCGGGGAAGTATCCCTCTGCCTCCGACTTCGACTCCGTTTCTTGAACGAAACCTCATTTCCGGTCCCGGTCCCGGTCCCGTTCCCCGACAGCTACTTGTTTAAAATTTTAATCTTTTTTATACTAATTTGGTGTCCCACAAATTCGAATTTTCCCCCCAAATATACCATAAAAAACAAAGGAACTAGATAGTATAACACTATCTATTTTATTGTTAGGGTAACAATATTAGTCTCCAACCAATAAGAAGTTAGAGTTCTGATGACTTTTTATTAGTTAAGTTGACCTAGTGTAAAATCAAAGAAAGCGTATAATTCATTATGAAAATTATGTTTAAATAATAACAAAAAATAAAATAAAATTATAAAATAAAATTTATAAAAATATTTTTTTTTATTTTCTGTCCAAAATTTCGTTCGCCGGAATCCGGTCACCGGAGTCCGACCGTCGGTCACCGAATATGCTTTCTGTCGCCGGAATTCTCCAACAGGCGTCGTGATCATAATATGCTTACCGGCGTCGGAATCTAGTTATCGGGGCCGGAATATGCTTAACGGCGTCGAGCTTCGGTCATTGGCGGTTATCGGAGTTTGGTCAACGGTCTTCATTGATCGGTCAACGATCACCAGATATCATGGTCAGCATTATGAGATTTATGGTTTGGTTTCTCATATTTTTTCCATGCCTTTCGTGGATTACTTTATCGTGTTTCTGGTTTGCATTAAGAAGTTTCTGGTGACCTTTCGAAAATTTTGTGGTTTGTTTTGTGAGGTTTCTGGTTATGTTTAAATAAATTTGTGGTCTTCATTATGACGTTTCTGGTTTCTTTATGTGGTTTTCTTTACGGTGTTTATGGTTCAGATTATGAGGTTTCTGGTGTGCTTTAGAAATTTTTGTGGTTTGCTTTATGGGGTTGTCTTGTATGTTTTAGAGGATTTGTGGTTTGCATTAGAAGGTTTCTTATATGCTTTTTTGATTTGTTTTATCGTGTTTGTGGTCTACATTGAGAGATTTCTGATGTGTTTATGAAATCATTGTGTGTCTATCCTCAATCCCCAATTGAAAGCCTAGCTGTAGCAAAGGGCATGATCTCTTCTTTTCTTCCAAACATGTGGTGCAAATTAAAATAAAAATACATAAAAGAAACATTTGAGAAACACATGTATCCACTTCATCTCCGTCCCATGTCTTGTCCAAACGAATCTGTCAAGTTCCACTTCTCCGTCCCGTCTAAACACAATTAGCATTTAATAATTAATTAAATTAATTTGGACCAATAGATGGTAGCCACATGGGCTGGTAGCAACTACTCTTTACAATCAATCTACCAGGGTGGAAATTGGGCGAGTGTGGTTACCCGCCCCAAATTTTGTAGTTAACCACACCTATATTTTGCGGTTAACCATTATCCATAGCGTATTGGTGCGATTTTGTTGTGGATATGCAATTTTTTTATTATTGAATATGGTAATATGGTAATTAATATTGATGTTATGTTTCTTCTCACACAAAACATACAAAAAAGAAAGTTATTAAAGTGTTAAATAAACTGTAAATCAATTATCCCCTAATGAATCGATTAATTTATCCGACTTTTTATTGAGTTGTTTTTGTTTTATAAAATAAAAATATTTCATATGGACACATCTTATTTGATAAAAGTATCACACACACAGATGTTGTGTATTGACTTGGTTTTGTTTGATAAAATAAGTGTGTGCAGTAGTGTGTTTGATTTTGGGGGCTACTTTAAGTTTTAGCCTTCCACTTTTCACATACCATGATATTATAAAGCATTATTAACAAATAAATATAATTAGTGAGGTTATTGTTGTTTACTCGGTGTGGATAGTGGTTAATCACTAACCACAAAATATCAATATTTTGCTAACCACATCTAACTCACTATCCACAAATTGTAGGCATGGTTACACACAAAGTGTACGATTTGATGCGATTTCCGAATTACCCACAACCCCAAACCAAACTTCGACCCCTATCATCAATGATAAAGCCTAAGCCAGCTTTCAGACCTGTATACAACTTCAGCCTTCCAGCAAACTATTCTCTTAATTTTCATGCAATATCTTGTCCCCATATAATCGAGAACTACGTCAAGGCCAAAGCAGGCTAATCTCCACACTCCAACCAGCTCTATAAACCTTACTCATATCTGATCTGTTACCCCACCTTTCTAATCATCCCAACTCCAACTACCGGACACGGTTCAAGAACAGAGTAGAGCACTGGACCACGACACTTTTCTAAATAATGTTTTTCGAAAATTAACGAGTATGACGACACCTACCGTTCGTTCTTAGCTGCCAAAAAATCTCCACAACGACATGGAAGCTGATTGTGATGACTCAAAGTTGACTGACCCATTCAAAGTCTTTCCCTCTTTGGCTGGTTCTTTTATGTGGCTTCAGGTTCAGGGGACTCTCTGCCCCGCCATCCACTGCCCACCTTGTAACTTGTAACCCACGGTAGGTTTTTGGAGCTGGTTTCCATTCTTGTCATCTTCCCCACTCCACCATGCAATAACTTACTACTAGCCATAGCTTAAAGATAACCTCTTACATGGCGGCTGAGATCTAATTGGCTTATACGATTTCAAGCAATAACCTCCACACATGCATCAAGTTTTCTTTTTTTTCCACATTCAATCTGTTGTATGACTTGAATCGAACTATCAGTCGTTATAACTGGAAGTCATGGGGGTCTCATCTCCTCTGTAATCTGTAATCTCCTCGATATAGTGAAATCGGCTCTCTCTCGCCCGTGGACTAGCAAACATGCATCGTGTTAGTGAACCACGTAAATCGTCTGTCTTATTTTCGATTCTCGCTTTCTCGATTCCGGCGATTTCCCGATCTGTAGCAGTGCAGTAATAACACAATCCTCACTTGCAAGCAAATGTGTATAAATACAGGAGAGTACTCTCTGGATCCAGTCATATACAATTCACTCACTAGCTATTCTACAAGTAAAATTCCAACCATGATTCCTTTCCTAGTTATCATGCTGTTAATCCAACACTTCCTCTTCCTCCTTTCCACTACTGCTGCTGCTGGTAGTTATTACAATAACCATCAACGTGATGCAGCAGCTCTCCTCCAACTCAAAGCCCACATCATCTCCGCCTCTTCTTCTTCCGATCATCCTCTCTCCCGCAACTGGACCGCCGCGGCGACCGCCCAAGTCTGTAGCAGCTGGATCGGCGTCTCCTGTGGACATCGCCACAGGAGAGTGACATCATTGAATCTGGCGAACATGGGGATGCAGGGGACTCTGCCTCACTACATTGGTAATCTCTCCTTCTTGGTTTCTCTCGATCTCAGCGGCAATCTCTTCCGTGGGGATTTGCCGATGGAGCTGTCTAAGTTGCGGAGGTTGAAGATCATCAACCTTTCTGATAACCAGTTTGGAGGTAGCATCCCACCGTCGCTTGGGGATCTTAGGGGTTTAAAGGTGCTGGATTTGGAGGGAAACCGGCTTTCAGGTGCCATACCAACTTCAATTTTCAACATTTCTTCTTTGGAGAGACTGATATTGGGAAATAATAGTCTATCCGGAAGCCTTCCGGATGATATCTGCAATCAGTTTCGGAACATTGAGGTGCTGAATGTGTCTCTCAATGATCTAGGCGGTCGAATTCCATCTTTATTGGGGCGTTGTGGTAATCTTCAGAACTTATCGTTTTCCCGTAATTGGTTTACTGGACCGATCCCGAAGAGTATTGGGAATTTAACTGCATTGAAGGTTCTATCTTTCTCGTTCACAAATTTAACAGGTAGTACCATCACAATTTGGTTGGTGTATTGACGAAGTGGGGGAAAACAGCTTACGATTACATAAATATAACATCAAGTGGTTTTGTGTTGCAGGGGATATACCAGTTGAGATAGGCCACCTTAAAAGGTTACGGAGACTAAATATGCGGCATATTGGTCTTTCTGGAGTCATTCCACCTGTTATATTCAATATTTCTACTCTTCGAATGGTGGCTCTTTCAGAGAATAGGTTGCTAGGGGTCTTGCCACATGATTTGTGTTCTCATGCGCGGGAACTTCAAGAATTATATTTGAATGGGAATCGATTTTCTGGAAGTATTCCAGTCACTATTGGGAATTGCAGCGTTCTCCGGGAATTATATTTGTATGACAATAATTTGTCAGGTAATTCTGTTTATTCTTTTGACTGCACATTTTCTTTCCTTCTGCTTTGGTTTTTCTTTATTTTGATTTTGAGATTGCATAATATTTGTTATATTCGTGATGTGGATTTCATATATTGATAGCATATTTTATCAAATCAGTTCTCCACCGATGAGTCCCTAATATTGCACATTTGATTATTTCATGTATTATAAATGGAACAACGAAGTGACACAAAGCATCACGGAAATTGTGAAAACATAAACCATGTATTCTTTTCCATCCAAAAAGTTATTCACCTTAATTATTAGCTGAAAACTTGACATGTTTCAAACCAAACCACAATGCATCCTTCTATTTCGAAAGAGCGCTATTGCGCTCTTCCATCTTGGTAGGTATCAGCTGGAGCTGGTGACGGTGTAAGTTTCGTGGTGCGGATGAGCGAGAGACTATCGTCATGACCTATGCCTCGTGAGAATTTCGAATAGACGTTCAGAGGCTCGGCTTTCTCTCATCGCTAGCTGCTTAGCTAGCTAAGTCACACTTGCACCCGCGCCACATGTGCAACCATCACATTTGCACAAGTGGGCTCTCAATGAATTCTACACACTAAATTACTTCTCCTTCTAAAATAGGAAAGATAAAAACGGCTGGAAACTTCTGATTTGTTATTCTTCAGCTGATTAATACTAAACGGCAACATACATATTCATAGCAAAAGACTCAAACCTTAAAATATGCACTTTGACTAACTTTCTTCTTAGAAAATATGGAAGAAGAATATTGATCTTATATATGTCACTAGTGGCAAATCCATTGTTGACTTCACCACGATGAAGTGAAACGGTTATGAAAAGTTAGTTTCCAAAATATAATTTTAGAATACGAAACACATTTTACATCATAAATCCATTGGATTTGAATTACATTATTGGTGTTAGTTGAACTTTTATGAATATATATTGTTTTTATTTACAGCTTCTTAGCATTCATGGACAATGCTAAGCCTATTTTCACCATGGTCGTTCTTTTCATTCCTGCTTTTGTCCAGGTATCTATAGTTCTCTCCATACCACATTGTGCCTAAATAGTACTGTACCAATTACAAAAAACTATTACAAGCCACAATTAATTACAAAACTATTACCAACCACAACATAAACATATTAATTTGATCTTAGATAATGGTTCAATAAACCTGATTGTGACAAGTCGAAATTTCTGGCCAACAGGCCGGACACAAGCTAATTTGAAATGGACAAAAATACACAAAATTCTACATATATTATTGGAGAACTGGTGAGCATCACCGCACAAATATAATTTGAGATGTCGCGAGAAGAGCATGGCCTCATGGCACGCCATGAAACTTGCTTTTGAGGTCACTCTTCAATGGCGTTAGGATTAACTTTTTGGAAGGTGTTAATGAAATTTTCACTTGAAATTTTGTTAATATTAACAAAAACAACGTCGAGATCTAAAATCTCTCTCAATTTTTTTTTCAAACTTGAAGATATGAAAGCAAGAACTTCAAATGCTAAACCAGACATTTTTTTATACTCTTTAATGACATATATAGGACCATAGTTCATAGAGGTGACTTTTTTTGTTGTTGCCAAAAGCTCACTTACATTATCACGAAAACAGATAAATACTTTATAGCTTAGTCCTTAACCAAGAAGAGAAATCAAAACCAAACACATTTGTATGAAACAAAGAAATGGTTTTTCTATCCACAAATAGGTTACCCGGTTGTTCTACCTAGCTATGAAATGGATTCTAAAATCGTTGTAATTTTGATGCCACTTCGCAATTGTTGGTGAAATTCAAAAGTTAATTAATGAAAATGATTCTTCAAAAATTTGCAGATGAATTTCCAAATAATACTTGCATATGTGTTGTCATATTATCTGATCACCTTCAATTGATTCCTTCATACGCTAAATGCTTTAGTTGTGAATTGTGATTCAACTATCTCTCCACGTACACGCACATTGTTAGTATTTTATCTCAAACCAAAAGAAATAACCCTCTGCGCATAATTGATTGCTAATTCATGTTAGCTTCACACTAAACAATAGTTTAACATATTACTCTTTCTTAAACCAATGGAAAAAGCATCATAAATTTTTTATTTATTTATGGAATACTAATGGTACCACTTCAATTGTTGGTATATTACTTAACAATTTGAAGGAATACTTTACGAGAACTACGTTTATTGATTGATATGTTGCAGGTGAAATTCCTTTGGAGTTGGGTTATCTAAATGCTCTTCAAAAGTTGGCCCTTGATCAAAATAGATTAAGTGGCTTAATTCCATGGACGATCTTCAACATCTCATCCATGTTGGTAATGAGTTTTACTCTGAATGAATTATCAGGAAATCTCCCACCAACATTAGGCTCGCACCTTCCAAATTTGGAGTGGCTTAGTGTTTGGGGCAATAACCTCAATGGAAGCATCCCACCGTCCATCTCCAATGCTTCTAAGCTTGAAACTTTGGAACTTTCAAGCAATTCATTCTCCGGTCGTGTTCCCAATACATTTGGCAATCTTCAGATGCTACAAGTGCTCCGGAGTTGGGGTAATAGCAATCTAGTGGTAGATCCGTTTTTCCTCACTTCTTTAACATCATGCAAGAGTTTGAAAAGCTTGGTGATCTCGGAGACTTCATTTGAGGGTGCATTACCACCTTCCATGGGGAATCTCTCCTCGTCTTTGCAGTATTTTCATGGATCTAACTGCAAGATACAAGGCAACATTCCAGGTGAAATAGGAAACTTGAGCAACATAGTTGAAATCGAACTTTCATCCAATCGATTGACGGGGTCCATCCCACGGGAAATACATAAACTGAAGAAGCTTCAATACTTGGGCCTTTATCTGAATGAGTTACATGGAGTCATTCCGAATCAACTATGTGAGTTATCATCATTGTTTGGTTTAAGTTTGGGGGACAACAATTTCTCTGGACAAATCCCAGAATGCTTCCCCAATGTGACTTCCTTAAGAAAACTTTACTTGGGATTCAATATGTTAAGCTCTGTGATACCTTCATCATTTTGGGATCTCACCTACTTGTTGCACTTCAGTCTAGCCAGAAACAATCTGATCGGTTCTATATCTCCACGACTTGGAAACTTCAAGGACTTGATCACTATGGATTTATCAGGAAATCAGTTATCAGGCGACATTCCAGCAAGTATCGGAGGCCTTACAAACTTACAAAATCTGTCTCTTGCACTGAATAATTTCCAAGGTCCGATTCCTGAAGCCATTGGGAACTTGGTCAGTCTCGTGTTCTTGGATTTGTCAGCTAATAATCTCACTGGTATCATCCCCAAAACCATGGAGTCATTGAGGTATCTGAAACAACTCAATGTCTCTCAAAATGGGTTATGGGGAGAAATTCCAAATGGTGGGCCTTTTGCAAATATGCCTTCGGAATTATTTTTGTTGAATCCTGGCCTATGTGGCTTACCCAAATTTGGAGTGCAACAATGCACACAAGGACACAACAAGCACTTTGACAAGTTACTAATTGCAGTTGTGGCTTCAATCGTCTTGTCACTAGCAATTGTTGCTTTCACTTTGACAGTAATGATACGCCGCCGAAAAAAGAGCTCGGAAGAGAGGAACAAGGTGAAGGAAGAATTATTGGCTTCACTAACATGGAGAAGGATTTCCTTGCTCGAGCTTCAACGAGCTACTGATGGATTTGACGACTGTAACTTATTGGGAAAGGGAAGCTTTGGTCGTGTATACAAAGGTGTTCTAGCTGATGACACCAATGTAGCGATAAAGGTGTTTAGTGAATTGGAAGGAGAAGCTGATGATGATGACATATTTGGTAATGATACTGAATGTGAAGTTTTACGAAATCTCCGACACAGAAATCTCATTAAAATTATCAGCACTTGTTACACGACTGGTTTCAAAGCATTGGTATTGGAGTTCATGCCTAACGGGAGCTTGCATAAGTGGCTATATTCACACAACTACTTTCTCGATATTTTTAAGAGGTTGGACATTTTGATCGATGTTGCATCGGCTCTTGAATATCTCCATCAAGGTTATTCCATTCCAGTTGTTCATTGTGATTTGAAGCCAAGTAATGTATTGTTGGATGGAGATCTCGTTGCTCATATAGCTGATTTCGGCATTTCCAAGTTCCTTGGAAGCGGGGATTCCATGACACAAACATTGACCCTTGCTACAATTGGATACATGGCACCAGGTACCATATTACATGTTAAGAATTTCGCCCTTATATTGTAACCGCAAATGATTATTGATTTCACATGCAAGCTGTTTAATGCACTGCAGAATTTGGCATGGAGGGAATAGTGTCAACAAAGAGCGATGTGTACAGTTTTGGAATTCTTGTGATGGAAGTGTTCACTAGAAGAAACCCGACAGAAGAATCATTTCAAGAGGGAATGAGCATGAAGCAATGGGTTACGACATTAGTGCCCGAGGGAGTCACGAAGTATGCTGATGCAAATCTACTGAATTGCAACAGTAACAGGGATTTTAAGTCTAGAGAAAGTTGCATATCTTCAATTATGAAACTGGCGTTAGAATGTTGTGCTGATACACCAAGGGATAGGTTGGCCATCAATGACGTACTTGCCAATCTCAGAAAGATTAAGTCACAATTGCAACAAGATCTTTGTCGTCGAGCATGAAGACTATACAGGAATAAATGTAGGGATTGTTTTAGCATTCGGGTGATTTATTGAATACATTCTAAGCTTTGTTTGTGGCTAATCACATGTTTCAACTTTCAGTTGTCACTCAAATCCTCAAACACATCTACTTATGCTGCAGGTAATACTGCTTCTAATTAAAGTGGAAAGTTTGCTACATTTGTGCTCCATTCTGGAGTGTAAATACGTAGCGAATTCAGCATTGTGATTTTCAAAATGATTCAATTGCATTGTGGTAAAACTATTCATCCCTCTTTATTCACGACATGATTTCCTTCCTAAGTTTGTGTATGTGATTCTACTGATTTGAACTTTGTCCAACTGCCGTTGTGCTGGCAAATGCTGTTGGCTCTGGGAAAAGGGATTCTCTCGTTCTTCAGCTGGCTATGCATGCTTTTTGTGTTGATTTAAGTTGGATGTGCTCCCTGTATGGATTTTAAAAAACTCCTTTGGTCTTACTTCAGCTTCTCAACTACACAATGTTTGAAATGCCTGACCAAATTGAGTCTGCAATATCAATCTTTGTGAACCTTGTGGGAAACTGAACTAGTGAAGTTGTTGAGAGTCCAAATATATATTGGTAAAACCGTAATAAGATGCGATATAACCGTGTCAGTTTGGTCTTTGGTATGCAGTTTAACCGGTATGACAGAGTATTGTGGAATCAGATTATAAGATTTGATAGCATGGTGTGGAGGACCATGAGCAAATCTAGAATATTAGAGTGGCCGATGGACCTTGCGACGATCAAGGAAAAGGCGAGGAAGATGGAGTACAAGAACAGAGAGGAGTTCAGACGCGACGTGTGGCAGATCGCTTTCAATGCCCACAAATGCAATGACGGGCGAAACCCTGGCATCCCACCTCTAGCTGATCAGCTTCTAGAACTCTGCGACTTCTTGTTAGGAGAGAGTGCGAGCGAGTTAGCTGGGGTGGGAATGTAGAACAGTATGATGCAGGAGGCAGAGGAAAGTTTTTGCTTCAGAACTCTTTAGTAGGTCAGTCTCCTGGGGCTCTTAGCTAGCTGCTTCTGGAGTGGTGGCGATTGGTTGATTCTTCCCTGTGTAAAAATACCAACTTAGCTGTATTTCATCTGTACATCACTTCTGTAAATGCTCCACTAATTAGGAACTTAATACATTTAGGAAGGTAGATGTTGGTCAAAAAATAACGAGATTTCGTCAATAGTAATGTCATAACAAGAAATTCATTTAATAATTTGCCATTGTTAACGTTCCAATCCAAGTGCATTGCTTAAGCATTGAAAAGTTGCATCGCAAATTCGACCTCGAAATCTAGTGACATTTTGATACTAAGGGTACACAACAGGAAGAAAAAAAACCTAGTTTCCGCTTTCAGTTGGATGAATAATACTAGAAACAATAAAGAAATCCAGTTGATAATAGAAACCTCTATGGCTACACATCAACCAAGCTGAATGATGCGAACAGAAACTTCTAATCATCTAACTTAAGGCTACGTTCTAGAAAACCCTATTTCACTTGGACAAATTTTAACCAGCAGCCTCAACAATGGTAGCATTAAACCGAAAATGATCGAAGGTGTGTATATAGTGAAACCTGTGTTAGGGATAGGTGTGTCCAATTCAAATGATCGATCCCCCATCCCAAGATGATATGCTCAGAAGACGAGGACGCCCCGTGATCTTTTCGTTAGTTAATCTTAGGCTTGGCCCGTCCTGGCTTCAACACGGCATACAGAAGACCAGCAACAACAAGGAAAGCAGGAATGGTTGTCATGTCGAAAATCAGATGCACTTTCCGCTCTGTTGTGCAGTGAACTGGATGCAGAAGAGCAATAGTTGCATTCACTTGCTCAGAAAACCTGCACCAGCAACGCCAGTCTACAGCTTAGAAACAACACTAGACCAAGACAACTTGCTTCTTCTTCTCATTAAAGAAACTACCTCTCGTCGTCAATTATATTTTTCACTAAAAATATATCATATCAACAAAAGCCTTACAGAACACACTTTCCCTTCATTTTTACTATAAAAAAGTCACTTTTCTAAGCAAAAGCTAAAACAAACACACCCTAAGTTTAATTTAGCCAGATAAAGGGCTCCAAATGGGGTGAGCACTGAGCAGAAAGCCAATACTTTGGGAAATCATATCTCCATATCTCAAAGAATATGAACAGAACTACTGAGCTGGGGGGGAAATGTCACCTAGAGCTAGCAGTGGCACAAACCCTTAATTAGACAAGTCAGTACCAGAATCAATAAGGATATAAGTTTCAGCAGTCGAAATGACTTTACACTTTAGTTGCATCCTCCAAGGTAAGAAGAAGTCGCATGGCATCCACATAACGCAGTTCTCCAGTAACAGTTGCAATCTGAAATGCAAGGGCAAGATATCACGACGAGTCAACAACTGATATTTCAAAAAGTGACAATGATAATGCAAATTCTAGATAAGTTAGTATCAAGGAATACTCACCCTTCTCCACAAACTGACAACATTATTATACTTGTTCACAAGTTCTTTCTCTTCAGAATGGAAGAGCTTGTATGTACTTTTAGCTGTTTCAGGTTAAAGTCTTTTCAGCAGAAGCAACAGACAAATGGATAATAAGAGCACTAAAAAAATACACTTCTCCAAATCCACACATAAAACCGAGTTTTGAAACAGAAGCAGTAAACAGTGACCAAAGGATACATGTCCTTTCCATGAGTAGACTGCGTATTGCAGAATTGACTAGTTGTAGAGACTCTTCAAGGGTGGTGATTATGTAACTCCGTGCAATTGTATCCAAATGGAACTGTGAGATATCCCAGCCTTGAGATGTAATGGATAATGGATTGCATCCTACTGACCATATCCAGTCCTGTGAGTTTACGGGTACAGCAAATCAGAAATATAGCACTAACCGCTTTTAACAGGACAGGAAACTCCACTTCATGAGTGTGCTCAAAAGTATGCTTAGAGGTGCAAAATCTTCTATGCGCATGTGAAGCAAAGGTAGCATGGATGCTACAGTTCAATACTACAATGCCTAGCATTCTATAATGGAAATGTGAAACATTTGAAATTCCAAGGTATCATACCATTAGGTAAAATATTTAAACGTTGGAATGTTAAGGGATGCTTAATGGTGAAAATTTGTTCTTCCTGATGTCAGCATGCAGAAAATTGCCACGCCATAAACCGAAACACTTCAACAATCCAAACATATATACCTCAATCGCAGTGTCATGTGCATGGCTGTAGACCAGATGAAGAGGAAGTAAGCCGGCCAGATGTTCAGAAACAGCAGCGAGAGCAGCTTTAATGGGTCTTCTGAGTAATGACAAGGAAACAAGAACCAAGAAGATGTGTCGAAGATAAAGCATCTATTTGAGAATTGCTTCATTGTAAAAGTCAAATAATCCTTTGTCTAACCTCAAGTCCCACAGGAGTGATTGCCCATTACACTGGAGATGACTTTCCCATGATGATTGCTCTGACTGAACAACAACGATCATATCAGAAAGCGCTTTTGCCTGATAGTGCTTGTCAACTAATAATGGCTCTCCATGAATAAACCAAAAGATGGGAACTTCAAGTGTAGATCTGGTATGGGCATGTGCTCCTGCATTATTGAAGTTGGGGATAAGAATAGACTTGACTTGTGTAAGTGATGAGAAGGAAAAATATAAGGTTGATTCTGCATCATCAATGGAGTTGCATGTTTTTGTTTCTAGTTCCTTCGGTTCTAAGGCCCTGTTTTCATAGGTTAATCAGATTATCTTCAATCCATCCATAGTCAGTTTGGTGCCTGACAATGGTCTATTATAGAATTGGCATATCAAAAGAACTTGAGTGGGGAGAGATCACCTTTTAGAGAACCATGGTCATTCAGCTTCTGCAACTGATACTGAAGAATGGAGGAGTCAAGATATGTCCGAATGGTTTTCCTATAAGTTCCATTCACAAGCAAGAGCGGGACAGCTGCAGCTCGTCGTCCCACTGAAAAAGCCATGGCTAAAGCAGGATCCTCTGAAAGTGATAACCTAGATCCAGCTAGAGAATTAGAAAACACAGAAGCAATGTTTCTATCACATGAAATTAAGACAAACCAATAGAGAACAAAGTGGTTGGGTAGCTTTTATTCCATACAGACTCATGGATTTATGCAAGGGCAATTTGAGAAATTTAATCTTTCGAAAGCAAGTACTTACAAGTTTGGGCTGAATATAGGTTTCTGCGAAGGTAATAACAAAGATGATAGCCCATCCATGATAGCTTTGAGATCCACAGGGAGTTGTTTAATGGTCCTAACTTTCTGTGTGAATAGCAAAGTATTAAGACGAAACTCGATCCAACAAGGAACCTCCTTGACAGGGTATAAAACGCATGCCATACCTCTTGTGTTATAAAGAACAACTGAAATGATATCTTCTCATAGTGATGAAATGCACCATCAGCAATTGAAGGTGATATTATGTGTCTCATAGATCCCCAAAGAGTTGAACCTAAATGTGCAAGAAATGTATCTCGTGCAACAGTGTAGTTCTGGAAATCCTGTTCGCAGAAGTAATGTAGAACATCAGAGAATGCTACTACTTGAAGCAAAAGCATCCTGCTAATATATAACAGCAAACTAAAGCACTGCCAGTCTAGAGAGATGAGGAAGGCAACTCACACAGACAAGCAAAGGGTAGCACAGTCAATTAACAAGACCGAACTCCATTTTTACATGAAATACTGACACTAACTTTTTAATTTAACATTAAAAGTACTAAGAATGCTGCACAAACGAGAAAACAATAGCATGGGTTCATCTGGCAAAGACAATATATTTTGAATTTATGCTCACCAGCTTCACCGCTCACAGAGCACAAAAATAAGATGCCGACACAAGTCAAACTTGTTTACTTAAAAACGATTCGAATCAAATTTTTACTCACCTGCCGCCTAAGCTCATGTTTGTGAAAACAGATATATATGTACCAATTCTCTTAACTTCATCACAACTATTTTTATAAAAAGAATCTTAATAAAAGTAACACAATGGTTGTGCTACTTTGGCAGCAGAGCATGGTGGAGACATTCAGATTCTGCTTCTGAATCTAAAGCAAAGAATAGATTACATTGTAAAATGCCTCATTAAAAGCCAAATCAACATACCTCCTGGGTATCGCTAAAAAGATTCCAGTTTTCCATACGTTTCAATGCCTCCATGGCCTTCTTCTTAGGGCTCTCATCATTTTCTTCACCTTCTAAGGACTGAAGTTCATTTTTCAAGTCCCTCATTCTCTCATCAAGCTCTGAGACCACAGACATAAGATAGATCATAAAACAACATCAACGCAGCATTAAGCCAATCAACTATATTATACTTAAAATTTTATGACAGTGCAGTTTGGCAGCCATTTCATTGAAAAAAACTCAGGCTTAAGCAAATTTACAGATATAAAAGAAACAAACCTTCACAAAGTGCTAGCTTAACTCTTCTTCCTTTACAGTGCTTGAAAGCAAAAAGCTCATAGATATCAATTTCAGCAAGAAGGATATCAACCGCCTGATGATCTTTCTGCAACATTCAAGAAAAATTAACAGGCTCAGATAGCTAAAAAAGAAATTCATAAGATTTCTAACTGAATATAAGAACATCTTGTGGAGAAAGTGAATACAAGGCACACAAACGCACACATGCAAGGGTGCACTCAAACATTAAATATGTTAGCACTCGGAGGTAAGTTTGTCAGATCTTTTATCTTATAGTTCAAATGATATTTCCTCCACCAGAATTGAACCAATAAGCTGGGCCACATAATTCCCTTTTCAATTTAGCAATCACCCATGCAGTATTTTTTGGAATTGGCAATAGTGAATCAGTTACTACTTTCTCAAAGAGTTGGGGTTGACGTTTGAACTCAGGAAAACAAACTGCTACCAAAATTCTTATTCAATAAATCACATACATCACCAAATATTGCAAATTTTTCCTGGATTGCTTCTTGCAAGCGATCTTCAGCTTCATCTTCAGAAATTTCTGGATTACAGCAGAGAAATTAAATACACTGTAAAGAGACAACTGCAAAAGAAGCACTGGCACAAACAGATTGCAATTCTGCAAGAACAAACCGATAATATTAAGCAAACAGATTGAAGAAAAGGGAGAGAAGGAACTTGGAGAAGCATACTAGAGTATACAGCAACCAATGTGCATTTAATACCAATACCAATAAATGCAACTGACAGTTCAACTCAAAGTACAGTGTGATAGTTATAGCTAGTTACTCCTTATTCGATCGTTAGCAAAGATGTTAGAAGCAAACTGGAGCCTGGAGGGGGGACATTTTATTACCTGTAACAGCACCAATTGTTTTTTCCACATTTGGAAGACTAAGTTTTGTACGAACACCTTCCCCACCAACAGCAGGACCCCATGCGAAAGGGCCAGCGGATAGATCAATGAACGCCCACCTGGTGCAGAAAGCAACAATAATTCAGTCTCTACGATTTCCATGTGGACATGCATATCAGTATACAAGAGAAAGACTTTGCCACCTGTCCTTCCCGATCCAGGTATCAGTGAGACATTCTGGTTGAAATCCAGCAAGGTCCCCAGCTTTTAGTTCCTTCTCCAAAAGAAGCTTCATGTATTTATTCTTTCCTTCCAAAAGCTGGATATCCAGAGACAATAATCAGTAATCATCAAAGAATCAACACACGTAGAGGACCCTCCAGCTTCTGGGGGAAAAGGTTCATAATAGGCAAAGAGGGGAGGTTGCTAACCTGCAAAGCTTTGCTCAAGATGATTTCAGAAATGTCTTTCCCTTGGTACAGTTTTTCAACATTATTGAGCACATCCAGACAATTGTTATACCATTCAGCCTGAGGTCAATAAAACAGTAGTCTAATGTAACATGATAGAAAGTTCACCATGATCTTACCTATTTTATGCATTTGTCCATGAAATGACTTATATAAGTAAATGTAGACAGAACAAGACATAAGTGCCAGTTTCACAAGATAAACAGAGAGAACACAGACCGTATCAGTATCTTCGACAACTGTCCAAGCAAATTTCGTCATAGGATGCTTTTCATATAAAGGTCTCTTGATCTTTTCGAATGCTGCAGATTACAATCCGATAATTCCAAAATTTAAGAAGCATAAAAAGAGATATTGCACCTCTGAATGGAAATGGACACAATGACAGAAGTTACCAAGGACACTTTCTGGAACAGTTCCAGACTCCAAAATCTTAGTCTGTAGATTTTCATCCTGAAAAAGAAAGTATAGATCATCGAACAGAGTTTAAAGCAAGCGGTTCTGCATTTGATAAGAGCTCCTCATGTTATGTCTGTTCCCCCCCCCCCCCCCCCCCCCCTCCAAAAAAAAAAAAAAACTTGTATCTTCTCTGCATTGTCTGACACGTTTATTCTAGATGAAATTATCCGATGATGCAAACAAGAATGTAACACACAAACCCGTTAAAGAATAAATAAAGAAAATAACAAGAGGCTCAAATAGAACACAAAAGACAAACCTTTTTCAGGAAATCGATTTCTGACCCTGATAAACCTCTCCTGTAATCCAAATTAAGAAGGGGAAAAAACAAGAAAAAGAAAGACACGAACAGGATGAACTTAGACATAATGCCAAACTTAAATTGAAAACACCAATTTAGTGAAGAACAGTATGGACACAAAGGCAGCCAGTTTGCTAACCTTGTTACCATACAAATTCATAAAAAAAGCATAACAAGCATTACACACCGATAGCCATATTTAGCTCTCTTCAGGTCATGCTTGGGATTCAAAATGAAAATGTTATAAGCGCTGTCAAGTTCCAGGTATTCAACAAGGCTTGTGAAAATAACATCCATCAGATCCATATCAACTTGCCAAAGGGCATCCTTCTCATCCCTGTGTAAATGAACAAAAACCATAAGGCATAAGTAGATCCAATATGCAATTGTTAGAGAAATGCATCTGATTTCCGTCTTCTCCCAATTCCTAATTCATAAAGCTGCAAATCGGCATACTCATGAACCATGACTCCTCTCTCACTATCCACTCCCACAACTAAGTTTAAGCAGATGAAGACAACAATTTTAGCAGTTGGCTGTAGCTTCATGAGAATTGCATATTTTAACGACCATACATATATGCATGATTTTAAGAATGCTATATAATCCCCTAGCTACCTGCTTTACTACTACCAGTCGACAATCAGAGTCTACATGAAGCATGAAATGACCAGTCATTAAATTCGCATAAGAATTCAGATCCTACAGAAGCTATTGAATATATAACATCAGCATGTCAGAATTTCAGCTTCAGAAAAGCAGTGCAAACATAGGAACAAGACTCAGGGGTATATTTAACCTGTTACTTGAAATGTCATCCTTGCGAGCCAAAACATTTATGGCATGTTCAATGATTGAAGTGACCTTTACACCCATTTCAATGGCGTGACAGAAAAGATGAAGGATCAAAGTCAGATATCAGAGTCGACACCAAATCAAGCACACCAATAGAGAAAATTTAGAAAAAACAACAAAAAGCAACAAAGGAGTCACTATAGAGGGTTTACTTGTAGTTTATGTGACTGCTAATGGGAAGATGATGTCGTTGACCTTTGTCAACACTGATTTTGTAAAATGGAGTAAGAACCTCTCCGATCTGAGGTACTCGTGTATGTTCAAAGATATGATCAATCTTGGTGAACCAACGCTCCAGTTCATCTGGATTGAGCTTGAAATCTAAATCAAAAAGAAATCAGATTCCATCGTATAACCTATGAATTCACCAAATTATCAAGTGAAAAGGAAAACAAGAACATGAACAAGGAGCTTAATATAGATAGTCCAAGGAAAGAAATGGTAAGCCTTTAACCTCGATTCCCACTTCCTTCAAATCCAATAAAAATGAAATTTACGGGGACTGGTAGGTACATAGCATCTACTTCTTGAATCATTAGATAATTCGCAATATTTCCTGAAATGCGAAGTGTATAAGAAAATGTTAGATGCCATTTCTTCAACCAGCAACAAAATTATCACATCGATCTCAAATACAACCAGGACATCATGCACTTGTTTTACCTTCGGTAAAAAGTAAGTTATAGACACAGCTTAAACAAAGATAGCTCTCAACTCTATATCTAATACTCTAGATACAACTAATATTCATAGTGTGGAGCTACAGCCTATTAATTTATAGAAATTACATCATTCATCAATATATATTTCCAACTTTACTCCGAAAATGAGAATCGATTTTACCCTTTAAAGTCATTTCACAATAATCATTCATTTCTTTATCACCAAAAGAATATCTCACACACTCCATCATATTTTCACTACACAGTATTACCTGGGAAGCTAAACAGTCTGCCTTCCATCGAGACAACTAACATATGCAATGTCAACATAACAAATAATCATGTGCAAGCATGTTCCACCAGAAGAATGACCCACACTGCTTTAATTTGAGAATGAGAGGAAGAAATGGGAAAGTGCATTTAGCTGGATATTTGCGGTTATAAACAGTACAAGATGTCATAGGATATGCATGTACACTATACAGAAGCACGTTGGTAAGAATTAAAGAGAATTACCTGCCTTGGTGTAATTCATTAGCCCCATTTTGGCAGAGTTTGAGGACTCCAAATCGTCAAAATCTGCTTCACCGAAGTAAAATAAATCATTCCCTGAACAGGGTGAATAAGTGGAAGTGTGAAGAAGTGTGTAGTGAACATACCACTGCGTATAACAGCCTCGCTCCAAAATCTACTCTTCTCTTTGAGATTGAACAGAGAAAACACAGATGACTTCCCAGATTTCTGAGTCCCATCTCTCGACCCATACGAGCTGGTTGCTGCAAACTGATCCCCACCATCAAGAGGTTAGCATTATGTATCATCCATCGTTAGAGAAATTTCAAACGCAATAACAAAAAATATATGATGTTAATTGAAGTGTTCTAATCATGGCTGACAGAAGAAAAAAAATCTTCCTCCTGCCTAAGCGCCAAGGTATACATGCCAAAGATGTGGATGGAGAAGGGAGGGAGGTGAGGCATTGTGGCAAAGAAGGAGATGAATGCATCAACCAAGGAATTAAGAAACATAGGCAGCTGTTTATAACCCAAGGTTGATCAACCAAAAGACCATGCAGATCACAGAACAGGCATAGCACCTGAAAGCTAGAAATCCATACCACGGAAAAAAGCTAAACTGGTCACAATCCAAAACCAGAACATTAAAGAAAGCATTTTCCACCATCTCGAGTTTGATTGGGCATTGTTCCAGTTCAAGCATTTCCCATATTCAGGCAATGACAATTGAAAAGTCACTCAACATCACAGCACAAGGTCAGAGAAACCGGAACAGAAAAAGCTTCAATTCCAGCATTGCTATAACTAAGCAATCTACCAACATCACCAACAAAACCGACCAAATTTACTACGCACGGGATGAGAATTCATAGACACGGAGCCGCAATCGAGGAACTAATGGAGGACTCATCTACACCCAACATAGAGACGCGAAATCGAAGACGTTGGAGAAGAAACCTCACCAGCAGAATTGCGGAGCAGAAGAAGAAGAGCAACCTGCAAGAAGCAATCGGAGAAGAAGCGGCGGAGACGGCAGGGGATCGTCGATTACGGCAATGAAGGCAACGATCCCTCATGTTCTTCACTCCCCCCCCCCCCCCCCCCCCTTTTCTAATTGGGTTTTGGTTATCTCTGTAGCAAATGAGCAACCTTCAGTGAATATTTGACTAGTGAGTCAACCATGAAGGGCTTTCTCTCCGGTCTTCCTTCCCGCTTTGCTTTTGCTTCACGTCAGTGGCCACTCCGCCTGGCTTCTCTTTCTGCTGCACGGTCTTCGCCGTAAAATATTAGAGACGCAGCCGCTGAGAGTTGCGGCGTTGCCGGTGGATGCGGAGCGGGAAATTATCACTATAGTCACTAAACTTATGCGATTTATCTGTCGCAAACCCTCAAAATTGACTTCATGTTAAAGGTCCCCCTTGCTGCTGGCTGCCGCACGATTGATTAATTTTGTTCTTGCTGCACGATGACGAAGAAGTGAAGGTTCTACAATACTCAAATCGATTACTAGTTAGTCTCAAAAGTATCTATTTTGGTCCAAATGAGTTATTTTTAAGTTCCTTCTTTGAACACATTTCGTCCTATACGTTTTGTGACGGAGGCGGAGTTTGAAATTAGTCATGTGTTCTTTCGGAATAAAAATATCCAAATAATTCATGTACAAATAAAAATAATAATAGACTAATGTCATCATTGTTTTCATATTTGGAAAGAAATGCAAGGACATTCATTGTATACACTCTTAAGTAAGTCGATTCAATGTAATATATACTAAACAACCATTAGAAACGCTGAATTCTATTTAGAAGTTTGTTCTTAATATAGCCAAAAGCTTAAATGTTCTTTCTATGTTTACAGTTGCAATGGGTAGAATCAAAATTAGTGAATTGTCACTGTCGCTCGCTGGACTGTTTCAGGGTTGATGGGCAAAAAGTGGAATAGGCATAAGAAAAAAATATCTTATTAGGTATTTATAGCTATTGAGATTTCGCTTATAGTATAATAAATTAATTTTATGTCAATTTATAAATAAGTAATGAGTTATGGTGTAATGACAAATTCCTTATATTACCTTTTTATTCCATTATTAGTATAATTATATATGGGTATTATTTTCCTCTCACAAATCTTACCCCTATCCTGGGACAATGCCCAACAGGTAGCTCCACCTATAAGTCAAACACACAATACTTGCACGAGATGTATATCAAAACTTTTTAGCTTGTTGGTACTCCGACGATCAAGTTAGGAGAGTTTCTAGAGAGAATTGTCTCTTTTTTGCTATTTAGTGAGAGAATCTAAACTAAATAAAATACAACTATCTGCCCCCCAATTTATACAATGGGTAATTTCAGTAGGCTTAACACTTATCCATCCTACGTCAGCAATGCATTTAATGAACTGTACCTTACAATGGCTATGCGCCTCGACCACTTATCAGTCTTTTCAGTGAACATCGAGTCATTGGTGCCAATTTGTCGACGCCTGTACTATTCTGGAAGAACGTCTTATTTTTCGTTATGGGCATAGGGCTAGGAGACTAGATCGAGCATTTATGAACATAGCATGGTTGGAGAAGCTCCCTAAGGGTTGATGTAGTGTGTTTTGGAGCCTGGTGTATCGAATCACTACGCTATAATGACTAATATGGACATGAACTTGAACACCTGTCCTAGGTATTCAAGTTTTTCAAATTTTGGATGCGGCAACCTTCATTATTTTCGAGATCTTCGTAACAATCGAAGGTGGTCTGATAAACTTTTATCTTCGAATAAGGTTATTTGCTTCATCAAAATGGTCATTTTGTGATTTCATAACTTGGGACGACCTTAACTTCAGCTCCGTCATCCGATTATTCCAATTGTTTTGTTTTGCACATAAGTTTCAGGGTATTCAACTTTTGTTATAGAACTGTTTTCGGAATAAGTGCAAAATGATGAAAAATAAATCAAAGTTATCCTCATAACCACTTAATCCTAAAACATGCCATCTTTTTGTCATGGATTTATAGCTTTTAAATATAAATTACTTTACTATCCTTAACTTAAATGCAATTTTATTTTTGAATGGGATATGAAAGTAAATGATTATCTTGAATTTCTATTTATGTTCAAAATCTCACGCTTATACATGAGATTTACAAGTCCTAGAGTTCTACGAATTTGAATCCTGAAAATTCATGAATCCCACCAATTTGGTTCATAAAAAATGCACGCAAACAATAAATTTCCCACAAATCTATAATAGATTGGATTTGAGTATCAAATCAATCACTCAGATCCACGAAGGAAATGACTTGTGTACAACTGGTAACGATCATCAAACCGGCTGGAAAGGGGTCGATATCAAGTCTTGGTCAAATTCAGTCAATACTGATCAAAATTAAAAATACTGTCCAGTTAGACTTGAAATCGGATAATTAGTATTTTTACACATGTTCTTAAGAAATGAACACCAATTATGAGATTTGAACAAAGTATCTCGTGATTATTAGTTTCAATGATACACCATCAAGTTAGAAGGAACTTTGTTATACACATTAACCTTGTTGTATATTATACAAATAGGCCAATCGTTAAAGAACTTTCTGGGCTACTTAAAGAAACTTTGGTCTATAAATTTGTGGTATGCATTTTGTGGTATGAATTTATGATGTGGAATTTGTGAGGTGGATTTTGTGTTGATGATTTTCTCTTACCCATTTAATTATACAAGACACATTTGACTCTCCCTTCCCCCAATTTTTATTAATGACTAGCGTACGCCTCCGTCCTTTCTCCTTCTATGGAGATTGTGCAAGAGTATCTTATCGGTTGGAGTGCATGTTGAGGAATGAATCGAGTGTGCAGCCCATGAGTGCCCCTTCTGCAACCTTCGTGAAACCCAAGAACATGCCCTTCGTGAATGTGACTGGATTCGAAGACAATGGAGGAATTGTGAGGAAAGAGATCTATTCGAGAAAGGGGAAGGGAAGACATGCTTTGATTGGATTAAGGAAGTAAAAGAATTCCCAGAAAATCGAATTCAAAAGTTCAGTTCTATTTTATGGTACCTGTTGAAAGAGCGCTACAGCCACAAATTCAACAACAGGAAGATGGAGGAGGATGAGATTGTTCCCCGTGCCCTGAGATGGATTTCGTCTTTTCTGGAAGCTCACGATCCCCCTAACACAGATCCTGGGGGCGATCTCACTCATGCTCGCATGCATCAAGAAACTCACTGGACTCCGCCTCCGGAAGGTTTTTACAAGCTAAACTCTGATGCAGGGGTGATTAAAGGTCAAGGGATTGGTTTGGGCTGTATAATTCGTGACTTGCAGGGGGCTTTTGTGGGAGCGATGGCGAAGAAGGAGAAGGGGATTTGTAGACCGATTGAAGCTGGGGCGAAAGCCCTGGTTATGGGTTTGAGGGACCCTGATCATTGAGTCGGATTGCCAGGTTTTGATGAACCAACTGAGGAAAGGAAGTGAAGATCGATCGGAGCTGGGTTTTGGTGTGATGAACTGAAGATGCTGGCTAAAGCGAATGAGTCACTGTCGGATCGCGAGGTGAGTTGGAATTTTCGATCGAGGAAGACAAATGGGGTGGCCCATTGGTTGGCTCATATTGGGTTGGGTTGGGATCAGCAAGTGGTCTGGATTGATAACCCCCTATTTCTCTTTGCTGTTTGATTGAAGCGGATATGGGCCCTGGGCCCTAAACTTGTTCTCTCTATGAATGAATTGAGCCGGATTTCGTTTTCTCAAAAAAAGAATTGAGCCAGATTTCTCATAAAAAAAAAAAACTAGTGTTAGTGTTAGCACCATTCTAAAAGAATTGTTTCTATCTCGATTATATCACAATTAATAAAATTGGTATGAACGGGTTTGACAATAATAATCGCACCATAAACTTTGCGGTTGGGGGCCTGGGAATGGAGAAGGAAGGGTCAGGGGAACTGGGAAAGTGAGCTGTTCTTTGGTGGTACCCATCTAGTTTTCCCTCCTTCTGATAGCTGCTGAGCAGCAGCATCAGTGGATTAAATGACATGATGAGTGATGAGATAGATTCTCGTGCTCATTTATTTTCTTTATGTATAAAAATGACATCTTTATCATAATTATATTTTCAAGTTATTCATACTTCTCCATTGTTCTATCATTTTCTTCGCCATCTTCTCTTCTGCAGTCCTGCTCCTCTCTCTTCCAAAGTTCCTTCCTTATTTTTCATTTTTATCGTACCATCTCTGCTGTTTACCTCTCAGTAATTCAAATTTTACTGCTGTGTACCCTTTTCCCAATTTCATTTCCTCTCGCATTTAATGACTGCATGTCTGTTCTTATTTCTTAAGCTTCGTCTGCTTTCGAGATTCCCCACCCAATCAGGGGTCTGTTCTTTATTGAGCTCTGTAACTCCACCATCAAGCGCCAATGCTCCAACGTTTCTGGCCTAAAACTGAAATCCCTAACCTTTCCTTAGCACCACTTGTGATTTGAGTTTTCTATCCTTTTCTTGAGCTCTCCTGGTAAAAGCTAAATCCGTGGGAGGGATAGAAAGGGGGGAAAAAAAAAAGAACACTCAGCTAACAGGCTGTTGCTTCCCCTGTTGTGTCTAACTAGACATGCTTCTCTAGATGAGCTCTTTGGTGTCTCTTCACTTGGCAATTGGCATAAGTTTATCCTTTTCTTTCCCAACTGGATTTCAAATGCACCTTCTGTATTTGGGTTCCCCTACTTTTTTTCTCAGCAACCATTAAGCACTTTTCTTTACCTTTCCTTACCCAATTCTTGTTTTGTTTTGCTGGTTCTGTTTCCATCTTAACTTGGTTGGTATCACTTTTTTGCCTCGCACCCATTTGAGCAATCCCCTTTTAGCACCAAACCCAGTTTTCTGATTTTGGCAACTCAGCTGGGATTTCTGTCTGTGTTTCTTTCTGTCTTTTGGAAGGATGGGTTTGGTGTCTTTGTTTCTTGGGTTAGTTTCACTGTTCTCATTGTTAACTGTGGGAAGTGGCATAGGTGCTAACTGGGGCACACAAGCAACTCACCCTCTAAACCCTAACATAGTAGTGAGGCTGCTGAGAGAAAATGGGATCCAAAAGGTTAAGCTTTTTGATGCAGATTATGACACCCTTAGAGCTCTGGGGAAGTCTGGGATTGAAGTCATGGTTGGCATCCCAAATGATATGCTTGCTCCTCTGGCTGCCAAGATGAAGAATGCTGAGGAATGGGTTTCCAAGAATGTCTCCAAGCATATCACCACTGATAATGTCAACATCAGGTCAGTTCTCTGCAGCCCTTTTCTGCCCCTTTTTCTCTTTTTAATCGGTTTGCCACAAATGAAAAAAGGGAAGATGAATCCTTTTCTGTGATGAACTTGACCTTGACTGCCAGAAACTTTGGTATGATTGATCAATATGAAAGACTTTCCTTGTCCTTCTTTGACTATGTTGTTGTTTGTTTCATGATGTTGAAAGCCATTGACGGATCATCAATTTTTAATCTGGGGGATGTGGTCCCACTTACAACAATTACAGCATGGTTTCAGCATGATTGAGTTAAGCCACTAGCTGCTTAGTTATGTGCTATTTAGGTTTGTACTCGCTTATCTATTTGACAGAGACAGTCCTTTGAGAGTGGTATTATTGTGCATACGTATTATGGAACTTAATTCTATCAAATTCAATACAATGATTTCTCGATTTATTTCCGGTCAGGAAGGCAACTTATAGTTTAGAACTCCTGTATTAAATTCTACTACTAGTCTTTTTAAGTTGATATCTGAGCTTACCTTACTGGTAATTAGAAGCCTTGTTCTGTCTTACCATAGGCTAATCAAGGCTACATAAGCACCTTTTGTTGTATGACAGAAGAAGTGAACTGGGCAATTCTACAACCCAGGACTAGGAGACCAGAATCAGCTTTAGAACAAGGAAGCAAATAGTACTGAACTTGTAGCTTGTTCTTCTTCGTACTTTGAAATATTGTTCATACCTTACCATAGTATTATTTAAGACTACAGAAGTAGGAAGGACTAATCTTGGCATTCGTAAGTAACCAAAGAGGTCACCATAAACCTTTTAGTGCATAGCAATGCAGAACTTGTGTCCCATGGAGAAGCACAGTCAAACCCTCAATCTTCCAGAAAGCACGGATCTTGCAATAAGGCCAAAACTACTGCCTACTCCTCTTTCCCCTAACAGCTTCAGGGCCTGACTACTTACTGATGTAATCAGTCAATGGTTAACTATGTAAACATGTTTCTTTGTATCAACTACAAGGGAAATGATATAGTATTCAAATTTGTACCTCTCATGAACACGAGTTATTGGTACGAACTGGTTCCTTCTGTTATCCTGCTCTCCCTTATTCATTTACTGATAGATTCCACTGGTCTCACTGTTTCTGGTTTCAGATACGTTGCAGTGGGAAACGAACCCTTTCTGCAGACATACAACGGAACCTTTCTCAGCACCACCTTACCTGCTCTCCAGAACATCCAATCAGCACTCATAAAAGCCGGGCTCAGCAACCAAGTGAAAGTCACCGTCCCTATGAACGCCGACGTCTACGAGAGCGCAAACAGCCTCCCATCTGGAGGCGACTTCCGTCAAGACATCCACGATTACATGATCCCCATCGTCAAACTATTGAGTGAATATGGCTCGCCGTTCACCGTCAACATATACCCTTTCATAAGCCTCTACATCGACTCCAACTTCCCCGCCGAGTACGCTTTCTTCGACGGCAATGCATCGCCTGTAAACGACGGCGGAACGTACTACTACAACATGTTGGACGCCAACCTTGACACATTGGTCCACACCTTACAGAAGAATGGGTTCGGCAACATGCCAATCATCATCGGAGAGATCGGGTGGCCGACTGATGGCGATCGGAATGCAAACGTCGAGTACGCCCGCCGCTTCAACCAGGGCTTCATGTCACGTATAGCAGGTGCGTTGTTATAAAAATCGTGGCGTTTACGTAAAATATAGTAAAACTCTATGGTAAAACAGTTATCATAAGATCTAAAATTGGAATCTTGACTACATTGCTCAGGTGGGAAAGGAACTCCACTGAGGCCTGGGCCAATTGATGCATATTTATTCAGCCTGATCGATGAAGATGCCAAGAGTGTCGATCCGGGGAACTTTGAACGGCACTGGGGGATATTTACGTACGATGGACAGCCTAAGTATCTCCTCAACCTCGGGACGACAACCGCTGGTCAGCTAATTCCGGCGAAGGGTATTCAGTACCAGGAGAACAAATGGTGTGTGATGAGACCTAATGCGAGGCTTGATGATCCTAATGTCGCGGCAAGTGTCAGCTACGCGTGTAGCCTTGCTGACTGCACGAAACTTGGTTATGGCACTTCATGCGGGGAGTTGGACGGGAAGGGAAACATTTCCTATGCGTTCAACAGTTACTTCCAGATCCACGATCAGCAGGACGAGGCTTGCAAGTTTCCCAATCTGTCGACAATCGTGAAAACAAACCCTTCACAAGGAACTTGTAAGTTTGATATAATGATCCAACCATATTATGGAGGTGCTGATGGAAGGCTACCTAGACAACTGGGTTTAGTTGCTGGCTTTGCTCTGCTTTTGCTGACATTTCTGTGAAGTTTAGAGGTTCCTGCTTTCTAGAGGTATCTTTTCTCCTTTACGACTTTTGCTTTCGTAGGATGTAGCATATGGGAAATCATGAGTGCCTAGTTCAGAGAATTTGTGATCAGAAACAGGCAGGTTTCTAATTTGGCCACCATGCAAACAAGGGGTGGGCTTGCAACTCTGCATGGGATGATACTATTGGATCTCTGACGCATTCACAGCCATTGGATCGATGGACTTCCCCGTTTGTGAGGAAAGGATGTGATATTTTGTGAATAATGCTTCATGCATTGATCTGACGGCTGTAAATGTACGGTGTTGGGGCCATCCAACGATATCAGTCTATGCAAGATCAACCCCTTGTTTGCAGGGTAACCACACCCTGTCTTGTTTAGCAGTAAACTCAGTAGCTTTCAGTTTCTTAAATTCATGCTTGATACTAGTAACAGTACATATGCAGATAATGGTTGTACGTAGAAGTCTAACTAGGCTGCGAAAGCTGGACGACTTTGGAGAGCTTCATCGGATGCTGGCTTTAGGGGCTATATCATGCGAAAGGGTGAATTGCACCTTTAACTGCTCCTTTGTGTGGCTTTATAAGCAAGTTTTGAGCCGAGGAACATACTTTGGTGCTCTCCATTTTACGTTGGTCCCTCGTGTTAATCCTTCTTCAATGGGAGGATAATAGCTTGTCCATGACTTTGCAGTAGTGTGTGGCTTAATGACTTGTGAATTTGTATGTGGCCAAGATTAACTGCATAAATGATAATAACAAAATCTACCCTGTTTGATGTTGCAGTTAACATAATTTCCTAGTCGACAGTCGTAACGATGAACACATAAGACATTTCCTTCTTTTTCTCATGGCTATTTCACAGGTTGTAGAATCTATGGTTACTAGAAGGTAGATGTTGCAATACATGGGAGTTCCAATGCAGGCTAGTAGTTTCTGCTGTTTCGCACAATGATTACCTTAAAATCCTTCCCCTTGGCTAGAGGTAGTTAGGTTTTACTGAATCCATGGACTAACTCTAAGTTTCCTGACATTCTTAAGAGACTTCCAGACAACACTGTCACACTGGTAACCAGACCAATCTGCCAAATCATGTCGCCTCCCATCACTCCAGACAATTCGCCTCCAGGTAAGGCAGCTCATACCACACGCGCAGCTGCTGGATGTGGTTCCCGAACCGTTCCAGAGTCTTTCTTGATGCCTCCATGTACTCCTCGGTAAGCTCCAAGTGGTTCTGCAGCTCGTCGAGCACTTTCTTGCTCGTCCTCAGGATGCATACATGGTCGAAGGCATGCCTGTAGTCGGGGATGTAAGGCTTCGTTTCCTTCTTCTTGAACCGCAAGATGGTGAAGAAATGGAATTGCTCTGACACAGGAAGAACCAGTGGCCCTAATTAAGCTTGTGATATTGGCTTTCAGTGCATGGCCTCACACTTCTATATCACGTCTTTGCTCACTGAGATGCCTTTCTTGCCTTCTGCGCCTTCTCTCAGGTGGATGCTTCTGAAGCTTCTGTTTGTCCATCCCTTTGTGCGTCCGCACCAGCCACACAAGGCACAATTATTTCAGTTAACCAAAGCAAAAACCAAGCTGGTTAGAGGCTATATTTCTATACCTGTTTGAGTTCATACTTGAACCTCCATCTATCAAGTTGGCAGCTGGAAAGAAGCATAGCAGCAGCCCCCCATTCCGAAGAAGCAAATTACCACTCCATTACTAGAGATTACAACGCATATGCGATAATTAACTCGTTCATCAATAATTGGACTATTAATCCACTGATCATGTTTGGTTACTCAGTTATTTGTTACTATTTTGTCTTTTAAACTTGGGCTAAATTACATGTTTGGTCACTTAAATTATTTAAATCTTTCACGTTTGCCACCCAAATTAATTTTCTTTCTTATTAGCCACTGACTTTACGAATCATTTCACAATTAGTCACCGGACGTTAGTCTCCGTCAAACTCCGTTAACACCGTCAAGTTTTGGGTGACGTGGCAAACAAAACGGATGACTAGGACCTCACTTTAATGACATGTCAATCAAATAAATGAAAAATAAAAAAAATATTATACGTCATTTCCTCCTTCCTCTACTCTTCATCTCCCTCTCAACTATCTGGGCTACTCTTCTTCGACAAAAAAAAAAAAAAAGAACAGGGCTGCTCTTCTTCTACTACTTTTTCCTCATCTCTGAGTTCCAAACTTCAAAGCAAAATGAGATTTTCTTTCTCCTTAGAATCAAGTCAAGAAAAACCCAATATCCAGAGCCGCTCCCCCACTAGTTGCTCGACCCCAACACGGCGCCGATCCACCCAACAAGCAATTTTCCCGAGGATCTTGATTGGAGGGAGAAGGGAGCGGTTACTCCCGTCAAGAATCAGAGAAACAGATCCCGCCGTCGCTCTAAATGAACTCCAGCCGCCGATTGCCACTCCAGCCTCCATCAACGATCCTCCGCAAGGAATTAAACGAACTGACGAGGCCACACCCACTCCTTTCTCGCCTCTCAGCCCAGCAGAAAAAACCCTCCCGGATCTCACCCCTCCATTCATCGCTTGATTTCGTCATCATTTTTACTGCCATATGGTATAGACGGGTAATAATTGGCAATTTTTTTTTGTTCCAAAAAATATCAAAGTGTATATCATTTTGAAGAGCACAATTAAACTGATCTAACTGTGCAAAAAAAAAAAAAAATTCAAGGTAAAACTAGTGAGAAAATCGTCCGTTAAAGATTAAGGGAAGGAAAACTAAATGTTTTTCGATGAGAGAGAAGGAGACGCTGATGTGGCAGATTCTTATTGGGTTATGCATATAGTTACTGGCCTGATGATTACTGACCTGATCTGGACCCAATTCGGAACTCATATGCACTCTTAATAATTTGAATTTGGGTTTGAAATGGATTGGGTCCAATTCGGAACAACCTATATGAGTCTATTTGGGTGTATATATGTAATTATACATACAGAAAAATATAGACCATCTAACTATTCGTCTTAAACCAATTCACACTTTCAATATTGCTATTTCCACATTTACGTTTGTATTAGATAAAGAAAAATTGCAAAAATGACATTAGAGTTGGGTATCATTCTCCTTTGGCTAGCCAATGATCTGTCTAATATAGAACGAACAAAATGATTAGGTATAATGAGTATGACACACAAGTTAATTATATTCAGATTTGATCCGTAATGAGTTTGAGTTTGGGAATACCCAAATTTTGTGGATGGTTTTTAGTTTTCACCAGTATACCACATTCTGATACTCTGCCGTACGTCCAGCGAATAGAAAAAACAAAACTCAAGAGAAATAATTAGAATTGTTGAATTTAAGAAGTAAACTAAAAGGGGAAATGCTGAATTTCCAAGAGAAGAGGAATGTCATCGGACGCAATCAGAGTAATTTACGGTGCTCGTTGGTCTTCCAGCTCTTATATGTATGTAAAATCCAAATCAAATTGATACTATGCCGTCCAGTCATGACTAGAAAAACACCAAATGCCCAAAAATAAAAAATAAAAAATAAATACAAAACAAAACTAAATAGCTTTCTATAAATAGCTTTCCACGTTGAACATGCATATACAATACAAGCGAGTTCTTTGGCTAGCTAGCAATGAAGCGAGTTATGCTTCTTCTTCTGCCGGGCATAACAATATTCCTTGTCATGATGATTATGTCGCCGCTGCCGCCGATGGCAGTCACGGCCGAATCGGACGATCATAGATGTGGCTGCAAACGTTACACCAGCTGCGATTGTGGCGCAGGGCGCTGCTGTAGTCCGGATGGCTACTGCGGATCTGGCGAAGGGTACTGTTGGCGTTGTTACTGCGGGCAAAGACCTTGCAATGATTGTCACTGCGACGGATCTTGCTGTTATCCTCCTGCTCTTGCCGAAAAGCAGCTCCCAGCATATCCTACACATTACGAAAATGCCACGCATGCTACTGCTGTTGTTAATCGTCGTCATCATCACGGTGATGAGGACGACATTAATATCATAGTTGCTACCTATGACGACGACGACGGCAACCATAACATATCTTCATCGGTTACTAGCCCTAGCCCGAGCAAGGTCAGGTGGCCGGTTCATCGGTATGGTTCGGCTGCAGTTTGTGGACCATCATCAACAATGGTTTCAGCCAATGGTACGATTGTTCCCGGCCAATGCCTACAGGTAAAGAACAAAATTTATGCGTGGTATACTGTTACGTGCCCTTTTCGGAGAATAGAATTTAAGGAGAAATATCGGGATAGGAAGAATAAGAATGGATGAAATATAGATAGATTGAAAGAAGAGAAGAGTTCTCCTTAATGGCGAGAACGGAACCCCTAAACTTTTTTGAGGAAAGCCAACCTCCCAAATTAATACGTAGGTGTGTAAACCCCTTCTCTTGATTATACTTGATTGCTTCCTCTCTTTTATGCATCTGCTAACTTTAAATATAGAACTAAGGGGTCGTTTGGAGAACAAGATTTGGATCGTGGATTTATTGAATCCATAGATTTAGCAAAATGTGATGTTTTTATGCTACCTTTTGTATCGTGGATTGTAACTTCAGAGATTTTAAATCTCTAATCTAGAGATATCAAATCTCTCATAATTAGAGAGATTATACATCTTGATTTTGGAGATTTTCTCGCTCCTATTATATCTCTTGTTTTTTTTTCATTTATCCCACTAAATACCCTTACCAATAAATTCTCAATATTTTCGAGCCAATCTAATTATTTTGGTTAAGGATAAACATGTTATGTGATAAAAAATAGAATTTTGTTTTTCATTGGATGTTAACAATCATAGTTACCAAACAATGAACATTTTCAAATCTTTTTTCAACAATCCAAAGAGTTAAAATCTTTGGACTGTCTAGAATCTAGAGATTTAGACTCCAATTCTCCAAACGAGCCCTAATAACCTACAAACTAGCTAGTAAATCAAACTGAAACACCTTAAACAATTATCACCTAACTAAGTCCTCTACTTCTAGGCCATGACTAACCCCACTAATCACGTACTAATAATCTCTAACAACCATAATTAATTAACAATAATAAAATAAATAAATAAATGCACATGACATATACTTATTGAGTAGTTAATGGTCACATCTTGCTTGTGCGCTATACGTACATGTATCTCTTTGAGCGGGGTTGCAGGTGACAAATGTGGGAAATGGCAAGCGGGCAATGGTGAGAGTTACCGGCCGTCATAAACAATACCATTGCAGCAACACAAGTTTGATAGTGGATCACGGTGTTTTTCAACAGCTAGTGGGAAGGAGCAGCGGCCATGGAGATCCACAAGCTCGTCACTTTCCAATCAGTTACAAGTATGTGCGTTGCATGAGCATCTGCAATTAACGAGTCAATGATACAAAGACTTTTTTGTATTTACGTGGCTTTCAACATACACATAATGGGTATTGAACCAATCAATTTAATTCGACTTTGGACGGCGCGAGTTAAACCCGGTGTTGACGAGTTTCGATTTGGCAGCGAGTTTTAGCCATTTTAGTAATTGAATGGTTGGATCTGGTGTGAATTTTGCTAAAACCTTGGTTCATTTTCCATCTGACCTGCACCTAACTAAAAAAGACAAAACAATCGAGCCAACCAAAGTGGGTTGAATCAACCTAATTTGATTCGTAGAACGAGTGTTGAACCTGGTGTTGACGAGTTTTAGGTTGCAATGAATGATGGGTTTTGGTCGGGTGTGTCGAAGGAGTGTCATGGTTTGGGAGCCCAAGTCACATCCATTGTATCTTCTGTATTCATTAGCAATGTTCACGGGCAAGAAGGAGATGTTTCGGACCATGACGGTGACATAAGAGTTTAAGACTACTCGTAACCGTGAGACTGGGAAAAGCTTATATTTCTTCAGTGACAGGCATTATCTGGATTTCTGTTTTTTAAGTTTCTTGCCGTGTTTGTGGAGATGAGTCCCAATTCCTGCTGCGGTAATAATAGGGTTGGGAAACGGTACGGTCTGGTCCAGACGAGACCATATATACGGTCTATGGTCCAGATCGAGAGGCTAAAGTATAGACCACAGACCAGACCACAGACTATACGGTCTGGTCCAGACCACGCATGTGCGGTCTAGTTTGGTCTGGTATGGTCCACATAGACCACACTCAACGAAAAATGAATAATTTGTTTAGCCAACCACAAAAAAAATTGAACCAATAACCAGGAAAAATAATTGTTATTAGCCTTAAATCATTAATCCTAACATGCATGAATAATTTGATACTCTAAATCTTAGTACATAATAAAGATACAAAGTAAAAGCATCTCAACTTGCACCATAACGTCATAAACATTAACATAATGTCATATGGAGACACGATTATCTCTACTCTCTGGTTAAATGTGGTTGTGAATGAAGGAGGGACGAGATTCACAAAACTAAGGTTCAGACTTGGGTGTCGTTGTAGGAGTTGGGAGAGTGATCGAATGGGCTGTTAACAAGTATTGACAAGTCAGTTGGGTCCACGGTTTGGTCCGGTAAACCGTGGTCTAGACCAGACCAGACCAAGAGATCAAAACATAAGATAATACAGACCATGGACCAGACCAGACCATACTTAACGGTCTACGGTCCGGACCAAACTGTGCGGTACGGTTTGAACCACGGTTTTTCTAACGATCTGGTCTATTTTCCCAGCCCTAGTTAATATATGCTCTCTTGTTGTTTAGAAATGTACGTTCATTTCTCGAGAGATATAGAAACATCAATAAGAGAAAACCGAGAACTTCTTATGGAGTTTATGTGGATTAGTCTCGTCCTCTCTTAGTCTCTTTTCTTTTCGCCTTATATTTTTTTTCTCACAATCAAATCGATTTCAATTAATTTTTTTTTCTATTAAAAGTTATTTTTTTTAACACAACACTAACGGCATAACATAAATGTCATATCGAAAGTTTCGTAACACAAATAACACTTTCGTATTAATTATTAGTAGTATCTAGTGATTTCAGTAGAATTTGAATTGTCTACTATTTGTTTAACGTACAATCGAGTTTTCCTCTGTGATAAGTTTCATGTTGTGGGCAGGGAGGCCGCAGGCGGAAAGTGGATTGAAACTTTGAGGTTTCTATGTATATGTACTTGCATATTAGTTATTGTCATTGAATATGGAAACCAATTAAGTATATAGTTGTTTATTTTCTTTCTTTTATCATATTTGTTTCGATTTATCATCCTATTTCGTATGTGAGTTTCGAGAAGTATTCCATCCACTGTGTCTCGTAAGAACCGTTCCAAGTTATCAGATGTCACCAAAGAGACGTTTTCGATAGAAGTGTGACTACTAATCAATTGGGGTACTATCACCTGACCTAAATTTAAATAAACATGAGGATTGAGGAATGAGGAGTGACAAACTAACAGCGAAACTCACAGTTCCCCATCTCTGATAAATTTCTTACAGTTCTAAAGGGAAAGCTTATGTAGGAGTTTTTTTACACGTAAAAAAAACTTCTAAAATTAAAGGATTGTCGTTTATTAACTTCACGTACGTCTAGAGATGGCAATGGGTCGACCTATTTGGGTATATATAATTATACATTAAAAAAAAACAATATCTACCATCCAACTATTCGTGTTATACCAATTCACACTTTCAATGTTGGTATGTACATTTTAATGTTTGGTTTAGAATATATAGAGAAATTTAAATATCACATTAGAGTTGGATATCATTTTCTTTTCTGTATCCAATATAATGGATTTAATTTAGAAACAAACTAAATGGTTCTGTATGGATATGAACCAAAAAGTTATATTAACAAAACTAGATTTGACCCATAATGAATTGGATTTGAGAATACCCAAATTAATTATTTATTATGTCACATACTGATACTAAAAGGGAAATCAATTACAGCTACCACCAAAACAGTGGAAGATTATCGTAGTTAGTACCTACCATTGATCTTTGAGTAATCAATTATCAAGTTCAACAGTGACCAAGAAAACCTAAACTTTCATTTGGGCGATAATTTTGACGAAGAACATCATCCACTCTACAGGCAAAACTAGATCCAGCTATCTTCGTAAATTCCACACAAGTCTCAACTTAGAAAAGCAAATTACATCTCTTCCCAGTCAAAGCATCTTTCCCATATCAGGCCAATGCTCCTTTCAAGTTATGGTTAAGAACCAAGCCATCAACATTTCTTGTTTTCCTCCAACTTTATCACCCTGTGGCAATTTCTGATCTGATCCGACTTGTTTGGGGTCGATATTACCTGACTCACAATAATATGGGGCGAGGCATGGATATTATTTCCGACCTGCTACGTTCTTGACCCGTTTTATCATAATTTGCATTAATACATACATGTATTTATCTTATTTAGATCTTTCTATAATCATATTTTTATCTCAAATAAATTTTGAAACTCTAGCTTCCAAATATTTAGACTCATTAATTATTCTTTCTACTATATTTATAAATCATTTATAAAGATTTTTTTTTAGTGCGGGGCAAGTATTGGTATTGAGTTACCCGCCCCACCCCTCCCCATTGCCATCACCTATCGACAGATCAAGGAATTATGCGTACACAACCCAATCTTCTTCCAACATTTGTTTTTGAGGAAATACTCGATAATCCTTTTATCAGTTGTAAATAAATGAAAAAGGTCTACCCATAAAAATTAAACTCATACCACATTGATTAAATAAAATGGACTCATAAACCCAATTCAACATTAAAATTAAATAAGCTATCTTGGCCTTATTGAGTTGGGTGGTTGGGTCTAAGTGACCAAACTCCTTCTGGCCAACCGCCCCATGGCCTCGATAAGCAATGTTAGCCGCTCTCCCTTGTTACAAGTACAATCCTGGTGATATTAATTATGACCTTTTAAAACTAAGTAAGAAAGGGTTGGTACCAAGATATGAAATTTGGATTTGTTTGGAGTCATGAGGGCTAAAGTGCCATAAAATGCTAGTTTGGATACCAATTCGGAACTCATATCTACTCTTAATAATATGAATATGGGTTTGAATTGGATTGCGTCCAATTTGGAACAACCTATTTGGGTCGAACCCATATGAGTCTATTTGGGTATATTTTATTATACATATAGAAAAACAACATTGACCATCTAACTATTCGTCTTAAACCAATTCACTCTTTCAATATTGGTATTTCCACTTTTTTGTTTATATTAGAGAAAGAAAATTGCAAAAATCACATTAGAGTTGGGTATCATTCTCATTTGGCTAGCCAATGATCTATCTAATTTGGAACGAACTAAATGATTGGGTATGAGTATGACACAAAAGTTAATAAGTTATATTAAAATTTTGATCCGTAATGAGTTTATTTTGGGAATACCCAAATTGTGGAAGTTTTCACCAGTATATCACATTCTGATACTCTGCCGTCCAGCGAATAGAAAAACAAAACTCAAGAGAAATAATTAGAATTGTTGAATTTAAGAAGTAAACTAAAAGGAAATGCTGAATTTCCAAGAGAAGAGGAATGTAAGCGGACGCAATCGGACTAATTACAGTGCTCGTCTTCCAGCTCTTATCTGTAAATCCAAATCAAATTGATACTCTGCCCTCCAGCGAATAGACAAAAAAAAAAAAAAAAAAAAACTTGCCCATAAAAAAACTAAAGCAAATAAATTGTTACAAGTTTCCCCACGCTGGATCTCTCCCTCTTGCACTTTCTATAAATAGCTTTCCACGTTGAACAACAACACACATTTTTACAACACAAAAGGAGCTGGTCAATTAGCTAGCTATGAAGCCAGGCGCAGCAGTACTGATCACCGCAACATTCCTTGTCATGATCCTGTCGCCGCTTCAGATCACAGTCACCGCGGAATCGGGCGATCATAGATGTGTCTGCCTCATTCGCAAAAGCTGCAATGACGAGTGTGACCCAGGACGCTGTTGTAGCCGCCATAAATACTGCGGATTTGGCGGGGGTTACTGTGGTCCTTGCTTTTGCGGGGATCAGGTTTGCAACGATTGTAACTGCGATGGAACTTGCAGAGATCATGTTGTTGGCGAAAATGCCACGCATGCTGCTGCTGTTGTTGATCGTCGTCGTCGTCATCACGGCGATGACGACGACAATATCACAGTTGCTACCTACGACGACGACGACCGCAACCATATATAGCATCAGTACTAATCATGTTTCTGCTGCTGCTGTCCACTCGGCACTCGGAATTGGCACGTAACGGGAAATAATAGATCGCAATAATCTATGGATATCAGTAGTTCTGACTATCTATAACTTAAAAGAATTTCCAAATATTGATGTTGTATTCATTTCCTTATATGGTGTCGTTTGGATGGGGATTGTACGTGGTGGAGGTCTTAAGGATTTTTCCAAAATATCTCACCTTCCAGGATTTGTCACAATTCTGCGTTGGGGATGGCTTAAAAAAAAGGTAGGGATCGATATCGAAAACATGCAAAGTTTCGAATTATGAAATAGCTAACTCTACTCAGCTATTTTGAAATTCCTCACCAAATCCTTTTTTCTTCCAACCGTTACCCTCCTAATTACATTATGTAACGACGAATGGAACGAGAATTAAACTATAAACGACTGATCCTTCTAATAAATTTATCCACACTGGACATCAATTACATTATGTAACGGTTAACGGAATGAGAATTAAACTCTTTACGTTAGGAAGCGAGCTCTCATAATTACTGGACGATTTCTGTACTCATATATCTTTTCGGATTTTTATTAAATACTTCGTATTATGTTTTAATTTGTGATATTCAATTGATAATTGATAAGATATATGAATCGTATTAGCTTGACGGGTTAGCAATGGGTCGACCTATTGGTAATTGGACCCAATTGTCATGATCCGTATGGACATTGGGATGGAGACAAATGGATTCATATGTACTCTTATTAATTTTGGGTTTGTGTTTTGATTGGTTCCAATTTGGGACAACCTATTTGGGTCGAACTCAAATGAGTCTATTTGGGTATATATAGAAAAACAAAATCGACCATCAAACTATTTGTCTTAAACCAATTCACACCTTCAATATTGGTATTTCCACCTTTATGTTTGATTTAGAATAAAGAAAAATGCAAATAGCACATTAGAGTTGGTTATTCATTTTCTTTTGGGTAGCTAATGTAATGGATCTAATTTAGAACTAAACTAAATGATTAGGTATGGGTGTAAACTAAACAAAAAGTTATATTACCAAACTAAATTGACCCATAATGAATTGGATTTGTGAATACCCAAATTATTTATGTCACGTTCTGATACTAAAAGGGAAACAATTACAGCTCAATGTTGTTCAAACAAGATGATTGGCTACCACCAATAGAGTAGAAGATTATCGTACTAGAAGCCTCAGAAAGCATAACACAAGTTCTATTAAGCATACCATATATCTCATAAATTAAAGAAGATCACAAATTTTCTAAAACATACAAAAACCTCATAAAATAGACCACAAGTTCGTTGAAGTAAACGTGAAATATGTGCACCCACCACAAAACTCTCATGAAGCATATTAGAAACACGAAAATCACACAAGAAACATCAAGAAGCAAAGCAAAAACTTATAAATGATGACAAGCAATAAAAAAATTAAAACAGTGAAATATTTTTTAATAATTAAGTTGTTGGCTTTTTTACAAAGGGGAATTGGAGGGGCAAAAGATGATTTGGAGAGAGCAAAAACATAGAAGGAAGGAATGGGTGAGTAACTATATATACCATTTTTATTAAGATACCCCTAATGATTATGTTAGTATGGTGCTAATACTAAGAGGTGTTTGCACCCTATTCGGATCCGGATGATAATCTCATTTTTGTGAATGTGTGGGATTTTCTTTTGTTTTTCAAGATTTATAGATGATAAGGTTAAAATTAATAAATATATATGTGATAGAGTCAAACCGATTGATTGATTCTTTGTCACCTCAGTGAAATTCACCCAACTCAGTAATTAAGCTGTCACGTCATTGTCAACTAACAAGATGTCAGATGAAAAGTTAACGATTCAACTATTATATTGTATATGAAAAAGTCTAACTATTATTTTTCCCTTCGAAAGGTTTAGCTACTAAATAATTTTATTCCAAATAGTTTTCTATATTCATTCATTTTTTTGTTCATTGTATTATAATTAAAGATTTTGAATCACCTAATCAAAATGACCGTTCATTATGAGGTGGGTGCATAAAACACCATCTAAATCTTGAATTCAATAAATTTCGAAGCATTGTATTGTATTCTAAATCGAAATTAGTAAAAATCGCGTGCCGTTTTTCTAAATCCTAGGTTTTTGTGTAATAAACTTGAAATGTAATTTATTTAGGTAATTTGCGGACTATGAATTTGATTATATGGTTGTGATGTTTTTAGTAATGAATTTGGGTCATCTATCGTAAAACAAATTCACACAAGTCATTACTGCTATGAAACTTGAATGGAGTGAGATTTACACTGTGTTGATATGTAAGTGACTAACTTGCGTGATAACTATTGAAAGGAAACATATTTGAATTACTCCTCTAAAAATTAAGTGGCAACAATTTTCTTACTAACAAATTCACAGGACTCCATCAACTCATTCATCTAATGTAATTCTAAATTTATACTCTGCGCAATGATCAACAACAAAGATGACTATTGAGAAAAGTATTTCATGAATTCTTTAAACTTCATCAAAGGATTTGTTGTTGTTGTTGTTGATAAGATCTCATGGAAAGAAATCCTTATGTTGAATCAGAGAATGAATATAATATATATATATAATAAATATATTATATTTGACATTTTTTTTTACCGTACTTCTCTGAATTATTCATTGGCAACTCCAAAAGAATATAGTCACTCAAACCTTTACAATATATAGATAAAAAGAACTATACTTGCTTATTACACTAATATATCTAAGTTTAGTATATCTTTATATGAGTATCGAACTCTTCTGGCCAAACAGGCCATATTACACTCAAGCAAGAATATAGTCACTCATCCACCGAACGTAGATACGGCTGATCCTTTGAATAATTAAGCTTCCCTTATCTATAAATAGCTTAATTTTCACGTTGAACAACACACACATATACAATACAAAAGAAACTGGTTTAATTTATTTTCTAGCTAGCAATGAAGCGAGTAATGCCTCTTCAGCCGGGCGCAGTACTGATCACCGCAATGGTATTGGCAACATTAATCCTTCTAATGATAATTATGTCGCCGCTGCCGACCGCAGTCGCCGCGGAATCGGACGATCATAGATGTACGTGCAAACGTTACAGTAGATGCGATGGCTGTGACACAGATCGCTGCTGTAGTCCGTCTGGCTACTGCGGATCTGGCCGGGGTTACTGTCGGCCTTGTGATTGTAAGACCAAAGGTTGCTGTGTGATCCTCCTCCTCATGGCGAAAAGCAGCTCCCAGCATTTTACGAAAATACAATGCATGCTGCTGTTGTTGATCGTCGCCATAACGCCACTACTGTTGAAGATTGAACTGGAGGATCAAACTTAATAAGGAGCTGTTGCAGACGAAGGAGCTGATGATGATGAAGGAAAGCTTTGGCGTTCAAAAAGTTGCTTTGAGTTTGAATTAGTTTAAGAATCAAACTATGTCGTTTGGACAATTACGGTTTACGTCCCGGAGTCTGTAAATTGTGTCATGTGAGCCCAATTGTGTCTTTGAAGGTTGCAGAGTGGACAATTAGTTGTTAAGCTTAGTGGGTTGTTAGTTGATTTCCAGCAAGACTCTAGATATCCACGATGGTCAAGTTTCAACGAAATGCCAGGATTTAGAGGGCTCAACTTCATATCATTAGGAGAAACTCTGAAGTTCCGGAGATAAAAAGAAGGTGAGTAAGTAACAGATTACTTTGGTGGGTGATGGTTGTAGCTAATTCTACGAGGAATTGTGGGAAATCAAAGCCTGATGTTATAAACTGTAGAGAATATTTTGAGAACCTTAACAGAGAAGTTCAACTATATGGTTTGTTCAATTGAAGAATCTAGATTTTATCCTAGTCGTGGAAGAGGCAGGAATGGAAGGGGATTTGAATAGAGATTTTGTGGAATGTTTCAAGTGCCACAAACTGGGGCAATTTAGAAGTGAATGTCAAACTGGTACAACTAGCAAGCTCATTTCTCTGATCCATTGGACATGAAAGAAGATGTATTACTGATGGTTGTGACTGAGGAAATGCAGCAAGTAACCTATTATGAGGGTTGCTGGTTTCTTGACTCTGGTTGCAGTAACCACATGACATACAACAAATGTCGGTTCACTGATCTGTCTGGTACTGGAATTAGTTATGTCAAGCTAGGCCAGGGGCGAAGCCAGGATTCTAAATACGGGGGGCCAAAAACAAAATTTCCAAACATACCAATAAAATAATAGTAATAATATAAAATATATTAATATTATTTATTTATTATCTTAAACGTACACGTCGCTCTTTGAGATCAATAAAATCACTCCAAATATCATCTAAACTAAAAGTGTCCACTATATCACGTTCAATATAAATAATAAGACCAACAGCTAGAAAATCATCACCCATTTTGTTGCGCAGTTTGGTCTTCACTAACTTCATGGCAGAAAAAGCTCGTTCCCCACTAGCAGTAGAGACTGGAAGAGTCAAAACAAGACGAATCAGGCGATCAACAAGATCGATGTCCTTTGACTTCCCGGACTCGGCTAAACCACGACACAGTTCAGCAACAGATGATAGATTCGCCAAAGTAGGATGTGCAAGAGCATGAAAAATCCTCAACTGGAATGCCAATCTATCTATTTCTTTTTCAGAAAAATCCAAAGGATAATACTTTTATGCAAGACTGCAAATAGCATTAGCATCATCGAAGGCTTTATATTCATTCTCCAATTTCAGTTCAGCATCCACTAAATTAATCAATGGTCAATCCAATACTCAATTACCAAACTGAAAACCCAATTACACATAAAAAACCTATCAATTCCACAAACCACCGAAAATCAGAATTGGAGCTGCATAAACTAGAGGGAGCAGTAAACGTACTCTCAATGGACGACCTTTAGGGGCAAAGAAGCATGGACGGAGGTGACATCCGTCGACGACTCTGTGATAGCGAGTAGAGAACGGACGGAGATGAGATGGTGATCGGGCGAAGAAGCTGAGTCTTGAGGCCCGACGGCAACAACAACGGCGACGGAACGGGTGACTATGATCTCCGGTTGGCCGAAGAAGTCGGGTCTGGAGTCCCGACGAGTGAACGGAGATGAAGAGGGATGACGAGGCGGGAGAATTTTGGGGGAAAGCCCTGCGCGCGAGGAAGAACTCTGTTTCCCAAAAATGAATTGGGATTTAGCCATTTAGGGCTTTGTTCTCGCTTTTGTGGAGCATGAGAGCTGTTAAAATTAATTAAATTAAAAAGGTGAAAAAAAGGTAGGGATGCAGAAGACAAGGTTCAAACATGCAACCTCCCATTAACAAGCTTGGAGTTTTACCACTGCACTACAACTATTATACGTGTTCATTCATTGGAGATATCTGTACTTCACAGGTTGTTCGGATGCATATGAAGCTTGCATTGACTTCTTAAGCGTCATCTTCCCGGATTCTATCGTTGAGCAACCAGGCTCTGATACCAATTGTTACGTAGATTTCTCCGGTGAGAACTTTCATGTAGCGTGTTTATCGTAATAATCGAAGGAAAAACGTAAGAAATAGACTTAGAACGAAGAGAATTGAGGTGAAAGATATAAACTACAAACTACAAATGAATTATAGTCTTCAACATGATATTAAACGGTAGAATAAATACACATTTATAAGTTAGGAAAACTTCAAAATCTCAATCCTTCTCCTACTAACCCAACAGCCTCCCTCTCATTTTTCCTACCCAAAATATGGTCTAAAATTCGAATCTCTTAAATAGTACTTGAACAACCAAAATAAATCTGTATTACCCTTATAACAACAAATAAAAAAAAAACATGAAACCTATTCCACAAGGAAACAATATTTAACTAGCTCCTACACTATAACCCAAATCCTACTTGATAAAAACAACAATTAGAATTATTAAGTTCCAAAAATCCGGAGTCACTGTTCATTACGAAATTTTCGCTGGTCACTGATAGACCGTTAGTTACACATGCTTTTACCCCTGCTCTTACTCTGTTTGAGGTATTGATTCTCGTGTTTTAGGCCGATTTCACGCTAGGTGGTGCTTGTTTATGATATTTCAGGTCCTAGTACGTGAATGGAGGCTTGGGAGCGAGTTTGATGTCGATTGGACGCGGATCGGACGCATGGCGAGATTCCAAGGAGGCTGCACGGCCAGACCAGGGAGTCGCACGGCCGTGCAACATACAATTGTGGCCGTGCGACATTATGCGAGAAGACGCACGGGCAGAGCAGAAAACCCGCACGGCCGTGCATGTAACCAGTCTGGCCGTGCGGGATTGTGCGAGAAGCCCGAGGTCGAACTAATTGACACGCCGCGTTTTGGAGTGCACGGCCAGAATGGTGATGTGCACGGCCGTGCACCCTGGCCGTGCGAGTCGGGAATGGCTGTTTTTAAGCAGAATTTCAGCCACAATTCAAGGGGATTCGAGTTTTTGAGAGAAAGAACGATTCCTAGAGAGAGAAAGTGACGAACAAGAGTCTCCAAGTGCCATAGATTGATCTTCAACACCATTGGAGGCCAGCTTGAGCTTGGAGAAGTGCCGATCAACGTCCAGGAGCAGGAATCCATCCTTCACAGTATGAATTCCGCGTCTGATTCTGCTTTTGCTTCTTTCTCCATGGAGTAGTTCTCACATTCATCTGGGTATGGAGAACCCTAGATTTGTATGTTAGGCTTTGATTGTATGAACCCAAGTACTGATTCTATGATTTGATTTTATTCGATTGAGGTTTGAATGATTGAATGACTTGAATCCTGATCAAATTCCTGTTGTTTCTGCTTTAACCTAGAATGAGAATATCTGCCTAGGTTAATAGAGTATCCTTGATTGAAGATAGGGAGTTGGTGACTTTAGTCGAGGAACCAACTCACTATTCTGTACCGGATTTACTCCGGTAGTGGAGGTTTTGTTCTTAGGGCCTCAATCTGTCGACTCCGGTGGAGGTTAGTCGCCCGCTAGAGAGTCAGATTGAGAGGGTCTGAAGACCTTTAGTCGAGACTTCAGGCTGTTTAAGAATCTTCCGCAGTATAATCTTCATAGAAACTGAACTTGGTAATTACAATCCGGCTTAACTGCAGTCTAGGGGGAACCATATCCGGGTGACCTCTCTTAACCTGAATACAACAGTTTAGTTGCTTTGCTTGCTTGTTAGTTTAGACCTTCACTAAAGTTTCATTGCTAGATAATACGAATTCACTGAGTAGTCATCACATCTAGGACCCGGGTTGACAATAAAACCCAAACCCGCTATACTACGCTTTAGGAAGTGGTTACACTTGGCCATTTTCTGGAGTGACAGTAGGAGTCGAGTCAAGTTTTTGGCGCCGTTGCCGGGGACGGCTAGGTTGTTGAAGAAAAGTGATTTCTGTTAATTTAGCTTTTCTTTTTGCTTTGTTTTCTTTGTCCCACTTGTGCCTTCACGGGTTTGTTGCTTGAGTGTGTGCAGGTAGTGCATGACCCGTAGCCAGTCGGGAGGTTTACTGCCGTTGAATCCAGAGATTGACCGCACCTGTCGCCAGCTCAGGAGACAACAGCGAGCTAGACTGGCTACGGAAGAGCGCATAGACGGCCACCTGAGCAGCGATTCTGAAGAAGAGCCCGGGATGGACGGAGACTACAACCAACACCAGGGGATTCCTTAGCAGGCTCCCCCGGTGAATCAGGTCCTGGGGAACAACCCCATACCCCAGGGTCATGGAGTTCATCATCCACCGCAGCCGGGTCCCACCTTGGAGTACTATTACACTCCTCGGATTGCTGACATCCGCCCGGTCATCCTCTACCCGCCGATCCCAGCAAATAACTTCGAGATCAAGCCATGCTGGATTCAGCTCATCACATCTTCTATCCAGTTCCATGGCTTGAAGGATGAGGAGGCCAGGGTGCACTTGTCCCGTTTTCTGCAGCTGACGAACGGGTTCAAGCTGAATGGTGTCCCAGATGATGCGATCCGCCTTCATCTCTTCCCCCATTCTCTAGCGGGGAATGCCAAGAGGTGGTTGGAGACCCAGCCACCATTGTCCATCACCTCTTGGGACGATCTGGCGGACAAGTTCGTGCACAGGTACTACCCTGCATCGAAGACTACAGAGATTCAGCGGGAGATCACTCACTTCCGCCAGGAGCCAGATGAGTCACTTCGTGATGCATGGGAGCGGTACATGGGATACTTCTGGCAGTGTCCCCATCATGGCTTCAGCGATGCTTTCACAGTAGGGAACTTCTACAGCGCTCTCTCCCCAGATAGCCAGAGGGTGATTGAGTCTCTATGCCCAGGAGGGGATATTCTCACTAAGACTCCACCCGAGCTGAACCAGATGATTAATACATTAGCTGCCAGAGATCATTCCTGGGGGCAGAGCAGCAGAGGCAGGCATTCCCGGGACCGTGGTGTGCATGCCATGGAGGCCAGATCCGGGTTAGAGCAGCAGGTGGCTGAGTTGGTGCAGACATTGAAGCAGCCCAACAGTCTCCTACCGGGCCGAGGTGTAACTCCGCCTCCAGTCGCTCAGTGTCAGTGGTGTGAGAGCCCAAACCACCTGGTGGAAGATTGTCAGTCTATGAGGGAGTCTTCTACTCCCCAAGAGCAGGTGGACTTCATAGCAAATGCTCGGCGCCTGGATCCATACAGCAGTACCTATAATGAGGGATGGCGCCAGCATCCCAACTTTGCCTGGAGCAGCAACGCCAACAAGCCACCTGGTTTCCCAGCACCAGCAGGTGGTCTCCAGCAGAGGCAGCCCTTCCAGGCTAGGCAGGGGCTACCACCACAGCAGCAGCCTTACCAGCCTAGGCAAGGGCAGCCATTCCAGCAGCCTCAGCGTCAGTATGCCGAACCAGCAGCAGCGCCAGCTCCCGATAATCAGATGACCGAGCTGAAGAACATTTTGGCAGCATTCATGACCACCAGCCAGGCAAGTATCACGAGGATGGATCAGACCATAGCTTCACTGGAGACAGGCCAGAGAACCCTGGAGGCAGGCCAGAGAAACCAAGGTGCCATTCTGCAGGATCTCCAGCACCAGATAGGGAGCTTAGCTCGCCAGAACACTACAAGGGCACCGGGGACTCTGCCTGCCACCACTATCCCGAATCCTCGGGATCCTCACCAGCTCCAGCAGCTTGATGCCATTTTTACCAGGAGCGGTAAGGCCATATCTGCTGATCCTGTCCCGGCCAGACAGGAGGAACCACTATCTGCTTCAGCACTTCCAGCCGACAATGCAGAAGTGCGGGTGGAGAAGGAAGCCCCTGCTCCTAAGCCACGACCAGTGGTTAAGGAGCATGTGCCCCAGCTTCCCTTCCCCACTCGCCTACACAAAGACAGGTTGGAGACTGAATTTGCCAGTTTTATGGCAATGTTGAAGCGGCTCAACATCAGCATACCGTTCATGGAGGCACTGTCGAAGATGCCCAAGTATGCCAAGTTCATGAAAGATATATGCACCAACAAGAAGAAACTTGGGGATCTCTCGACAGTGATGCTTAGTGAGGAGTGTTCTGCTATCCTGCAGAACAAGCTGCCCGAGAAGCGCAAGGATCCAGGGAGTTTTACTATCCCTCTTACTATTGGCAGCATGCATGTAGGCAAGTCCTTGGCGGACCTAGGCGCTAGCATAAACGTCATGCCATATAATTTGTTTAAGAAGCTAGACTTAGGTGAACTTAGCCCTACTAGGATGAGCATTCAGCTCGCTGATCGTTCTATCGTGCATCCTAGGGGTATCATTGAGGACTTGCTTGTTAATGTGGGTACATTCACATATCCTGTTGATTTTGTTATTCTGGATGTAAATGAGGATGTGGATGTGCCTTTGATTCTAGGTAGGCCATTTCTTGCCACCACCAAGGCACTTATTGATGTGCATGATGGTAAATTGATCTTGCGTGCTGGGAATGAACAGGCTACTTTTTCTGTGACTGAGTTTGATCACTGTGCTATGATTGATGTCACGCCTGTGCATGCTATGTCTGATCAGGTACACGAGCCTGTCGTGTACCCTTCTGCACCTCCTATTTTGCAGGACCCTCCTATCATTCCTTCGCCGCCACTCCATCCAGCCTCGCCTCCGAACAAAAAGCTCAAGGAGGAGTGGCGGCCGAAGCAGCAGGTTGCTAAGCCTGCACGGAAGAAGAGTGGAGACCACTATGAGCTGGTCCCACCTCCTGCACCACGACCACCCTGGCCGTCCGGTTACTCACTCGCCTGCATCTTGCCGGATGGCCAGGTCGAGCTGACTGATGATGGTGGTCGCATCCGTCGGGTGCATGGCCACAACCTCAAGCTGTACCTCAAGAGCGATGTGGATCCGCTCTTGGAGGCACCTGTTCCTGCACCGCCCTGAGAATCCACCATGGGCGTCCAGCTAATACGACGGTAAAGAAGCGCTTGTGGGGAGGCAACCCCACCACGGTTTGATTTTCTTTCTTGTGTTTTGAGTCGGACTGTAACCCGGTTGGGTTTGGTTTGTTTTCTTTGTTTTGGATGATGTTTTATTGGGCTGACCATTGGACCTAACATACTGTGTTTGAGCTCTGTGTTTTTCCTTTGGTTGTGCTTGCCCCGACTGGCCCGCCTCCAGTCTCCTGCAGTCCGTGCATACCGGTAACATCTTTCCCTTATCCTTCCCTCTTCTCCATTGAGGGCAATGTCGATCTTAAGTGTGGGGGGATGTTCGATTATTTATGCGGGTGAATGTTTGGCTGTTTGTGTGCTTGGAGCCTAGTCCACTGTCCAAATTTTTAAATTTGAGGGCTCCAAGTACGTGTTTCCTTGCAATTGCCTGCTCAGTATGCTTTGAATTGACAGTCTTTATAGTAATGTGCAACCTAGGGAGGTAGTGTAGCACTATGGAGGATGTTGATGCATTTAAGACGTCTCATTTCTTCTTCATAGTGTGTTGGTTGATTGAGTGAATTAGTGATCTTAGGACCCTTGAATTGTGTGGTGTTGTGGACTCTCTGCCTGTCATGGACTCTTGTATCATGTTTTGAAAATAACAGGTGCTCGAAAATGTGCTTCAAAATAACGTCTCCCGTGCGAATAGGGCGAAAGTGTGTAAGGGGAGACGGGAATCCGTTCCCAATTTCCACCTACTACCTCCAGCCCCCTTACATGTCTTTCCCCCGCACGAGGCTCGAGACAACTGCTCCTGGCATGGCCGGTAAGAGCCGGGCTCCCGCAAAACCTTTGCTAGGTGGGAGCCCCCGTTTTCTGCAAAAACAGGTTGGAACCCTTGAAAAAAAAAGAAAAGAGAAAAACAGAAAAACAAGCAAAAAGAAGAAAGAAAAGGGGTTCCAACCATCTTCAAGAAGAAAATCGAGCACTTTGAACAATGTGAGTCCATGATCTTTTGTTTTTGAGAGTCTCTTCATCCACGATTCATTTGTCCTCTGTTCACTATTTGCCATGATGCCGACTCGAGACTAGTGCTCTCGCCTAAGAAGCTATGAGGTGACTTGTGCGTCGGTTGACCTCGTAAGCTGCTAAATGATCTAGGAAGTCCGCTACCTACGATCGAGGTTGTTTGTGCTATAGAGGTCTGGAGAGTTGCATTGGTTTGAGATAGGTTTGCTTGGGGACAAGCAAACGGTTAAGTGTGGGGGAGTTTGATAGACCGTTAGTTACACATGCTTTTACCCCTGCTCTTACTCTGTTTGAGGTATTGATTCTCGTGTTTTAGGCCGATTTCACGCTAGGTGGTGCTTGTTTATGATATTTCAGGTCCTAGTACGTGAATGGAGGCTTGGGAGCGAGTTTGATGTCGATTGGACGCGGATCGGACGCATGGCGAGATTCCAAGGAGGCTGCACGGCCAGACCAGGGAGTCGCACGGCCGTGCAACATACAATTGTGGCCGTGCGACATTATGCGAGAAGACGCACGGGCAGAGCAGAAAACCCGCACGGCCGTGCATGTAACCAGTCTGGCCGTGCGGGATTGTGCGAGAAGCCCGAGGTCGAACTAATTGACACGCCGCGTTTTGGAGTGCACGGCCAGAATGGTGATGTGCACGGCCGTGCACCCTGGCCGTGCGAGTCGGGAATGGCTGTTTTTAAGCAGAATTTCAGCCACAATTCAAGGGGATTCGAGTTTTTGAGAGAAAGAACGATTCCTAGAGAGAGAAAGTGACGAACAAGAGTCTCCAAGTGCCATAGATTGATCTTCAACACCATTGGAGGCCAGCTTGAGCTTGGAGAAGTGCCGATCAACGTCCAGGAGCAGGAATCCATCCTTCACAGTATGAATTCCGCGTCTGATTCTGCTTTTGCTTCTTTCTCCATGGAGTAGTTCTCCCATTCATCTGGGTATGGAGAACCCTAGATTTGTATGTTAGGCTTTGATTGTATGAACCCAAGTACTGATTCTATGATTTGATTTTATTCGATTGAGGTTTGAATGATTGAATGACTTGAATCCTGATCAAATTCCTGTTGTTTCTGCTTTAACCTAGAATGAGAATATCTGCCTAGGTTAATAGAGTATCCTTGATTGAAGATAGGGAGTTGGTGACTTTAGTCGAGGAACCAACTCACTATTCTGTACCGGATTTACTCCGGTAGTGGAGGTTTTGTTCTTAGGGCCTCAATCTGTCGACTCCGGTGGAGGTTAGTCGCCCGCTAGAGAGTCAGATTGAGAGGGTCTGAAGACCTTTAGTCGAGACTTCAGGCTGTTTAAGAATCTTCCGCAGTATAATCTTCATAGAAACTGAACTTGGTAATTACAATCCGGCTTAACTGCAGTCTAGGGGGAACCATATCCGGGTGACCTCTCTTAACCTGAATACAACAGTTTAGTTGCTTTGCTTGCTTGTTAGTTTAGACCTTCACTAAAGTTTCATTGCTAGATAATACGAATTCACTGAGTAGTCATCACATCTAGGACCCGGGTTGACAATAAAACCCAAACCCGCTATACTACGCTTTAGGAAGTGGTTACACTTGGCCATTTTCTGGAGTGACAGTAGGAGTCGAGTCAGTCACTGTTCACGAAGTGGCTTAGAAATTAGCTGTGGGCAAGTTCATGGTGAGTCCGAGTTCACCACTTTGGGCTGGCTAAGCGTTGCCGTTGATTTATTTTTAAATTCCTCACACACGTGTGCTCACGTCACGTATAATTGGCCACACCTCTCTCTCACCGACTCATGTCTCTTTTTTCGTACGACGAACTCATCTCCCCTTCTTTCTTCTTTCCCATTGACCCTATCCCCTTTTGTCCTCCGCTCAATCTCAATCGAAGATCATGGCAAACTGTAACGGCGGCGGAGGATAACAATCGAGAAGAAATGCCAGCCTCAATTCTCCTCTGCGCAATCGTTCGCGACTTCGATCAAGGCTTCGATTGGACAACGGAAACGACGATGGACGACAATCGATAAGAAGCGTTCGCTATTAATAATTCTTAGACCATTGATGTTCATCCGACTTTGGCATACCACCACCGAGAATCGCCTCTGTAAGTTCATCAGATTTTGACAGTTGGAAATAGGTTTAATGGCTCCCAAACAGAGAGAGAAGCCCTGCCCTTTTGATTCTTGATTTCCATTCACTACGCATGCATAGAGAGAACAGAAACAAGGGAAATATGTAGTTGCAGTGAAGTCTTGAGAGTGCTTTATTAGGTGGTTTGAATTCCTCAATGGTTGGCATTTCTATATTAGTTTGCGGTGTTGCTTCATGGGTCACCCAACCAAATGATCTTATCTCTGTTTGTTTTTCATGATGAATGCATGCTCACTTTAGCTTGCATTTGTCATTTAATGTCAATTGGGAATTCATGGGATGGAATTGAAATTTCAGTTTGTTTTCGGGTTGTTTATAGTTCCTCTTGGATATTAAATATCTTGAATGGATTGGTCATAAGTGATGGGATTTTGTGTGTGTAGGATTTGATGACTTACTAAAAACTAATTATGTGCAGATCAAGTGGGAGTGTTGTAGGCTCCAAAGTCCAAACCATGATTTACCAAAGGTCATCAAACTCTACAGTACTATCTCACAATGTGGGTTGATCCTCAAACTGGAATCCTATTTCGTTTTCAATTCAGGTATCCCAGATAGTTTTAGAATCGTTTGGTACATGTGCAACTGAATTAGGATTTTCCTGTTGATGCGTGCAAGTTGCATCTTTGAGTCATAGAGTGGATTGCCTCTAGAGATTGATAATGTCAGCGATTTTTAGAGATGGAGTAGATAGGTGATGAACTTTAGAGAGGCGAAATTCAAAACAACAATCAAGGTTGGTGGATAAAGAAGTTCATTTATGAGAGTTATTATTCACTTGGATTGCCAAGGTAAAGCTGCAGAGTATGCTACTAGAAAATCCACCAAACGAAGGTCTGTCAAATCCAACAATGAGACTTACATCGAGGTAATTCAATCAAATAGATATATCCTTCTCTTTTAAGGCTAAAACAAGTATATTGATTATTCAAATCATGTTTTGTAGTTGTAAAATGTTTGTTTCCATGTTTCGGTGTCATACTTCTCATTTTGTTTTGTATTATGTATCTTTCACTAGATGTTTTTCCAGCTGCTATCTAGAAGTGTTTGGTAGTAACATGTCAAGTGTCAACGACATCGAAGTAAAAGGCTTGATTGATTTGATGCTATTCTGGTTACATATTTCTCAATCCATAATGGTGACTTTTGTTATGTAACTTTGGTTTATTAACAGTTGAGCTGACAAAAATTATGGGAGTATGCTAGACAAACTGACAAAGGGTAGTGCTAGCTTTACTGACCCTTGGATAATATTATCATTAGAATCCGGCAGATATTGGAATGGTGTCATTTGGTTCTTATTTCCCAGTAGGTCTTCAATAGGGACTTTGTTGCTTGAATTGCAGCTCATTCACTCTCTACATATAATTTAATAATGATCTTGCTTTAGCCGACATTATTTATCATGGGTATTCTCAGGGTTGCAACCATTCACTGTCTATGCCATATTTATGGGTAATTCATGGCAGGACAAATAAACGACTTCATGATTCTTTTGATTGGGAATTTATGGTTTTTGGGTACTGCAGATGGCCAGTTGCAGAATGGAGCAAGAACTGGAATACCAGGGCAGATGCTCTCAGATTTCGTGGTAGGAAGGGCACTAGCTTTTACTTTTAGCCCATCGCTCTTCCTCTACAAAGTATGATCAGAATTATTAAGATTAGTGATTTGAATGGTTCAACATTTACAGTTTGTGTGGCTTTTGATTAATTAGTAGTAATGAAGTGAGGATTAGAAACGCGAACAGATGGATTGAAAACCACAAGCAAGGTGATTAATGAGATAAATTATTTGTGAGAACTCAAAAATTTGCTAATTGGAAAGAATTGATGCATCCATTTGAAAAACGAAAACTGAGAATATTCATAAAAAGTAAGAAAGTTGTGTCTCATTACTGATCATGTACGCTCCATATTATCTTAGTTAATGCAATATACCAACAATTTTAGTGGATCGAAGTATCTGATTTTTTTCCATCAATCATAGATCTTTCCTTACGTTTGACATGCTCTTAAATATTTGCTGGTTTTAATTAAGTCATTATTCATATGATGTCTAGATCACCATATGGGAACAACAACAACAACAAAAACAAAAACAAAAAATGTATCTGCATGCGTCTATTTGTTCTGATGTATAAGCTTTTGGGAAAAGGAAATCTATTACCCTGGAAATGATGATGGGGAACTAAGTTACCGCCATTACCGTGCCATTTTTAGCTCTAACTTATTCTTTATGAACTGTAATTATATATAGAGATCGTCGATATCTCTTTTCCCTTAAACCACACCAACATTAGCTTTTGTGTATTTAGATGTTGATATTGTTATTTTGTTCATAGTATTTCTCTTATTCATAATAATAATGGTGTGTAAGAGTGTGTGATCACTTGATTTCATTGCAAGATGACTAAATATTCACAAAACATCAAAACCCCAATATATTAGCATAAGGATATCCGCTGCAGAGCGCGGGCTACAAAACTAGTAAATTAAATAATAATGAAAGACTAAAACAATAAGGAAAGCAGATCGATAACACGTTCTGAAAAGGATCAGAAAGGTTGGAGAAGAGGAGAGATCGCTGTGGGGAAATACGGCTGATCCGTCGTCGAATAAGCAATTGCTACTATTGGATTCTTGGAAAAATACGGCTGATCCTTTCAGTAAGTTTTGCTTCTCTTGGTTTCTACACAAACTTAATATAATTATTCAAAGGATCAGCCGTCGGAAAATTTCCCCATGGTCCGGCGGATCTCTCCCTTGCACTATAAATAGCTTTTTCCCACTAGTAACATACCTATATGATAATTCTAAAATTCGAAGCATAGAAATAATACAAGATAGCAATGAAGCGAGTAGCTCTTCTTCTCCCCGGCTCAGTACTGATCGCAGCAACGGTATCCACAACATTCCTCGTTACGATTCTGCCGCCGCCCGGCGCCGCCGCCCAACAAAGCACCGGTCTTCCATGTAGCTGTGACCCTTACACTGTCTGCAACCAGTACTGTAACAGAGCAGGACCCTGCTGTAGTCCCCGTGGCTACTGCGGAATCGGCGGGGGTTACTGCGGGCAATGCTTTTGTTGGCAGGATCCCCAGTATGTAATTTGCGATGATTGTAATTGCGATGGAACATGCATTACCCACAATATCAAAGTTGCTACCTACGACGACGACAACGACGACCGCAACCATAACGTTTCTGCTGCTGCTGCTGCTCCCACTCCAAGTTGGCACCTAATGGAAAATATATCATCATCCTCATCATTGGTTACTAGCCCTAGCCCGAGCAAGGTCGGACCGGTTCATCGGTATGGTTCGGCCGCAGTATGTGGACAATCAGCAATGGATTTAGCCAATACTGTTGTTCCCGGGCAATGTCTAGAGGTAAAAAAAAAAAAAACAAAGTTTTGTGCCTGGTACGTACTTATACTGCTGGTCACATCTTGCTTGTGCGCTGATGCATCGATCTCTTTTGCGGTTGCTGCAGGTGACGAATCTTGAAAATGGGAAGCACGCGATGGTGAGAGTTACGGGTCATAAGCAATATCATTGCAGCAACACAAGTTTGTTATTGGAGCGCGGTGTTTTTCAACTGCTCGTGGGAACAAGCGGCGGCGGCGGCCATGGAGATGTACAAGCTCGTCACTTTCCAATTCGTTACAAGTATGTGCGTTGCATCGGCAATTAGTGAGTCGATGAAGAAGCACTATATCCCGGTTTAGGGGCATAATCAGAAAGCCTATGTGTAATATGGAGCATGAGATATAAATGGTTTGCTAACCCATATCCTACTTAACATCGGATTCTATTGTCACAATATAGAATCTGTATATCATAAAATCATCCTTTATGTTTCCAACTTTTTAGAGTAATATAAGCATGATCACACATATATAAGATGTGTGACAAAACTAGTGACCAGAAAACCTAAACTTCCATTTGGGCGACGATTTTGAGGAACATCCACTCTACAGAGAAAACTAGCTCCAGCCATGGTAAAGGAAACCGGATCGTACCGGCCGGTTGAACCGGTAAAACCGGATACCGGAGCGCGGGCGATACGGTACCGTGTTTGGGTGCAAAATATTGCGCCGGCCGGTTTAAACGGTTTAAGACGAAATATCGCCCGGTTTTGGTCTAACCCGGGGCAGGGTAATGGAAAAGAAAACGTCGTCGTATAAGCAGTTTAGCAAAAAAAAAAAAAAAAAAAACGAAGTCGAATTTGCAATTCGCCTCTTCTCTTCTTCAGTTCAATCCGGCGCTCCTCCTCTTCCCCATTTCTCCTCTGGCGACCGGCGACCAGGAATCGCCGAGCCCGTGACCAGCGACCGGCGGCAAGGTGACCCGCCGCGGTCCCTCCTTTGCTCCGCTCCACCGACCGACCTGATCTGCTCCGCTCCTCCTCTCCGGCCTCCGGTGCTCCTCTACGCCGCTACTCTCCGCCGCTCTGTTGCTCCTCTCCGCTCCTCTACTGCTGACTGCTCAAGAAGACAAGAACACGCGACATACAGAGGGCAGGCGAGTGATCAATAAAACCATAAACAAAATACATAGATGATAGAAAGCAAGTAGTTGGAGTAAAGACAGAAATATCCCATCTCTCAGTCGTTCTATCGCCTTAAGCACCGGAACCTTGAAACGCCGGTTTGCATGTTGTTGTATCTCCTTCTTCCAAGGAACATAGCATTATCGTCGAGCTAAGCTTATGAACACGTTGATCTGTGATGCGGTTTTTGAGAGAAAAAGGACTCAATTATCGGTTGCACTGCAAAGTGAGAAATCTCAAATCTGAGTGAAATTGCATGCAAGGAGGAAAACAGAGAGTCTAAGCTTTGGGATTCTTTCTTTCTTTTGATGGCATTTTGGGGAAGACAGAGAACAGAGAAGAAGTTGATTAATATAAAAGTGTGGTCACCGTTTGCCTGTTGGGAATGAGAAGGAGATAAGAATATATTAGATAGAAAAGAAGAAAAAAAATAAAGAAAGAAAAGGAAAAGGGTACAAAAGGTTTTCAATATTAACTAAAGTTATGTTATCATAAAATTCTATTTTAATTCCTTCTTCATTTGTTTAATTCTCAGTTGTATTTTAATATTTTATTTAATACTATCTATTAATAAAGTTTAAATAGCAACTAAAAATTAATATAATAATGACGCTTTCTTCACGTTCTCAATATTGAATTCTTCTAAAATTAACGCTCTCGCTCTACGAATTGGTTACCTAACTTAGGATTATGTTTCTCTTTTTTTGGTTGGTAAATTATAAAATAAAATGAATTGGTTGGTACTTGGTAGAAGTAGATATGTGTGATGATAATCCAAGTTTCTACATATTATGTGTGATGATAAATTAAACGAATTGGTTGGTAGAAGTAGATATGCGAATGTATAGTTATCCGGTATATTCCGGTATTATTCTGAAACGGTATCCCGAATCTGCCGGTACGGTTTTTTAACAAAAAAATATTATTTAATTACAAAAACGGTATTTTGCCGGTACACAACAATTGAACCACGGTAATACCACAAAATACCTATCACTGGCGGAGCCGGTATGACTTCCTGTACGGTTTCCTTTACCATGGCTCCAGCTATCTTCGTAAAGTCCACATAAGTCTCAACTTCAATAAGCAAAATTACATCTCTTCCCAGTCAAACCATCTTTTGCAATTTCAGATACCAAAGCTCAGAAGATCGCTTTCAAGATATCGTTGTTTTTTTTTTAATGGTATTTTTCAAGATATCGTTAAGAAATAAGAACCAAGCCAGCCATCAACATTTCTAGTTTTCCTCCAACTTTATGTCCCCTCCCGACAGATCATGGAATTGTGCATACACAACCCAGTCTTCGTCAGCGGCGGATCCAAAACTCAGAAGAGTACTGGGCCGCATTTCATTAAAAATTTAAAACCGTAAACAAATATAATGATTTTTTTTTTGCAATATAAATTGTACATTATCGTATTTTAATTTAGCTAATGCAACAATAATGGAGTCCACATCCATACCGATAAATATAAACTGTTTCAAATAAAATACTTGAGCAATCGGTGAGAAATTCACGCTCATTTTATTGCGCAAATAAGTTTTTACACATGTTTCATTTTTGAAAAAGTTTCCCTGGTAGTAGTTGTTGAAACGAGCAACGTCAACACTAGACAAATCAATCGTGCATTGTGTGTCCATCCCTAGATTCACCAACTACTCTAGTAAATTTTCAAGGGAAAAACCTCATATTTCTTCTATTCTTTTACCGTTTTAGACTTTTAGATTTCATTATTTTTTTAGATGAACAATCTTTGGGGCTAGAATTTCTAGTCTAAATAGAATAATGATTGAAAAATGTTAATTTAAATGATTTTTCTAGTTATACCCAATCTTATTATAAAATAACACTGAGCCGGATGTCTAATATCGAAAAATTCATATGGACTACACTAATGCCGGATCCAGAGGAAGGCTGGACCGGGGCCCGGGGTGGCCACCCCCTAAATCCGCCACTGGTCTTCGTCCAACATTTGTTTTAAGGAAATATCCAATATACCTTTTTCAACTGTAAGGAAATAGAAACTGCTTATCCCTAAAATTTAATCTCATACCATATTAATTAATTAAAATAGATTTAATTATTTATAAGATCAACTCAACATTAATGCAGATTTGGTAGGTAAGGGTACCAAGCCGGCAAGACAGACTTGGTAGCAATATATGAAATTTGGCTAAATCTTAAGTCTGAGGGCTAGAAAGTCATACAGAAACTAAGTTTGGATACCAAGTTGGCATGACGGGCTGGGTAGCCAAGAAATAGATTACCAAACCAGCAAGACAAATTTGGTATCAAGTTACAAAGCAGACAAGAGGGATGACAAAAGGTCGGGTCAAAGGCGAATAGTGCATATTCGTTATCCTACGGAAAATAGTTCAGGTTTTAGCCATAATCATACCCACATAATTAATAACCGGGCAGCAAATCAAAATCATGTCCATACCCTTTCGGATTTTGGGTATCCATGGTTATACATGAGTAATAATTTCTCTTTATAACTATAACCAACACGTTAACATTCACACGTATACTCACAATATATAAGTTAAGTACGACAATAATTTACTAGATTGAAGAAAATTAATTTCAAAGAATAGATGAAAATATTACATTTTTATGCTAAATATAAAATATGTTGAGAAAAATAGTGATTATTTATAGACAAAATACATATACATGTGTATAATAGGGCGGGTTCGAGTTGGATAGTGAGAAAACCATGTCCACCCATTACCCGCAATATTCAGGTTCGTGTTTTAGCCATACCCACTGAAAATCGTTCAGATTCGGGTTTTACCCTAAATGAATAGGTCGGAGTCGGGCAGATATCCACGGTTTCAGATATCTTTGCCATCCTTAGACAAGACGTGCATGATGGCAAGTTGGCAGGGTACGTACCAAGCGATCGAGCAGGTGACCAAGTGTCAAGTTGATTAGACGTGCATGATGCAAGTTGGCAGAGGGTACCAAGCGAGCAGGTGACAAGGTGTCAAGTTGATAACACGTGCTTGGTGGCTAGCTCATCAGATAGGATGCATATGAAGACTAACTAAGTTGGCAAGACAGGCTTGACAACAAGTAGAGATGGCAATGGCCGGATCGAGTTGGGTCGAGTTCTGGCAAATCCAAATCCAACGTAGCAGATATATCCGCAAAAAAGATATGTAACCTCAAACCCAACTCAGTCCACTAGTAATCCGTGGGTTCATAAATACCCCTAACTTCCAATAGACCGAAGAGTGAAAATTCATAACCCAACAAAGAAATGAATACGGTTCACAATCCTAACATAAAGTTGGACAATGTTAAACAACAATTATACATGAATATGGTCCACAAGACCACAACACTAGTTAGATAGTCCAACGGAGTGATCCACCGGGTTCTGGATCAGGTGAGTAACCTTATGATGAGTAACCATGAGTAACTCGTTCACATCAGTATGACATCAACGTCCCTCTCTCTCATGGAAAGCCTTTAATTTTCCCCTCCTTAATCTTTGACGGAAAATTTCTCACTCGTTTTAAGTCGAAATTTAATTCTTTTTGCACAGTTAGATCAGATTAATTGTGCTCTTCAAAATGATATCCACTTTGATATATTTTTCGAACAAAAAAAATTGGGCCATTTTTTACCAGTCTATACCATATGGTATTGACTGGTGTTGAAATAAGAGCATACCTATGGTTTGAAAAGCGTACCATGGTGGTATTAACAAACCAAAACTATAGGATGATTGAATACATAAAAGTAGAAGTATATTAACTGTCATTTACGACTTTTAACTGTCATGTAATTTGTTCACCCAGAAATTTGTAGATCCAATAGATCATGATGAACTCGTTCTTTCTGTGCAAACGTTTTCAAAAACGAAGAAGATACCATATGGTATGCAGTTGGTACCGAGAGGCATGAAAATTTTTTTTCTAAAAAAATATTGAAAATGGATCTCATTTTGTAGAGCACAACGAACTCGTTTCATCTGTAAAAAAAAAAAATTAAAAAATAAAATAAAATCCAAGTTAAATCGAAGAAGCTATGAGCCGATTAAAAAAGCTAAGAAAAAATAAATATAACCTTTAATTTTCTATCTTTAGATCTGGATTTTCTAAATGAAGGGTTCAAATTTAGTTATTAATGAGTCCAGATTTATCTTGAGCCTGATCCACTAACAAAAGATGGCCAATATAGAGGAAAATCGGTCGTCTTTTGTCACAGTGGATCAGGCTCAAGATCAGGGCAGAGTCAACCCTCCAAGTGCTTTCTAATATGCCTCCCTTCCTCTGCGGTGGTCGCTCTCGTCGGCGTTAGGATGCATCTCTCATTAGCGTGGTTCCAGCTCATTTGCAGATATCGCTCCCTGTGTTGCAGAGTAGATGATTTTCTTTTCCTCTGGTTATGGGGAAGGAGATTTTGATATCATGCCTCTGTTTTTCTCTCCCTGTTTGTTCCCTTTTTGCTTGTTTCGTATTCTTCCTAGCTTAGTTTTTGTTGTCTTAGGTCCGTTCTTTCCGAGCTGGTGCTTTTCCAGTCTTGTCTCCTTTCTGCTTTTGTACCCTTTGTCGTTCCAGTCTTTATACTGGTGTTTCTTTAATTTAATATATATCATCCTTATTAAAAAAAACAAAAAAAGACGGCCGATACTTTCCAAGTAAGTTTCCATTGATTTAGTTTCTCCACGGCGGATCCTTTCAATAAGTTTCGACGAATGGAATGAGAATTAAACTCTTCACGCTGGGAGACAAGCTCTTGTGAAATCAAAGGATCGTCGATTATCACTTATTAGCTTGCCGTACGTCTCATTCTGATAACTCTGCCGTCGTCCAGCGAATAGAAAACCAAAACCAAAGGCAAATAAAAATGGTTAGAATTCCCAAGAGAAAGTAGAGGAAGCCAATCCGACTATTTACAATGCTAGCTTTTCTTCAAGCTCTTATCTGTAACTCCAAATCAAATTGGTAGTCCAACCGAGTGATCCACCGTCGGTAAATACGGCTGATCCTCTGAATAATTAAGCTTCCCCCAAGCTGGATTTCTCCCTCTTGCACTATCTATAATTAAGTAGCTTAATTTTCACGTTGAACATCACACATACACAATACAAAAGACACTGGTTTTTAATTATTTTCTAGCTAGCAATGAAGCGAGTAATGCCTCTTCAGCCGGGCGCAGTACTGATCACCGCAATGGTATTGACAACATTAATCCTTGTCATGATGATTATGTCGCCGCTGCCGATCCCAGTCGCCGCCGAATCGGACGATCATAGATGTACGTGCAAACGTTACAGTAGATGCGATGGCTGTGATACAGATCGCTGCTGTAGTCCGTCTGGCTACTGCGGATCTGGCCGGGGTTACTGTCGGCCTTGTAATTGTCCGACCAAAGGTTGCTGTGATCCTCCTCCTCATGGCGAAAAGCAGCTCCCAGCATTTTACGAAAATGCCATGCATGCTGCTGTTGTTGATCTTCGTCATAACGCTACTACTGTTGAAGATTGAACTGGAGGATCAAACTTAATAAGGAGCTGTTGCAGAAGGAGGAGCTGCTGATGATGAAGGAATGCTTTGGCGCCAAAGTTGATTTGAGTTCGGATTAGTTTAATAAACTGTGTCGTTTCGGACAATTACGTTTTAAGTCCTGGTGTCTTTAAAGTGTGTCATGTGAGTCCTACGCATGAAGTGATTAAAACCTTTCATGAAGGTTGGCGGTTTCTTGACTCGGGCTGCAACAATCACATGACCAGGCAACAAATGCAGGTTTATTGATCTGGCTGCTACTAGAACTGGATCTGTCAAGTTGGGAAATTTTACAAAGCTGGAAGTACATGGTAAGGGTACCATCAAGGCGAAGACAGACCTGCAGACTCTACATATTCAGGACACCTTGTTTACCTAGTCTACAAAAAAAATCTGCTTAGTGTAAACCATTTATAGGAGAGGGACTATAGTTCCTAATCAAAAGAAATTCTTGCAATGTCTTCCATGAGTTCAAAGGATTATTAATGCAGTTGCACAAGAAGACAAACAAGATGTTTTATCTTACACAATGAGAAGCCCGAAGCAACAAGGAAAGGAGACATTTAGTGGTTTCAAATCACAGACAATGATAACAACACACTGAATCCATGGCATAGGAGGTTTGGTCACCTCAATTGTCAAGGACTAATTGGACTTTTATGGACAGTGCCCGGTATGAAAAGAGGGTAACAAATTAAATATTGTTCGTATGTTTTAATAATGAACAGTAAAAGATACGTGCACTTTTAATTATATTATAATAATAATAATAATAGTATTTGGATGTGAAATACATATTTAGTGCATTACCTGTGAATTTCAAGTACGAGAAATTTTACAATGCTATATAGTATTGGTGCTATAGGTTTTTGTCTTTATGGTACAACTTAAAATTGTACATTTACGTTATGGTACAACTTCATATTGTACCTATACTTTTTGCACAAATTCTTTTATGGTATAACTTGAACTTGTACCTTTATGTGATGGTACAACTTCAAGTTGTAAAGTTGTACCATAACATAATGATACAAATTGTTTTATGGTACAACCTAAACTTATACATTTAATGTTATGGTACAACTTTGAGTTGTACATTAAAGCACCAATGCTATATAGCATAGTAGAAGTGCTCTTCAACTACATATCAACAACTAGAGATTTAAATTTTCTCATAGCAACTGGAACTCTTTTGTAAAATTTTAGAAATTCAGATACAATATTGTAAGGAAAATATATAAAGGCACACCACTCGGTAGTGATGTATATGTAAAATTTTGTTTTCTCGTGAGCTGTAAAAGAAAAGCTTTTGTAGGAGCTTTTCTACACGTAAAACCAGTTTCTGTGTTGTCCAAGGATAAAAGCTTCGAGGACTTGATTGTAACTCTTGTAATAGATAAATGATTTATATGTAATATTTATTTTATTCATCCTCTTTGTCAGAACAGAAGCGTGCAAACGACAATCCAAACCAACACAAACGAACACAAATTTAACGTGGTTCACTAACACAATGTGTGCTAGCTAATCCACGGACAGGGGGGACAAATTTCACTAATTTGAGGAGAGTACAGGTTACAAACCAAATTCCAAACGGACAAACCAAACAAACTAAGATGACTGACCCTACTACAGACTAGGGTGATGAAGAGTATTTTTAGAACTCTTCTCCTAATCCCAAACAGAAAACCAAACACCTTTTCCCAAACATACAAGGAAAATGTCAAAACAAAACCCAATCTCAAACCCAAACAAAATAGGCCTAAAACACAAAATAAACCAAAATCAAATTCAAGTCATATTCTAACACTCTTAATAGGACATTTAGGATATATATATATAGTGACTACTTCGGTGCACTCAGTTTTTTTGGTACTCAGTGCACCCATTTCTAAAAGTGTCCATAGTACATCAAATTTTGAACTTTAATTAGTACTCTCAATCTAACATGATGATATGACATAGAATCATAACAAATCAATCTATTACCCTAACCCCTTAACCTTCAATTTTGAATCCCAATGCAAAATCCCAAATTGTAAACCTAAACCTTAACCCTAAACCCCTAAATACTAAATCCTTCAAATTAAAATAAATCTTAAATGATTTTTTTTTAATTCATGGGCTTATTGTTCATAATATCATAAGCAACAATTGATATCATTTTGACATGAATCGCATGCTCAGAATCAAACACAATGCGATCGAAACCGCCAAACTCAAACACAATCAAGATTGCCAGACATATCCAAATGCATTTCATATCGCCGGGCCAAACGCGATGCAAATCGCCAAACTCAGATGCAATCAAAATTGTCAGATGTACCAAACTCCTCCAAATCAGCTGTACCAGAATCTCCCCTGCCTCCAAATGCCCCTAAGGGCGGTCAACAACTCAAACCATTTGGCAAGTCCAACCCATGTTGAGACTTGTCATTCAGAACCAGCTTGGTGCACTTATCACCAACAGAACATGTCAAGACAGAACCTTGTAGATTATACAAGGCACCCCGCTTGACACCTTTCAAAATCACCTTAGAACCCTTGTAGACATATATCACTCCACCTTCACCTTTGAAACTGAAACCCTTGCTGTCGAGTAGACTCAAAGATATCATATTCTTAGTCATCTATGGAATATGTCTAACATTGTTCAAGGTGCGAACAGAACCATCATGTGTCCTCATCCTAACGGAGCCTCTTCCAACAATCTTACAGATAGCACCGTTGGCCATAGAAACATGTCCTCCATCTATCTGCTCATAAGTTGAAAAACACTCTCTGCTTGGACACATATGATAATCAGCTGCAGTATCTAAATACCACACATCCTGATGATGTATCTGTTCATTCACGGCTAAGGCTAAACCATCTTCAGAATCAGAGTTAGTTTCTTCCGCCACAGCAGCAGATGATTCCTTCTTCTCCTGATATTTCTTCAGTTTAGGACAATCAAATTTCCAATGTCCTTTCTCCTTGCAGTAATGACATATATCATCTTTCAAACCAGCAGAATTCAAATTTGTATTCGCCTTCCTATTACCAGATTGTTGTCTCCTACTACTAGTAGCAGCCAACCCAGATGCCTGATTTTCCGAACCTGAACCAGACGTCTTATGTCGAACCTCTCTAGTATATAGAGCAGATCTGACATCTTCCAAAGACAAATTATCTTTCCCAGCAATAAAAGAATCCACAAAATTCTCATATGACTGTGGCAAAGATACTAACAGAATTAAGGCAGCATCCTCATCATCTATTTTAACATCAATATTCCACAAATCTAGCAAGATAGTATTGAGTTGATATAGATGATTCCTTATAGAAGATTAATTACTGCTAACTCCAAGCCTGCAACCCCAAATTGACTTCTCGATCTTCAAATTCAGAACAGACATCCTTGATAATCGAAAACCCTAACCGCAGAATAGCGGCAGAGCGCTCCGATGCTACACGATACCAACGCAAGCAGTGACTTGTGGCTTCAAACTCAAATCAACCGACAAAGATTCCAACGCCAATTCCCTTTGAATTACATCGAGAACCGGGCTCTGATACCACTTGTCAGAACAGAAGCGTGCAAACGACAATCCAAACCAACACAAATTTAACGTGGTTCACTAACACAATGTGTGCTAGCTAATCCACGGGCAGGGGGGACAAATTTCACTAATTTGAGGAGAGTACAGGTTACAAACCAAATTCCAAACGGACAAACCAAACAAAATAACATGACTGACCCTACTACAGACTAGGGTGATGAAGAGTATTTATAGAACTCTTCTCATAATCCCAAACAGAAAACCAAACACCTTTTCCCAAACATACAAGGAAAATGTCAAAACAAAACCCAATCCCAAACCCAAACAAAATAGGCCTAAAACACAAAATAAACCAAAATCAAATTCAAGTCATATTCTAACACTCTTAATAGGACATTTAGGATATATATATATAGTGACTACTTCGGTGCACTCAGTTTTTTTGGTACTCAGTGCACCCATTTCTAAAAGTGTCCATAGTACATCAAATTTTGAACTTTAATTAGTACTCTCAATCTAACATGATGATATGACATAGAATCATAACAAATCAATCTATTACCCTAACCCCTTAACCTTCAATTTTGAATCCCAATGCAAAATCCCAAATTGTAAACCTAAACCTTAACCCTAAACCCCTAAATACTAAATCCTTCAAATTAAAATAAATCTTAAATGATTTTTTTTTAATTCATGGGCTTATTGTTCATAATATCATAAGCAACAACTGATATCATTTTGACATGAATCGCATGCTCAGAATGATGATTATGAGGTGGGTGCGCTGAATGTACAAAAAAGTGGGTGCGCCGAATACGCCACTATATATATATAGTAATGTGAGCAATAACGGTGTAAGTTTTCCTTTTCGATGAAATGAAGAAGGCCGAGATGTCTTTTCCCTTCTGATGATTTTGCAGGCAAACATGGTCTGGAACGAAGGGGCGTAGTTAATTAGCCTGAGTTACCTGACATGCCGATACTTCTTCCGTCGAGCGAATATAAAAAGAAAAAGACATTAGATCGATAACAAGTTCTGAAAAGGATCAGAAAGGTTAGAGAAGAGGAGAGATCACCGTGGGGAAATACGGCTGATCCGTCGTCGTCGAATAAACAATTGCTACTATTGGATTCTCGGAGAAATACGGCTCTGATCTTTTGAATAAGTAGTTTTGCTTCTCTTGGGTACGTTCTAAACAAACTTAATCTAATTAATTTATTCAAAGGATCAGCCAGCCGTCGGAAAATTTTCCCCATGGTCCGGTGCATCTCTCTCCTTGCACTATAAATATCTCTCCTTTTTTTTCCACTAGTAACATAACAATTATAACAGTCGATGCATAGAATAACACAAGGAAATTAAACCAGCCAGCAATGACGCGAGTAGTTCTTCTTCTTCTGCCGGCAACGGTATTCATAACATCCCTTGTCATTACAATTCTGCCGCCGGCCGCCGCGGATTGTGGCTGTGCCCCTTACCGTACCTGCAGTGACTGTGACGGCGGCAAGATGACTGGACCCTGTTGTAATGCATATGGTGCGTGCGGATATGGCGGGGGTTACTGTGAGCCTTGTTATTGTGACCTGGATCGTTGCGATGATTGTTTTTGCTTTGGAACATGCGCTTCCCACAATATCAGAGTTACTAATTACGACGACCACCATCGCAACCATAACAGCAGCAGCAGAAACGTTAATAATAACGTTTCTACTGCTGCTGCTCCCGCTCCAAGTTGGCACCTAATGGAGAATATATCATCATCATCATCGGTTACTAGCCCTAGCCCGAGCAATGCCTAGAGGTAATTAACAACAAATTTTGTGTGCTACTTACTGATCACATCTTTGCTTTGTGCGCTGATATACGTGTACATGGATCTCTTTGAGCGTGGTTTGCAGGTGACGAATCTTGAAAATCGCAAGCACGCAATATTGGCGAGTGTTACCGGTCATAAACAATATTATCATTTTGCAGCAACGTAACACAAGTTAGGATGTTGGATCACGATGTTTTTCAACAGCTCGTGGGAACAAGTGGTCATTGAGATATCCATGTACACAGGATATAGAATCTGTATCTTTAATGTTTCCAACTTTAATTTAGAGTGACATATATTAGAGAAAAAGAATAAAAATTCTTTTTACTTTTCCCTTGTTACTCGGCCCTCTCTCTCCCTGTAACCTCTCCACTTCTTCTGTACTCTCTCCACTTCCCTTCTTCCTCTCAACTGTATCTCCTGTAAAGCTGTATAAAACAGAACTCAATAAACAGAAGCAAATCACGTTGGATTGCATTCTGATTTTCCTCAACAACAAATCCTCTTTTCCAACATGGTATCAAAGCTAGCAACGATCAGCTAGTCGATCCAATTTCTTTCTCCCGCTTGCGTTTCCTTTCTCGTGTAAAACACTCTGTTTTTTTTTTCTCTTCTTTCTCTGCCGAAACCATGTCTGGCGAATCTGAAGTTCATGACAGCGCCGTCTCTTCCATTGTTCCAGCCATTGTGACATTCAATCCTGCTGCTCAACTTCCATTGAAGCTGACACCGTCTAACTTCGCCTCTTGGCGCTCCCAGCTTGAGACGCTGCTTCTCGGTCTCGATCTCTTCGGCTACATCGACGGCTCCACCATTGCACCTGATCGCACCATAACAGAGAACGGTGTGGCCAAACCCAATCCCGCTTTTCAGCTTTGGTTCCGCCAGGACAAGCTGATACTTCATGCTCTGCGATGCTCGATCTCGGAAGGGATCTATTCTTTTGTTTCAGGCGCTTCTACATCCCGCGCTGCCTGGCAGATTCTGGAGAAGCTTTACGCCAGCAGTGCTCAGTTCCGCATTATTCATCTCAAGGGGAAACTGGCCAAAACCTCCAAGGGAAATCGAGACATCCTGGCCTTCGTCAATGATTTGAAAAGCACGGCGGCAGAGCTTGCTCTCATTGGAGCTCCTGTCTCCGATCTTGATTTGATCGTCTACTGCCTTCGAGGCCTGGGCGAAGAGTACGGGGCGTTTGCTGCTGCGATTCGTGCTAGAGGACCAGGGCTCGTTCTGGAAGACTTGATTGACTCCCTAGTCGAATACGAATCTGATCTTAAGGAACAAATTAAGTCCCCTGTTCCTACTGCTTTCTTTTCTCAGGGGCAGCGATTTTCAGGCGGCGGCGGGGGCACTGGGAACCCTTCTTTCGGCCGCCAGCAGCGAGGAAGCTCTTCACGCGGGCCATCCTCTTCGCGGGCTTACTCACCTCAGGCCCACGCTGATTCTCCACGGGCCTCCAGCCCACAGGCCACCTTATTTTCCTCTCCTGGGCAGGCTTTGCCCACCAACCACAATCAGCGCCGGCCCACTGTCATATGTCAATTTTGCGAACGTCCAGGTCATTCTGTACGTCAGTGTTTCAAGCTCTTTCCGCAAGAACGCCAAACCTATCAAGCTCGACAAACTCAGGCGCATCATACCACCACTCGTGTTCCGCCATCGGCGCCTTGGTTGCTCGACTCTGCAGCTTCTCATCATGTGACCCCAGATCTCGGAAATTTGTCTCTTTATTCAGACTACAATGGTCCTGATGAGATACTCGTCGGTGATGGCACAGGTTTGAAAATCACACATATTGGGTCCTCCATGCTCCAGAATTCTGCTTTACATTTAAAAGATGTGCTTTGTGCCCCTGCAATCAAGCGTAAACTTATCTCTGTCGCAAAACTTTGTCGTACTAATCCCATTTCGGTGGAATTTTTTGCTGATTGTTTTGTTGTGAAAGATCTTCGCACGGGGGCGCCTCTGCTGAAAGGAGCAAATAATGGGGATGTCTATGAGCTGCCGCATGAAATGGATACCGTCCGCCTTGCTCTTGTCACCACCCGCACCTCCTCTACCTCATGGCATGCTCGTCTTGGTCACCCTTCCTCCCATTCTCTATCCAGTCTTCTTCGCACACATTCCTTGCCAGTAGCTTCCTCTTCTGTCAGTAGTCCTTGCGATTCATGTCTTTCAAATAAGAGTCACAAACTCCCTTTTGGTGTCTCCTCTTTATCAAGCAACAGACCATTTGATTTATTGTATACGGATGTTTGGGGGCCTGCTCCAGTGACCTCCATTGATGATTTTCGTTATTACTTGATTATCGTTGATCATTTTTCCCGCTATACATGGTATTATCCTTTAAAACGTAAATCTGATGTTCTTGATGTGTTTCTTGCCTTTCGCACGATGGTTGAGAATTATTTTTCCACCACCATCCGACGTCTATATTCTGATGGTGGAGGAGAATTCCAGAAGTTAAGTTCCATGCTTCTTGCTCATGGGATTAGTCATCTCCTTACTCCTCCCCATACGCCTGAGCATAACGGCCTGGCCGAACGGAAACACCGTCATATTGTTGAAACTGGTATCACTCTCCTTCATTATGCTCATTTACCTACCATCTTTTGGTCGTATGCTTTCTCTACTGCCGTTTACTTAATTAATCGGTTGCCTTCCTCCGCTCTCCGTGGTCAAATCCCTTATACTGCCCTCTTCAACATTGTGCCCAATTATCATAAACTTCGCATTTTTGGCTGTCTGTGCTACCCCTGGTTACGACCATACTCGTCTCATAAACTTGATCCTCGCTCCCGTCCATGCCTGTTCCTTGGTTACTGTCCGCAGAGGAGTGCGTACAAATGTTTCGATCCCCACTCCAATCGTGTTTTTCTATCCCGTCATGTTCACTTTGTTGAAACTTCGTTTCCTGGCTATTTATCTAACCCTCCTGCAGAGTCTTCCCTCGTGGCCTCATGGATCACAGATACTGGCCCCTCCATTACCACAATCCCATTTCATGTGACATCCCCGACTGCTCCTCCCAGCCGGGCCCCCTCTAGCGCAGGCCCTTTGCACTCAACATCACCAACTGGGCCGCCCCAGCCCGCTGGCCCATCCTCCTGCCCTGGGCCCCCGCCCCCCTCTTCCTCTGGCCCATCGCCGGCCCCCAGCGCCCTGCCAGGCCTGTCCTCCGGCTCTGGGCCCGTGCCCTCCTCTTTCTCGGGCCCAACGCCCGGCCACAGCACCCCGCTCTCTTCTCCGAATACGCTGGCCACTGCTGCTCCCAACCAGCCGGCCCAGTTACAGGGCCCAGCCTCACCTGCGCCCACAATGCAGCGGCCCACTGCCCCACCACCTGTCCAGCGCTCCCATCAGATGCGCACTCGGGCCCAAGCTGGCATTCACAAGCCCAAGCGGCTCTTCTCAGCATTATTTACCACCCGGACGCCACCTCTAGAGCCCCGTTCAGTTAATGAAGCCATGCAGTATACTGAATGGGACTCCGCTCTTCGCACTGAGCACAATGCTCTTCTTCGCAATCATACATGGGATCTTGTACCTCGCCAACCTCACTTTAATGTTCTGGGCAACAAATGGGTCTACCGGATTAAGCATCATTCTGATGGCTCGATCAATCTCTTCAAATGCCGCCTTGTTGCGAAGGGATTTCATCAACGCCCCGGGGTGGATTTTCAGGATACATACAGTTCGGTCGTCAAACCTGTGACAGTCCGCACGGTTTTCACTATTGCTCTCTCTCAGAGTTGGCCCATTAAACAGTTTGACATCAACAATGCTTTCCTTCAAGGCCCACTCGATGATGAGGTCTACATGGTCCAACCTCCCGGCTTTGTTGATCCGTTACATCCGCACCATGTTTGTCGCCTACGTCGTGCTATCTATGGCTTACGTCAAGCTCCACGGGCCTGGTACACTGCTCTCAGTTCTTTCCTCATTGAGTTTGGCTTCAGGAAGACTGAATCTGATGCATCACTCTTTGTTTATCAGCAATCGGGCATTATTCTCTATTTTCTGGTATATGTTGACGATTTATTGCTCACCGGCAATGATGTTGCCGCTCTGACAGCCTTCCAGACAGCTCTTGCCCACAAGTTTTCACTCAAGGCACTGGGAGATGTGAATTACTTTCTGGGCATCGAAGTTATACCGACAGCGACGGGCTATATTCTCTCTCAGCACAAATATATGACCGACATTCTTGCCCGATTTCATATGTTAGATGCATCTCCGGTCTCCACGCCCCTTGCGTCCTCTGCTTCCTTGTCTCTTCATGACGGCACCGATCCGACCGATGCTACACGATTCCGGCAAGTACTGGGTGCTCTGCAGTACCTCGTCTACACCCGTTCGGACATTGCCTTCTCCGTCAACAAGCTCTCCCAATACATGCACTCTCCATCCACCCATCATTGGCAGTGTCTCAAACGGCTACTTCGCTATGTTTGTGGTACTATCTCCTATGGCTTATCCATCCGGCGCTCCTCTCTTCCTATACGCATCACAGCCTTTGCCGACTCTGACTGGGCCGGGAACATTGATGATCGTACATCCACCTCCGCCTATCTAGTATACCTGGGCTCCACGCTCATCTCCTGGCGTTCTCAGAAACAACGGACGGTTGCCCGCAGCAGTACGGAAGCAGAATATCGTGCCATCGCCCATGCAACTGCTGAGCTGGAATGGGTTCGCAATCTCTTACAAGAGCTTCATCAGCCCCTCACCGAGTCTCCCACTGTTCTCTCCGATAACCTTGGTGCCACGTATTTCAGTGCCAACCCGGTTTTCCACTCTCGCATGAAGCATTTGGCTCTTGACTATCATTTTGTTCGCCAGCTCGTTCAGTCAGGTCGTCTCAGTGTCCGCTACATACCGACTGCTCAACAATTGGCCGACATGCTGACCAAACCACTTCCCGCCGCTCGGTTCCTGCTACTTCGTTCCAAGATTGGACTCGTTGACACCTCCTCCATCTTGCGGGGGCGTATTAGAGAAAAAGAATAAAAATTCTTTTTACTTTTCCCTTGTTACTCGGCCCTCTCTCTCCCTGTAACCTCTCCACTTCTCCTGTACTCTCTCCACTTCCCTTCTTCCTCTCAACTGTATCTCCTGTAAAGCTGTATAAAACAGAACTCAATAAACAGAAGCAAATCACGTTGGATTGCATTCTGATTTTCCTCAACAACAAATCCTCTTTTCCAACAACATAAACATGATCACACTTATGTGTGACGTATAAAAGTGGTGCCTACTTGAATACTTTTTTTTATATTAGTTTCGTATCGGGGTACGTAACTTGCATTACCTAACGTGGAAGATATATACACACTCGGCTCTCTACAATTAACCCTAGCCGAGATACTACATCTAATGGGGCCAGCCCTTTGATACAAGGCCTTAGGGCCGAATAACCATTATAATACTCAACAAATAGTTTAGCGATATCAATATTTCGACTTTTTATAACTTAAGTTCTTGAGAGATTTCCAAATATTGATATTGTATCATTTCTTTGAGGTGCCGTTTGGATGGGGGATTGTCGTACGTGGAGGTTAAGGATTTCCCCAGAATCCCTCACCTTCCAGGATTTATTTTTGAAAAAAATCACTAAATCATGCCCTTTTCTGCAAATCAATTTTCAATTTTGTGATTTCTCATGTAATGGTAAGGACCTAATTGATAAACCCACAGACTCGTACGAAGGGAATTGAAAACCAACACCTTCAACTCAACATAAGACACTAGAACAATCCAATCTCTTTCAGAGGAACAGGTAGGGGGTTTGGGCTTCGAGAATTTTGAAATCACATACAAATTATATCGTATTTTGAAAAATTACATATAAAACTAAGGTTATTTTGTTAATAAATTGTGTGAGAAATAATAAGCCGTGGGATCTCGAGGTAGTCCGGCGGAAATTTAATTGCAATTTTCACCAAGATCTAGGTTTGAGCTTGGTTGAAAGCAATCTTTTTATATTTTTAACCTTGTTGATTTAATGTGATCAAATAGCAAAACCAACGATTTAATTTTAAAAGTTTGTTTTGTAAGTCCTATAATTTCAAAGTAGATCATTTAAACTCTTCAACTTTTAATTTTCATAGTTTGTTTCACAAGTCCTTCCACAATCACGTAGGACTTAGCGAAACTAGATTTGGGTCCAAATACGAGAGATATAGTATTTTAAAGTTTGTACACCGTCCCTGGAATATTCATGATGTTCATATCTTAACTAATGTAGGTGTATCTCTTTCGTTTAATGTCAAAACCATCTATCGTTTGCACTCATAAGAATAACGTTTTCAACTAGAACATGACCTAAGACAAGGTTGTGTCATGAACAAACTTTACCGTTTTGACAATCTCTTGTTACATTCGAATTTCCTAACTAATTTCTTAGACAGTTCCAAAGGAAAAACTATTTTAGGAGCATTTTTACACGTAAAAATAAGTTTCTGAAACTCTAGGATTGTCATTTAACTAATTAGCTTGACGCAAAATACCCCATACATATGTCCAAACCAAGATTGAACTCAACGCGGTAATATAAGAGTGTTCTATCGATATATTACAAGTCATTTTTGGTATACAAGCTAACACAAAATCTTGAATAGAAAAATCCCTAATCAATTTATATCTCTCTTCACCTAAGGTCAAATCAATTTTACCGTAACAACGAATGTATCTTGCTTTTCGTTCAGAATACCAAAATCCGCCGTGGTTTTTTTATGACAACAATGATTTTTTCCTAATCGAGTATTTCTTTACTATCTATGGATAAATTAAATATAATTAAAATTAATAATATCCAAATTAAATAAGTCATTATCAACGCATTGAGTTCAATCTTGGTTTGGACATGCTGATATTCTGGCGTCCAGGGAAGAAAACCCCAATCGTTAAACATCAGTTTCCGAAACTAAGGAAAATTAAAAAAAAAAAAATTTGGTAAACTCAAGAAGTAAATTAGAGGAATTCCCAAGAGAAGAGGAGCCCAATCCGACTATTTACAATGCTCGTCTTCAAGCTCTTTTCTGTAACTCCAAATCAAATTGGTAGTCCAACCGAGTGATCCACCGTCGGTAAATACGGCTGATCCTCTCAATAATTAAGCTTCCCCCAAGCTGGATTTCTCCCTCTTTTACTATCTATAATTAAGTAGCTTAATTTTCACGTTGAACGTCACACATTCACAACACAAAAGGAGTTGGTTAATTAGCTAGCTAGCTAGCAATGAAGAGAGTAATACTGTTTCTTCAGCCGGGCGCAGTAGTACGGATCACCACAACACTGATATTGATGGCAACAATCCTTCTCATGATCATGATCATGTCGCCGCTGCCGATCGCAGTCACCGCCGAATCGGACGACCATAGATGTACTGGCTGCACACGTTACACTAGTTGCGGTTGCGACATAGGACGCTGCTGTAGTCCGTCTGGCTACTGCGGATCTGGCGAGGGTTACTGTGGTCATTGTTTCTGTGGGCATAAAATTTGCAATGATTGTCATTGCGATGGAACTTGCTGTGGTAATTCTGTTGGCGAAGAGCAGCTCCCAGCGTATCGTAAACATTACGAAAATGCCACGCATGATGCTGCTGTTGTTGATCGTCGTCGTCATCACGGTCGTGATGACGACGACAATATCATAGTTGCTACCTACGACGACGACGGCGGCAACCATAACATATCTTCATTGGTTACTAGCCCTAGCGTGACCAAGGTCAGGCCGGTTCAACGGTATGGTTCGGTTGCAGTTTGTGGACAATCAACGATGGTTTCAGCCAATAGTACGATTGTTCCCGGCCAATGCCTAGAGGTAAAAAAAAAAAAAAAACTGTGTTGTACTTATCGATCAAATCTTGCTTGTGCGCTGATACGTAGATCTCTTTGAGCGGGGTTGCAGGTGACAAATGTTGAAAATGGCAAGCAGGCAATGGTGAGAGTTACCGGCCGTCATAAACAATACCATTGCAGCAACACAAGTTTGGTGGTGGATCATGGTGTTTTTCGACAGCTCGTGGGAAGGAGCAGCGGCCATGGAGATCCACAAGCTCGTCACTTTCCAATCAGTTACAAGTATGTGCGTTGCATGAGCATCTGCAATTAACGGAGTCAACGAAGCACTTGTTAGTGTTGTGGTTCACGATTGAACATCTCCCTACAATTCGAGTTAATGGGATCAACTGGTTCTTGACAACACTATCCCTGTTTATGAAATAATACGGAGCCTATATTTCTGTTTTAAGTGGCATTCAACCTAATGGGTATTGAACCAATCAATTTAATTTGATTTGGACGATGCGAGTTAAACTCGGTGTTAACGAGCTTTGATTTGGCAGTGAGTTTTAGCCGATTTTGTAATTGACAGGTTGGGTCGGGTGTGAAGTTAGTTAAAAACTCGGTCCGTTTTCCAATTGACCCACATCTAAAAAAGCAAAAAAATCGACCCTACCAAAGTGGGTAATTGAATCAACCTAATCTGATTCAGAGAACAAGAATTGAACCCTGTGTTGACGAGGTTTAGGTAGAAAGAGAGTTTTATTCGCACGTCCAGCGAATAGAAAAACAAATTAAATATTGTTCGTATGTTTAAGTAATGAACAGTAAAAGATACGTGCGCTTTTAATTATATAATAATAATAATAGTATTTGGATGTGAAATACATATTTAGTGCATTACTTGTGAATTTCAACTACGAGAAATTTTACAATGCTATATAGTATTGGTGCTATAGGTTTTTGTCTTTATGGTACAACTTAAAATTGTACATTTACGTTATGGTACAACTTCAGATTGTACCTATACTTTTTGCACAAATTCTTTTATGATATAACTTGAACTTGTACCTTTATGTGATGGTACAACTTCAAGTTGTAAAGTTGTACCATAACATAATGGTACAAATTGCTTTATGGTACAACCTAAACTTATACATTTAATGTTATGGTACAACTTTGAGATGTACATTAAAACACCAATACTATATAGCATAGTAGAAGTGCTCTTCAACTACATATCAACAACGAGAGATTTAAATTTTCTCATAGCAACTGGAACTCTTTTGTAAAATTTTAGAAATTCAGATACAATATTGTAAGGAAAATATATAAAGGCACATCACTCGGTAGTGATGTATATGTAAAATTTTGCTTTCTCGTGAGCTGTAAAAGAAAAGCTTTTGTAGGAGATTTTCTACACGTAAAACCAGTTTCTGTGTTGTCCAAGGATAAAAGCTTCGAGGACTTGATTGTAACTCTTGTAATAGATAAATGATTAATATGTAATATTTATTTTATTCATCTTCTTAATAGGACATTTAGGATATATATATAGTGGCTACTTTGGTACACTCATTTTTTTTTTTGTGCACTCAGTGCACCCATTTCTAAAAGTGTCTATAGTACATCAAATTTTGAACTTTAATTAGTACTGTCAATCTAACATATGATGATATGACATAGAATCATAACAAATCAATCTATTACCCTAACCCCTTAACCTTTAATTTTGAATTCCAATGCAAAATCCCAAACCCTAAACCCTAACCCTAAACCCCTAAATACTAAATCCTTCAAATTAAAGTAAATCTTAAATGATTTTTTTTAATTCATGGGCTTATTGTTCATAATATCATAAGCAACAATTGATACCATTTTGACATGAATCGCATGCTCAGAATGATGATTATGAGGTGGGTGTGTCGAATACGCCACCATATATTATTAGAATTATTAAGGCACAAGATTTTTAACTGTTGCTTACGAAAAGAACGGGTTAGCTTTTAAATTCGGGTTACTGTTCATAAACAATTAAACACTCTTTTCTTTTAATTGTCTGTGGCCGTGTGTAGCTAAACCACATGTGAGCTGTATGGCGGTTGTCCAAGCATCTCAATGCAGCCCTCTACTTTTTGAACCCATGCCTTTTTCCTTCAATACCATTACCATTCCTAATCAATTAGTCATGTACGAAACAATAACACGATCAAGATTGAGATTAACGGGGAGGAATGATGAAATCAATTATTAGAATTGTATGGAATAGGTTTCAATACAAAGCTCTTCCTATTTGCAGTACTAAAAACATGATCTAATAGTTGTAATTTTTGAAAAAAGAGATCTAATAATCCATATCATATTTTTTGGCCCTCACCGGATTTTTTGGAGTAGTGTGGATTTTCAGGTGGGCTGTCAAAGCACTTTTCAAATTTTCTCCGAAAATTCAATGGACCATTGTTCATTCATTTTAAATTGGATTTTTTTCCCCACAGAAATATAAGATTCTGTGTTTTACAATATGATATCCATTTTGATAAAATTTTGTAACTTAACATTTTCAGGTCGTAATACCATTGTCATATCACCAGTGACTGTGGTATGATATCATAGTGGTATGATGTTGATATGATATTGGTATGATGTCGATATTATAGTGATGTGATGTTAATATAAGATCTTATTTCGGACAAAATAATTTGATGACCTGATTTTTTACTATACCATACACTACAAAATATTTATGTAACATTATTCTATAACAATTACATAACTTCATACATTAGGTAAATCTTAGAGAGTAATAATTATTTCTTATACATCAGTTAAACAAAAAGTACAATAAGTTTAATGACTAAGTCAATATACAAACGTTATGGAGAAAATAATATCTTATGTATCAATTAAAAAAGCATATCACATAAGTCTTCATGATATTAGTTTGAATGAAAATTCCTAAATTAGTTACCAAATTTCTTACAATCTCATCAATTGCTTTACACAAAGGTTTTTTAAGGTCAAATGTGATACCTTTTATAACATAATTCACCTATTATTAACTTAAATTCTTTATTATTGCCTACTACATTCAACATCTCATCAATTTGCATTACACGAATTAAAGCTTATGTAAGATAAGTTAATATTATATAGTAGTTTAATCAAATGTGAGATATGTAACTTGGTTTTCTTATTAGACCACACATTATGAAAGATTATATAACACCATTATATAACACCATTTTATTATTAGACCATACATTATGAAAGATTACATAACACCATTCTATAAGAATTTTTTAAATTCACTATACATGTACAACTTATGAATGTCGAAGGGATAATTATTACTTATGTATCAATCAAATACATATTTTACAGTGGATGAAATTTATACAAAAATAAATAATTAGCTTATAACCGCCGCGAAGCGCGGGCCAAAAAGCTAGTATATATAGTAATGTGAGCAATAACGGTGTAATTTTTCCTTTTCAATGAAATGAGAAAAAGACATTAGATCGATAACAATAAGTTCCGAAAAGGATCACACAAGGTTAGAGAAGAGGAGAGATCACCGTGGGGAAATACGGCTGATCCGTCGTCGTCGAATAAACAATTGTTACTATTGGATTCTCGGAGAAATACGGCTCTGATCTTTTGAATAAGTAGTTTTGCTTCTCTTGGGTACGTTCTAAACAAACTTAATCTAATTAATTTATTCAAAGGATCAGCCAGCCGTCGGAAAATTTCCCCACGGTCCGGTGAATCTCTCTCCTTGCACTATAAATATCTCTCTTTTATTTCCACTAGTAACATAACAATTATAACAGTCGATGCAAAGAATAACACAAGGAAATTAAACCAGCCAGCAATGACGCGAGCAGTTCTTCTTCTGCCGGCAACGGTATTCATAACATCCCTTGTCATTACGATTCTGCCGCCGGCCGCCGCGGATTGTGGCTGTGCCCGTTACACTACCTGCAGTGACTGTGACGGCGAGATAGCTGGACCCTGTTGTGATGTATATGGCGCGTGCGGATCTGGCGGGGGTTACTGTGAGCCTTGTTTTTGTTCCCAGTATCCCGAGAATCGGTATGTAGCTTGCGATGATTGTCATTGCTTAGGAACATGCGCTTCCCACAATATCATAGTTGCTACCTACGACGACGACCACCACCGCAACCATAGCAGCAGCAGCAGCAGTACTACTAGTAATAACGTTTCTGCTGCTGCTCCCACTCCAAGTTGGCACCTAATGGAGAATATGTCATCGTCGTCGTCTTCGGTTACTAGCTCGAGCGAGGTCAGGCCGGTGGTTCATCGGTATGGTTCGGCTGCAGTTTGTGGACAATCAGCAATGGATTTAGCCAATACTGTTGTTCCCGGCCAATGCCTAGAGGTAAAACAAAAAAACAAATTGTGTGCGTGGTCACATCTTTGCTTGTGCGCTGATACGTACGTACGTCGATCGATATCTCTTTTGCGGTTGCTGCAGGTGACGAATCTTGAAAATGGCAAGCACGCAATGGTGAGAGTTACGGGTCATAAGCAATATCATTGCAGCAACACAAGTTTGTTGTTGGAGCGCGGTGTTTTTCAGCAGCTCGTGGGAACAAGCGGCGGCGGCCATGGCGATCAACGAGCTCGTCACTTTCCTATTAATTACAAGTATGTGCGTTGCATCGGCAATTAGTGAGTCAATGAATTAAGCACTAGCTATCCCGGTTTAGGGGCATAATACGAAGACTGCTATGTAACATGAAGCATGAGATACAAGATGGTTTGCTAACCTATATCCGCCTTTTAACATCAGATTCTATTGTCACAATATAGGATCTGTATATCATAAAAATGTTCCTTTATGTTTCCAACTTTTTAGAGTAATATAAGCATGATCACACACATATATATAAGATGTGTGACTTATAAAACTGTTGCCCACTTGAATAATATATAGCATCTATATTAGTTTTGTATCGGGTAGGGGGAGGGGGTTGGAGCTTCGAGAATTTTGAAATCACATACAAAATTTTATCGGATTTTGAAACATTAGGTATAAAATGAAGGTTATTTTATAAATAAAATGGTGTGTAAAATTATAATACATCTCGCGGTAGTCGCGAGCGGAAATTTAATTGCAATTCTCACCGGGGTCTAGGTTTGAGCTTCGTTGAAAGCAATATCCCTTTTTCTATTTTTAACCTTGTTCGTTTATTTAATGTGTGATCAAAGAGCAAAATCGACTATTTAATTTTAAAAGTTTGTTATGTAAGTCCTATAATTTCAAAGGAAGTCATTTAAACTTTTCAACTTTTAATTTGTTTTACAAGTCCTTTCACGATCAAGTAAGACTAAATGAAACTAGATTTGGGTCAAAATAAGATAGATATGGTATTTTAAAGTTTGTATCTTTACTAATTTAGGTGTATCTTCTTCCTTTGATGTCGAAACGATCTACCGTTTGCACTCGCAAGAAAAACATTTTCAACAGGAACACGGCTTAAGATAAGGTTGTGTCAGAGGCAAATTTTACCGTTTCGACAATTCTGTCGTTACATTTGAATTTCCTAAATAATTTGTGTGTGTCTCCTTCGCCTGATATCGAAATGATAATTTATTTGCGCCCATACAATCTTGACGACGGGAGAAAGTTTATAGAGGAAACACGGTTGTGTTGGGATGGTCTCATGAACAACTTTCGCCATTTCGACGATGCTACCTTTTTTTGAAGTTATAAACTCTGGGTGGAACATGGTCATGCACACGACCATATTTGGGACGTGTTCAGGCCAAAATTCTCATTGTAGCTTTATTTTCATAATCATATTTATAGGTAGTTAAGTGTCATGTAGAGTACTAGGGTTTTCAACTCCAAGTTGACTTGCCTTCTCAAATCCTAGTAAAATAGGCAATTAATTTAATTACAATTCGGTTCAGTCCTTAGTTTGATTTTACGGTTTCGGTCTGGACCGAAACAAAACCGAAAATGTCCAAAATTCAGGAACCAAAGTCGAATCGAAAGATAAACAGTTCGATCCGATTCGGTGTGAGAGTTGATTATGTCCGATTCGGTCCAATGCGAATCGAATCGTTGCCCACCCCTAGCAATAACACAATAATTATTCCCTAAGTCTATCTCTCTCTTAACCCTAGCCGAACCTAGGGGTGGGCAAGGTGAACGGCTATTTGCCGCCAACCAAATTGCTATTTGCCGCCAACTAAAAAAAAAAAAAAAATTGAATTCAAATTTTGAATTTTCCCTTCCTTCCCAGTGCCTCCGTCGCCGGCACCGTTCTTCCGTCGTCGGCTAACCTCCCGTCGCCCTCAATCTTCGGAAAACAAGTAAGTTTACTTTTTCCGGCCAGTTTTCCGGCGAAAAACACGGCGGGCCGAAAAAAAATTGGGGCTAGAAAGCCGCCGAGCCGAAAAAAATTTGCGGCCGGGGCGACGGCCGGCCGAAACATTTTTTCGGCCCGGCGACGCCTCGGCCGCAAATTTTTTTCGACCGGTCGCCGAACACGTCGGCCAAAAATTTTCCGGCGGCGTGTTCGTCGGCCGGCCGCAAATATTTTTCGGCCCGGCGGCGCACCGGCCGCAAAAGTTTTTCGGCCCGAGTAGGCTTCCCACATGGCCGTGTGAAGCCTCGCAGAATTCCACACGGCCAAAGTGCAACTTCACATGGCCGTGTGAAGCCTCGCAGAATTCCACACGGCCAAAGTGCAACTTCACACGGCCGTGTAGCTCACCCAGCCTGGCCGTGTGAAGCCTCGCAAAATTCCACACGGCAAAGTGCAACTTCACACGGCCGTGTGAGTTGTGTGTGTGCCCGTGTGGCTTTCTTTTTGACTTGCCTCGCGCCCGATCTTCGTCCAATCGACCCCGAACTCGCTCGAAATCCATAATGAAATCCATAAGTTCGTAATGACCACGAACTCGCTGCCGACCACCAAGGGTTTAGGGTTCAGGGTTCAGGGTTTAGGGTTTAGGGTTTAGGGTTCAGGGTTTAGGGTTTGAAACACATGGTTCGTGTAGCACTTTGCCCACATTGTCTGATGAGGCAACCACTCACCTCGCACGTAGGCAACCACCGGAATTTTTTGGCCCACCGTCTGTTCGTTTCAAATCGTCGGAAAAATTGTTCAAAACTACAAAAAAATTACGCACCTGCTTAGTGATGATTCATGGATGCGTGTACGCAGTATATGTCGAGGATAGGCTTTCTCGATGATTTTCCGGCGACTTTTCCGGCGAGCGTTGAATTTTTCTGATTCAATACGTTCTCTGAAAGTTGGATATGTTGTAGATTGTGAAACTCCTTAACCAAAGATGTATATATATACTTTTTTTTTTCATCGATGATTTTCCGGCGACTTTTCCGGCGAGCGTTGAATTTTTCTCATTCAATACGTTCTCTGAAAGTTGGATATGTTGTAGATTGTGAAACTCCTTAACCAAAGATGTATATATATACTTTTTTTTTCATCGATGATTTTCCGGCGACTTTTCCGGCGAGCGTTGAATTTTTCTGATTCAATACGTTCTCTGAAAGTTGGATATGTTGTAGATTGTGAAACTCCTTAACCAAAGATGTATATATATACTTTTTTTTTTCATCGATGATTTTCCGGCGACTTTTCCGGCGAGCGTTGAATTTTTCTGATTCAATACGTTCTCTGAAAGTTGGATATGCTGTAGATTGTGAAACTCCTTAACCAAAAATGTATATATATACTTTTTTTTTTTCATCGATGATTTTCCGGCGACTTTTCCGGCGAGCGTTGAATTTTTATGATTCAATACGTTCTCTGAAAGTTGGATATGTTGTAGATTGTGAAACTCCTTAACAAAGATGTATATATATACTTTTTTTTTTGGTTGGCGGCAAATAGCAAGCCCCGACGGGAAACGGGTATTTGGGTATACCCGTACCCGTCGCGTTTTTTAAGGGTTACGGGTACCCATATTACCCGTACTATTTTAAACGGATGGGACTTGGGATTGTACAGTCCTAATATGGGTACGCGCGGGTTACCCGCGAATACCCGTTTGGGTAATATGGGTACCCGTTGTACCCATTCAAATTACAAAGACATATAATTTAGCCCATGCGCCCAGGCCCAACCCAATTCAAAATCCATTAAAATTACAAAATCCATTTAATTCAGCCCGTGAGAGTTGCGACGGCAGGCGGCAGCTTCTCTGGAATTTGGAAAGGTCTGTCTCTGTCTTGTGTCTTGTCCCTGGCTGGAGGAGTCGTCTTCGCGGGACGAGAGAGAAGAAATGAAAGGTCGAAGTAATGGCGAAGTAATGGCAGTGGGAAAGTGTGGGAGCACCCTTGCTTGCTGTTGCAAAATTCACCACCTTCCCCACCCTATTTTGCCAAACTGAGGATTGATTTGAGTAGAAACAACATTATTATTATTATTACTGAATCATGGCACTTTCCAGGAAGCCGAACTTGTTCTCTTTCTGGGTTTTATTATTTGGTCCTTTCCCCTTCCTTGATTCCTTTTCATCTTCATCATCATCCCTTCTTTGGGTTGTAGGAATTGGTGTAAGTTGCTACTTGTGCAGCCGTTTTGTGTTTTGAAATGAATGCTTTGGATGTAATTGACTAATTGTCTTTAGGTAAAATGTCATTTAAACTTTGGGTATTTATGGGTAGTATGGGTACCCGTTATCCGTCCCGTACGGGTAATGGGTACCCATTTCCCATATGGGTTTGGGATATGGGATGTACTTTGATCTCCAAATGGGACTGGGTACCCGTTTAAAACGGGACGGGTATCCCGTCCCGTCCCGTTGCCCACCCCTAGCCGAACCCCTCTCCCTCCTCTCTTTGTCGTCGGCCATCCCTCCCGGGAACCGACCTCTTCTTCTCTCTCACCTAAATCCCAGTTCTTCCTCATCCAAATCCCCAATTCTCATATCGATCCCAAACCCTAAATCGCACACCTAGATCCTTATTCTGTCATAGCTAGACAACTTGTTTAGATTCAGGCAAGGTAATCACTTATCTAGAGGAGATTGTTGGGGAGGCAGTGATTTTTATAGGCTGCTGTATGGTGAACCAAATAGGGATGTAAACTAGCTATGTTCTCATAGGGATGTAAACTAGCTATGTTCTCAGCCAGTCGGCCGGGTGAATTTTCTTTTACATTTATAATTTGAGTCTAATTTTACAATTGTGATAGTGTGAATATTCTAAAATTATTCAATTATTATTGATGTTTTCACAAATAATTATGATCTCTCGTACGTGTGTTATCTCATCTCAATATAAATTTGGGGTCGTTTGGATGATGAATTATAACTGATCAATTTGAACCAATAGTTTCGTTTGGCCAAATTGATCGATTTGGCAGCACAAAATCTAAATGATGCTTGAGTAATTTCAAATTGACTCGTTTTGAGACAATTACAATTACAATTGTCTGGATTGGCACCAGACAATTCGAGTTGACTCATTTTAAATGATTCATTTTGAAAAATGAGACAACTGAGCAAATTGCCTTGTTTTTCAATTGATAGTTCCAAACCACCCCTTCAAGAAAGCACAATTTATTGTAAGGTTATTTTTCAGCTAAACATCTACTGTTAAATCAATAATTTGTAATATTTTAAGTAAATAATAAATTCAATTCTTAGTCGATCAATTTGACTCTTAGCTAAATATATTATAGGACCATATTAAAATTCGGAACATTCATTTAATGCTGGTTGGATTCTTCAACATTCTTACACACGATTAGGTTTCAGATTTTATTATAGACCTACTTATGATGGTAAGATTCACAAATCCCAGCATGTATTTGTAAATTATCTTAGCAATATATATTGATCAATGATTATTGATGTTTGACGAACTTTCAGTATAGACACTTTAATTCAATTATTGTAAGCAATAACACCATAAAACTTTGATGAATGTAAAACATTGTATTATTTGAACAAATTTATAATCATTGTAAATTAGTTTTGAATTTTAAAGTTTAATTGGTTATAGAAATTTTGTATTCCAAAACATATAAATGTACAGTACTGCCAAAAGAAAGAAAGATGGCGAAAAGAGAGGGATTTTTCCAGAAATAGCACCTTTAAAAAAAAATTTACAAAAATAGCACCCATGTAAAAAAAATTCCACTAATAGCACCCTTTTTAATAGAACGCACCTTGTAGATGCGTTTTACATATAAATCGCACCCTACAAGTGCGTTTTATAAATAGATCGCACCCTACAAGTGCGTTCCAAAAATCTGGAATCAAATCGCACTTTAGCCAAGCGATTTTTGGTCTGACCTAGTAAAATCGCATGGCCAAAATGCGATTTAGGTCTGACCTACTAAAATCGCATGGCCGAGGTGCGATTTAGAGCCAGACCTAGTAAAATCGCATTCCTGGGGTGCGATCTGTTTCTGCCAGACAAAATCGCACCATGAGAATGCGATTTTAACATGCAAACCGCACCTTAAAGGTGCGGTTTTGGTCAATCAATTTCCGACATGCATGCAGACGTTACAGACGTGGGTCTGCATGGGCCTGCATGGCAGACGAAAATCGCATCTCTAAGGTGCGGTTTTCATCAAGATTTTGCCTATAAAAGGCCTCCCGGACAACCATTTCTCTTCACACCTCTCCTTCTCACTTCCCTTTTCAATTTTCAGTTGTAGCTCTATATTTCTTTAGTAGTTTTGCGATTAACGTTAACTCGTAAGTTGATTTAGTATTACATATTTCTTTAGTAGTTTTGCGATTAACGTTAACTCGTAAGTTGATGTAGCTCTATATTTCTTTAGTAGTTTTGCGATTAACGTTAACTCGTAAGTTGATTTAGTATTACATATTTCTTTAGTAGTTTTGTGATTAACGTTAACTCGTAAGTTGATTTAGTATTACATATTTCTTTAGTAGTTTTGTGAATAACGTTAACTCGTAAGTTGATTTAGTATTACTTTGTATTGTTAATTTTTATTTTTGATTTTTATGATATTAACTTAACTACGGTTTTATCGCAGATGGCATTCCAAAAGTTCACGCTTGGCTTACGGTGGAATGGTTACACGGAAGAGACCGGAAAGGGTGCCACCTACGTAGGTGGCAATTTTCAGAAGATAAAGGTCGCTACCAGACCGCGACTTGAAGACCTCCATCAAATGTGCACTAACGTTACTTGCATGGATGGCACGAGAAGAGTTGATCGTATGGTGTACCGATATCCAAACAGAGAAAGTGGGTCATTGTGGCATGAGGAATATCTCATAACCACTCAAGATGAGGTAGATTCCATGCTCGAATTCATGAGGTCCAACAATCTTTCCAAAGCCGAGATGTTCGTTTACACCGAGCCGGTCGTAGGCGTTGGAGGTCATTTTGGACACGGTCAAACATCTGGTATCCATGGTGGAGGTGAATTATATGGCGATCATCCCTACCAAAGTTACCATGATCCTCATTCATATTTTCAGTACCAAGAGCAAGGTGAAGGTCATCATCAATCATATGAAGAGGAAGTTCAACCGGACCGGCCCAACCAACCTCAGTACAACTTCCACTCAGGCAGCGGTAGTTTTCACAACTACCATTATGGAGCTGATGAAGGTGCCTTTCATGAGCTGGATCAGATGGAGGATGTCATGCCAGCACCAGTCAGTGACCCCTCCGATGAAGAAGGAGAGAACAACGTTAGTGCAGACAGCTCCGACCCTCTTGAAGGTGTTGATGATTCCGGACCAGAGTCAGACTCAGCTGATGATGATGAGGGGGCTCGTGACCGTGTACCAGTCCCCTACTACAATCACATTCCAGACGACAATTGGATGGTCGACAGCGACATGGAGCCGCCAGAGGTCCCAATATGGGGTCCACTCACTGGGTTTATGAAGGGCCAACAATTTGGCTCGAAGAAGGATGTGCGTCACGCCATTGAGACAGAAGCAATGACTCGGCATTTTGAATGGCTCACAACTCATTCCAACACTAAAAGGCTCTTAGTCAGATGCCGTAATCATCACGAGGGGTGCCATGTCAGGATTCGGGCCATCAACAGCAAGAGACACGGTTGCTGGGTCATATCCCGTGCGGTGAACACACACACATGTGTGTCATCCATAACTTCCCAAGGCCATCGACAGTTGAAATCCAGGGTGGTTGCTGCGGCTATCAAACATCTAATTGAGCAAGAGCCAGACCTAAAGGTGAAAGTCATAATCGCTGACATTGCAAGTCGTTATGGTTATATGATTAACTACAAGAAGGCGTGGCATGGAAAGCAGAAAGCTCTGGCCGCCGTCTTTGGTGATTGGGAAGAATCATATGCATTCCTTCCCAGGTTAATTTTGGCATTGGAGGCGTCTAACCCTGGCACGGTTTTCTCCCCTCGATACCAAGATGAAGAGATACAACCCCCAGAGCCAGGTAACAAGCGCCATTTCAGACGACTTTTCTGGGCTTTCAAGCCATGTATTGATGGTTTTGGCTTCTGTGTCCCTGTCATCCAAGTGGATGGAACATTCCTTACCGGCAAGTATAAGGGCACTCTCCTAAGCCATCCACAACTAAGGAGATTGCTTGCTTTTTTGGAGAAGAACACTCCTCCGATCATGCCAATGAGATAGACCCGAGCATATCTCTCGATCTCATCCTCCGGACTTTCCTCAGTTAGGGGATGACTCTCGTAATGCTCTCTAAAGTACCTCGTCAACCAAGTAATTGACACTTGGTGTTTCCTCATTGGTGGCATGCGATCGGTCGCATCAACTTGCCCCTTCACTGGTACTTTTACTCCCAAAACACTATAGATGAAATGAACCCAACCGGTCATACCGTCGACATCGTCGGGGGCATGATCACTGACGCACACCGGTTTGCCGTCGATGGGGAGATGGGTTAGGATGGCGACATCCTTTAGTGTGATGGTGGCCTCTCCTTCTCTCAAGTTGAAGCAATGGGTCTCCTTTCTCCATCTCTCAACTAGGGCGGTGATGAGTTGGCGATCAACTCTTATGCCGTTAAAATGCCTAATCGAGTCCAATCGTGCCCTTTTGAGAAAGGGCAAGATGGTTGGGTGGAATGGGAGCACATTGGTCGAACCCCTGTAGCGGATTATTGTTTGTGCCTCCTAGGGAAAATTTACACGTTAATTATTATATATTAGTAAGGGTTTAATCCTTATAAATAAATTACTTAAATTATATTATTTAACTTCAAGCAGAATTTTATTATCATAAAAAGCAATTTCATATAATTAACATAATAACATTATAAATTAATAATAATTTAAAGAGATACATACATATTATCATAAAACGAACATCCTAAATGAATAATGATTTAAAGAGATACATACTAATTATCGTAAAATAAACATACTAAATTAACTAAATTAAATGACATTGTTAATGAATCAATCTTTTAAAGAGAAACATACATATTCAATTGTTTGAAATTAATAAAATTCCATTTGTACACATAAAAATAAATCGTAAGGATTGTTTGGTAAATTATTTAATCCTTTTGGTTGTTTTAAATAATTTAATCGAATACAAAGCAACACTCGTTAGACTCTTAGAAGAGGTATACATCTTCTTAGAAACGCAGTCTTGTTGACAGAAAAAGGGGGGATCCGAGGATCTCTTAATGCCCGATTTTCCCAGGGAATGGGAGGATATGATAATCGCTTAAAACCCCATTTCCTTAGACGTGCATCTCTTTATAAAGAGTCGAAGTAAGTGGCGCTATGTATTCGATTAAATTATTGAAAACAACCAACACGATTAAAATTCAACATTAATTTATTTTATATTCCACTAAATACATTAACAAAATAAAAGAAGGACAAACGGTAAAGAATTGTATGTACCGGGTGAGCGTTCCAAACATCCCTTGACCGATGGTTGGGTTGGTCGTACAAGTCGGTTGGATCCAACGGTCCTTGCTCGAGATAATACCGTTGGTTGTAAATATCGACGTCCTCCGCAGCCTACGAGAAAATAACAACGAGGTTAGTAAATAGATTAATTAAAAAGCAAGATAAGAACAACAAAAATTAAACCCGAATAATGAGTACGTACCGCTTGAAATTCATCAACAAAAACTCCTTGCCACCAATCGACCATTTTTTCGGCGCAATTCGGACAGAGCTTCGGCTCGGCGGGTTTTGAGGAAAAAACCTAAGAAATGTTTTCTAATTGCAGATCGGACTTTGCCGCAACCAATAGACCACTATTTCCTAGGCTTTTGGGAGGGGGAGGGTTTAGAGAGATAAAACTTAGAGAGAGAAGGAAGAATGGGTTGAAGGTGTGAAGAAATGAGAGGGGGAGGGGAGCTATTTATAGTTTTTCAGATCGCAGGCTCCAGGGGCGAGGCGGTAATTTTGCCCCGCGCGGATCGCATTCTCCCAATGCGTTTTCCGCTTCCCCAGGCGCAGATTGCACCCTCCCAATGCGGTTTGACTGACACCGGCGCGGATCGCATTGCTGGCGTGCGATCTGGGATCCAAGGCGCGGATCGCTCCGCTGGCGTGCGCTTAGCCGTTGGATCTGCTATCAATCCGACGATCTGGTGGATCGCAACGCGTCCTCCCCGAATCGCATCAGTCTGGTGCGTTTTATATTGTAGATTGCACCCCTCTGATGCGTTTTACGTGTAGATCGCATCTGTAAGGTGCGTTTTACATTAAAAACGCATCTTAGGGGTGCGTTCCAAAAAATAAGGTGCTATTAGTGGAATTTCTTTTACATAGGTGCTATTTTTGTAATTTTTTTTAAAGGTACTATTATTGGAAAAATCCCGAAAAGAGAGGTTTATAATAGAAAGACTATAAAAAAGAAACAGCGGGAGAAAGCCCAAACTGCCAAAGTTCAAAAGGATAAAAGGTAAAAGTGAAACTGAACGAAATCATGATGAGGGGAGAGATAAAGTACAGACGTGGAAGCATGAATGGGAAGAGAATTTAAATCGCTAAACGACAGTTTGGAAAAACGCTTATATGTACTTTTAGATCCTCACTATGATGACGTTGCAGCTTGTGTGAGAAAGAAGTTAAATGGAGCAGAGAGACATTAAAGATGAGGATTGTGAAAGTCCCCTGTTTTTTTTCATTCATTCAAGTTACTGATTTTGACGAATCCTTTCATTCAAAAAGAATATGTTTCTATTGTGACCTTTTGATTTCTCATTATTTCGAGTTCATCGCTCTTGTTGTCCAAGAAGGAACATTAATTCTAGAAACGAAAAAATTTAGAACGCATATATCTGTCTACATGTTATTGTTGTTGCCATCATCATCATCACTGTTCACACCTCGTTGTTTCAGGAACCACTCATTTGGATTTGGCTCCTCCATGGATTGATTGAATAATGAAAAAGCAATGAAAATGGTATCGGAAAGGCATAAACTTTCATGTCGTTCAGTTCAGTAGTCTGCAATCGTATTGCAATTGGATGCAGTTTCAAGATCGTTCATATAACAAAGGGAAACATACAGACTACCCTTCCGTGTTAAAACAGTGCCTTCCTCTTTGTTGCAAATGCAACAACCATCACGGCGACTCTCACTCAAGCACCTTAAAAAATGGGTGGAAACAATCAAACAATAGGAGAATTTTGTTCGAACCCAAGAACAAAAAACGAAGACTGCACATGTAGAAGCAATAACAGAGATTTGGAACAAACAAGAAAACCCAAATGCAGAATTCAATCAAAACGAAAATAGGAAGCAAATGATCTCCCATGAACCAAAACTTCACTTAAACAGTAGTAATCCTTGATATGAGAAGAATCTCACAGAAAGGCATGCCACTATGCACCTTGGGGTCACTCAAACTCATAATGCTACTGCTATGGTCAATTGCAGGTTTGGTTCCAATACCCCCAAATAAGCAACTAAAGCAAGTACCATTACTAAGAGTTTCTAAAGCAAGCTTGTCACAATTCCACAGTCAAAAACACACAATCACAACTGAAGTTACATGGGGCATAGAAAATAACTAAAAAGGTCGGTTCTGGATTGGGAATTCCCTTGTTACCAAGGTGGACCATCGGATCACCTTAAAGGGTATCCACCCATTCAAGGTCCAGATTCTGGAAATCATCCATTTCTAGACCATCAAGTGAGTCTTCTGCAACTGGTTCCGCTCCCTTCTCTTCAGATGTGCTCTGCTTAGCAGCTGCACTAGAAACTGGTAAATCAGAATCTGATTTATCAGCACCCACCGGTGTTCCTGCTGAAGAAGACACCAGGGTTAAGCCTGAGGTACCTCGTGACAAAGCAAATCTATTAGCAATAGCCTTTATCTCTGCTTCTGACAGTGAATCCATGGGAGCCTTAGGGAGTTCTGGCCGTCTATCACCTGGAAAATTGAAATTACCACACTCACCACGAACACAATACAGGGCAGCATCATATGCTCTAGCTGCCTTATCTGCTGAATCAAATGAGCCTAACCACAACCTTTTTCCCATTCTTGGAACACTAATTTCAGCAGCAAACTTTCCAACTGCCCTCGTACGAACACCCATGTAACCTCCTAGCTTTTTCCTCCTTCGAATAGTTTTCTTAGGAGCAGATGAACTGGAGGGGCCAGATTGATCCATAAGCAGAATGCGAACTAGAAAAAGTGTAGTCCTTGATTTATAGAGCTAAAGGGGAAGGTAAACAAATTTAATCAAGAGGATTGGCTGTCACCAGGTAAGCAATGGAGCTCATGCAAAACACAGGTGGAGATAAAACGACACAGCATGCACTGATATATGCTGCACGTGGACGCCGAGGTACCATGCAGTCAACATATAATCAAATGCTATTAGAAACCGAAAATTTAACCTCCTTTATAAGAAAAGCATTGAAAACAACTTGTCTGTTTCGTGGAAAAAAGATCACTTGCAGACATAAAGGCAATAGGAAAGGCCACCAGGAAGTTGACTAGAAAAAGAAAAAAACAGATTCATTTGGAAATCTAGTCAGCATATCATACAAAATGGGCTGTAAACTAAATCATGAGTCCCTCTTTTCCTCAAATTCAAGAACCAACAAGTCTCGTAAATGCTAATCAATTTTAAACCCAGACAACAATCCTCAACGGCAAGAAAATCTTCACCGTGAGCAAATCTGAGATTGTGTCACCTAAATGATTTTCTTTGAAGCCTTCTTGATGTCTTGGACATTATATATGGCCTGTTACCAAGAACAATGGCATGGTTCAATGGATGACCATGAATACTGTTGAACAAACCAAAACAGAAAGACAAAAGATGACTGAAGATCGGCAAATAATCTCAAAACACTCATAGAAAACCGAAAACGACGGAAGGAACGATGAGTCTTACTGTGCAGGTGAAGCCTGCTTCTGCGTGGCCCCACCTCGTGTATGAAAGAGAACTCCACTAAGGAAATTATGGAAATCAAAGAACCCACCTCAATCAAATACACTGAATTATGCACCCCATATCAGTTAGGATCCTCTGAGAACCAAATTTGCTAATGAACATACAATGTTTACTTAAATTGCTCTTGTCTTTAGTCCGAACAATTAAAAGCATTGAGATTTCAAGTTAACAAGCACAGGAGCAATATGTTTCCGCACAAAATGCACTCAGGTGACATTGAGAAACACCAGAACTAACTAAGCTCCATCCTTTTCATTGATTATGCTACATCTAAAGCCTAGTTAGGGAATTGTCTTTCAACTTCCCTTAGCCAGGGTGTGAGGCAGGCAACTTAGCAAAGAGATTGTTCGTTTTCTCACCTTAAGAGGTTGAAGACGCTGGAAGTTCAGATGAAGCTGTTGATGCAGTCTGATTAGCAGCAGAAGGAGGAACGTATATCCGTGCTTTCTTCAGAATGTCAGCAACAACCCAACGCTTATGCTTGCTCAATGGCCTCGAAGGATCCAATTTCACCTGGACACAAACAATTCCACAAAATTAGAACCCAAGTTACCCTCCATTTGCAGTTGTAATAGCAGAAACGAAAATTAAAAAGTACACCCTGGAGAAACAACAGCTCCACAACATAACTGATCGCATCCTTCTTCTCCCAATTAGATGGCAAATCCCTTTGATCCCAGTTAGTTTACAGAGGAAAAGTTACGTTCTTTCCGAGCAACAGCGTAAACTTTTTATACAAAATTGAGCTGGGAACGGGCTCACCGAGAACCATAAAATAGGAAATAAAAAGGGGGAAGAGCAATTACTCGGTCTCCAATGTTGCAGGCGTCTTTCTCGTCGTGGGCCATGAACTTGGAGGTACGTTTGACGTAGCGATTGTAGACCTTGTTGTGGAACAGTCTGTCGACGGCGACCACCACCGATTTCTGCATCTTGTTGGAAACGACGACTCCCACCACCGACTTCATCTCTTCAGCTTTCCCGGCTCCCTTTTGATTCCTACTTCTTCCGTTCCTTGCTCCGTCTGTTGCAGACCAGTGACTGTGAGGCCTTCGAAAACCCTAAACCTCGACCTCTCTCCCTGCAAAAATTCCGCTGGCTTCTCTCGGTGACACTGCTGCAGCTGCTGAGGCTGAGCTGAGAATGAGCTCGCTGCTGTTTCGATGATTCGCCGTTGTAAGAGATTGGGCCTATCTTCTTGTGAGTCAGGCCCAAATGGCTGGGCTCCGAAACCCGGGGCCTCGATAGGCCGCATAATCCGTGGTTGAGGGTGGACGCTCCCGCTTTTTTTAGAGAGGGAAAGCGCGATTTTAAAAGGATTCGCCAAAATTCACGAATTATGATTTGTTAGAGCGCAGATTCTGTTCAATAAATCTTCGCATTAATATTGAGTGAACTCTTCGGAACTCGAAAATCTTGAACTCTTAACTTGAACAAGAGTTACAAGCCCGCAACCATCGAAGGTCATCGTCTTTGTTGAGATTTGCAGCACAAACACTGAAAGAAGAACAGAAGTGTTTCAGCAAATAAAGATATTCTACCATTCTTAAGACCCTATCACTGTACAACATTTGGTGGGTTCGTGCAATTTGTGGACGGAGAGAGAAGAAAACTAGTCTTTTCTCCTTTGCATTAGCAACCTTTAGAATCACGGATTGAGAGCAAAGAAAACGGTACAATTTCAGAAAACTTGCTCACTTAACTAATGAGGCTTCGACTTCCATTTCTCAACTAAGCAATAAGGGTACAAAAATGGTTGGTTGGCCAAAATTCTTTTTTCGGGGACATGATTTGTGCACTGCAGTAAATCATAATACAACGTCGGGAGAAGCTATCAAAGCCGCAGCATTGTGTGTCTTCCTTGCTCGCCAATGCACAGCATTTGCCGTCTCTGACGTTCCCAGCTGCAACACAAATCAGCAAATATTCGTCAAGTATGGGGTAATGGTCGGCGCCAGTGCGGCTTAAACCAGGCAAGACCACATTTTCGATCAACTAAATTGCATGAACACTTGTATCTAGCAGCACCTGACCGCACACCCATAGCCAATCTAATTCAGCGCGGTTTTTCACCATGAAGATGCAATCTAAATGGGCAGAAGAAGAAAAATTATCTGGGGCCTTTTATATTTTTTAAACTGAACCAAAATGCTTGCATCGAGCCAGACCGATTGTTAGTATGGTGCAGACAAGGTTATGGTACATGTGTGCAGGTGCAGTTCAAGGTGGTTCAGGCCAAAACCGATGGCATTATGGAGGCATAAGTAATCCTAACTGCCAAGGGGGTTGTGCAGTAAAATTAAGTAGGAAACTGCTTGTCTAACAAAAAGGATTTGTGTACGATTTTGACCAAGTGATGAAAAGCGAAGCCAGCATTTACCTTAATTTCCATTGAATAGTAATCTCGCCACAAACTTGAGTCCTGGTCGTAAGTTGAGAGTGCAGATTCATACAACTTCCGAGCATTTACAAGGCATTGCTTGTCACCAAGAGAGGCAAGGTTCTGTTCCAATTCAATGCACTTTCTATACAAAGAAAGGTCTGGGTGAGGAAGGGCAAGAAATCTGCATATTAGCACAATGAAGGTTAGAGTTCACAAGGTTTTCACATGAGTAATTTGATTTGAATATGAAATGAACTTTTTGTGCAAATTGTGAAAGAGTTTTTAGAGACCCATAATCTAAAGCATATACCTCTCATATATTTTCCTAGCATCCTGGATCCCATCCTTGTGAAGGATAAAATTTACTACAGCAGAAGAGAGAGAGAACCCACAATCACTGCCACCACCTTTAGCTACTGCAGTAATAGACATGTCAACCAACTTATCACAGTAATCCTTTTCAAGAGCAAAAAACTTGAGTGCCTGCAGTCCAAGAAGAGTAAAAGGAGAAAAATGATTACAAAGAGAGAATAGTAGAACACGTCAATTTGTCACCTAGACACAAGTTTACAAGCATGTATCCCTATTCAATGTTATGTTTCCATGAGATGAATTAATGATCCAGAATATCTCTTTCAAGCAGTGAATTCTCTGATGTGTGAGTTCAGCAGTAGCTAACATAGACATTTAAATAATCATAAATTGGACGAAAAAAGTTAAGTCAGCAAAATGCAAAGATACAGAAGCATACCATGAGCCAAAGTTCCTCCGACTTTGACAGTGACACTTTACTCAATGCGTCTCTGACAAGAAAAAATATGGAATCCAAGCTGGCATTAGTTTGCGAAAGAACATCCCTGGTGAAATGTCTAATTTCCATGGAAGCCCTTAAGAGCCATAACTGGGATGAATATGAACGATCTCCTCTGCAAAGCTCTCCTGCCAGTTTTCGGGCTTCATCGAATCTTCCCAATTGCAAATATAATGAAGCATATTTGCAAGCTAGGTCCTCTGACATGCACCCTACTAGCTCAGCCTTCTCATATGCTGTCAAAAGGCGTGAAATCCAATCTTCTGTACAATCACACAACTGGGCGTTTCCATCTTTGGGAACAACAACATCCATCAAGAATTTTGTGTACAACTCAAACATAACAGAACAAGGCACAACTTCTAAAGCCTCTTCATATACCTGCAAACAGCAAATAACAGATATGATCTCTCGAAAGCAATGCATTTCTACAAATTGGAAGGCAAAACCCAATATGTGGAAGTTCTTAACTTTCGTTGATAATCAAGTGCGTAGAAATGTAGAATTACAGGGGATTTGTACCTTCACTGCCTTTTGTAGTAGCTTAAGCATGACATCATCGCTTATTCCCTCATCACTTTTAGAGTTCCTCAATTCAAGTCTAGCAAGCCATTCCCAATATTTGGGATCTTTTGAAAAGTCTCTTTTCATATCACTTAGGATCTGTTCGCGCAAGTCTTCTGAATGTGCCAAGTCTGTGGCTTCCAATATCTCGAGTAACCGTTCTCTAAGGCTAAAATTTAAAGGCAATGCTTCCACTGCGCCACTATACACTGCCTGGAGAATGTTCAGACCTTGCTCCTTAAATATATCTACTTTATCCTCAGACTCCTCATTGTCAGTGTTTGATCCATCGCCATTTTTTCTTTCCTCATCAAGTGACACGAATAAATCTTTGTTATCATCTCTCCACTCTTTTTCACCAGCATCTCCATCTTCACGAACCAGACTTCCCTTGCCTTCTCCAAGAGCAACCTTTCTTGCTTTCAACTTGTTGAGATATGTGAGCTCCATCCGGAGATATTCTACCCAGAGGTCCTCTGAAGTTGGGCAAACTCTCAAACCACTTTGCATAAGGGCACGAGCTGCTGCAACATTCAAATTATGGTCAAATTCCCATGCTGCAGCATAAATCCAAACACCTGGAACCTTTGGATGAAACCTAATTAGTTGAGCTAGGACCTGCACAGAAATAGGATTCAACATGAGCGCAGGAATGGCAGCCGCAACCAACAAAACACAATTTGTGAGCACAACCACTTGGTCTGATCTTTCCAAATATATATGGAGCTTTCACAATGTCAAATTGGAGAAACCAAAAATTAAAAGCAATTCTTTCCTTCCTCCAGTCTCTCACAATTAAGTTCTCTCTAGAAAGAGTTCAGAAATGAAAGTTAACATTGGAGCTCCAGTGATTTGCTCTCCTCCTAGTTCTACTATGCAAGCCAAACATAAAAAGAGAATCAGAGGTCCCATTTCAAACAACACCAAAATCAAATGACCATTTTCATCACATTCTCCATCGCTTACACAATGACGAGAAGAATCTTGAGTATCATGTCATCAAAGAACCAACCAAATAGGAACCACAGCCCCAAAAAGCTGAAATGACACATGTAATACCTTCTTCATTCTACCATTACTCCGCTCCCTACAAAACTCCAAATAACGAAGCCAGAGGTCGACATCTCCCTTGTATCTCAGCACGGCGAGGCGATAAATCTCCACTATCCTAGAAACTCCGGCGAAATCAGAGACCGAGAGTTTCACCCTCTTGTTACCCTTCTTCTTGTCGATGTCCCGGGACACGGATTTCTTGCGAAGGCGGCGAAGCGTATCGAGCTGGGTCTCGTAATCTATGTAGGCCAAGTAATCCTGCTTTAGAGGACTGGGGCGCTTCAATCTGTACTCGAACTTCCGCCTCTGCTTGACAATCTCGGCTATCTCGCGTCGGCTGAACAGTCCTCTACGTTCTAGGTCATCAAGCTCCTCGACCATGCGCTCCAGGCGGTACTGCACTGTGTCCGCCATTTTCGAAGTTCGGTGAGTCGACGCAGATAAACTCGGGAAGTGGGGTTGAAGGAGGAAGAAGAAGGTCTTGTGCAGAAAGGGGACAGACAGATTCGCTAGGGTTTAGCCAACGAGGGTTTTGGGTTGGCACAATGCTTTGTGAATTATGGGTTAATTACAAAAACTACTCACTAATCTCATCCAAAATCATTAACTTAAGGAGATCCAACGGCTGAAATTAATTACTCCGATCCAAGGGTTTTATAAGTACGGATTGGCGGGTAATCAAGATTCTCGAAACGAGACGCGATCCGCTTCCCTTATCTGTAAACCGTTATCCTTCTTCGTCTTTCTCCAGTTTCTCCTTTTCCCCCGTCACTGATCCATAGCGGTTTTCTTCAGCCTCTGCTTCAGTCCAAAGCCATAGTTCACAGCTTTGCTTCAGCCCATCCCTTTCCCCTCGTCTCACTGCTTGCTTGACTAGGCGTTTGGTGTTCTGGAATAGTTTAGAATTCCGCCTCTCTTCACTTCTTCCCATTTAATGACACTGATTCCCTCGCTCAGACACGAGAGTTTAAGGGCTTTGTGGAGCAGCCACTGGATATTGTTAAGGATTTTGATCTGAGCAAACAGTGCCATAAATAGAAAGAAGATGTGGGTTCCTTTCGTTATCGCTACCAGTACTTGATGACCACTTCATTGCTTTTATCCCAAAACTTAGGACTCATCAACCAAACTTCCTTTCGTCGGAATTCGCTTGCTTCCTCCAACTTCCTGCCCCGGAGGAGTCCTTTGGAGAGGAAGTATGGTGGGTTCGTCCCGAATTGCAAGGAGAATGGGAAGAGACAATCAAAGAAGACGAGGGGGAGGAGGAGGAGCTGGTGGCAGAGGTTTTTCTTCGACGATGAGGGAAATTGGCTGGGTTTGAAGGAAGATGATATGTTAGAGGATCAGGTGGCTGAAGAAGGTTCTTCGAGTGACGAGGTGGAGGAGAAGTTGTCGGAAGCGGAGAAATTCGATGCTTGGAAGAGGAGAGCTGAAGCGATTGTGGAGTTGAGGGAAGCCCAAGAGGACATGTTGAATGAGGAGAGCAGAAGATGGGAGGATTGGATTGTTGATGACGTGGGGAGTTCAAGTGATGGTTATTATGGCAATGGTTCTTGGTGGAGTCCACGGGAGCTCAATGGAAATGGCGGCGGCATTGGGAATAGGTCAGGGGGAGAAGAGTCGGAGTTTGATCCTAGTGACTTGGTGCCGCGGAACGATTTTGTTCAATCTGTTAAGGAAATGGTTCTGGGGAAGGACGATGAAGATTTGCTTTATGAAGATCGCGTTTTTCGATTTGCTTCTTTGAATTCAGTGAGTTAGAACTTACGTAGACAATTGTTTGAATGATTACTTGGCCTTGCTTTATGTCCATGTGGCCGATTTTGTGTTAGATTCTCATTGCATTTCGTTGAAGTGGCATTGGAAGCTTTTCTTTGAATGAGGCAATGTTAATTGATAAGAATACGTTTGCATGCCTTTCTTACACATTTTGTTTCAATGCTGTCTATGGAATTAGAGTCTTGAATTATGAACAAGATAAAGTTTCATTTTCCACTACTTAAGAGTGATTCCTTCTGTAAGAGTGCTGATGGTTTGCTGTCATATGTTATAATTTGTTATATCATAGGTTCGGTGCTAATTCATTCATGTTGTGCTTTTGGTGAATCCTAAATCTGAATATCAAATTCCTACTTTTCTTGTTACAGGCAAAATATTTGGCAGTACTGATTCTCATACCGTGGGTTCTTGACTTTGCGGTTCATGACTATGTTCTCATGCCCTTTCTGGACAGGTAATTTGTCAACCATTTCCAACGTACTGTTAATAGTTTTTCCCAGTGTGACAATCAAAATGTGCCAGCAGAGGCAATGATTTAATTTATGAGACTCTGCTGTATACACTGATTGAAACCAGCTTTTAGCATTAATCTGGATATATTAAAAACTGAGTTTAGCTAGGATCAAGTAACTACTGCATAATGTCCTCTGGATATGGATCAGCTATTTTTCCGAACTTAGTGAACTTGACATTCTGAATGCATGGTGTATTCCAAGTGTATTGAGATTTTCCCTGAACAGATATGTGAAGACTGTGCCACTTGCAGCAGAAATGCTTGATGTCAGAAAAGATCAAAAGCTTGAGATGGTGAAGGAACTGAGAAAGGAAAAAGCCAGATTGCGACTTGAGGTAGAGATGGGTGTAGCTCCACCACTTTCGGATGATGAAGTTTGGTTGGAGTTGCGTCACAAAGCGTGAGTTTTACTCATTCCATTTTTATTTCTGTTGTAGAGTGAAAATAACTGAAGACGTTTTGCAATATGAAATGTGGTTGTGTTCCACCAGTCTTAGCAAAGGTCCCGAATTCATCAATTGGCCTGAAGTTTGTCCCTCAATTTGTCATCAGTGATCTATCTCCAAATAATTTTTGAATTGACTCCAGAGTGCACTCTTTTTCCGTTGACAAAAGCGACTCTTATTAGCTGAGCTTTGCTATTTGAGCAGGTTAGAGTTACAAGATGAGTGGAAGTTAGAAAATCGTACCGCATTCGCAAACATATGGTCCGATATGGTATTTGGGATCTCATTGTTCTTGCTTTTGTACTTCAATCAGAATAAAGTGAGTACCTAAGCCCCTATCTCCGCATAAAGCCTTGTAGCTTAAAGTTGAATGTTTGGTGTGTATATTCCCTGTTCATTTTGGTTTATGTCCTTATCTCCCTTTAACATTTCATCGTCTATTATGTAATTTCTTAACTAGTTATCTATCATCTAACATTTAGTTGAACTCGACAACATCCACAATCAGAATGTAATGTTATCATTCATTCATTTCCTTCCATCTCAACTTTTAACTTTGGTTGTATTATCTCATGCAACTCCATCCTGCTAATCTCAGTCCTCTCTCATTTCCCGTTGTAGAGGCAAACAGAAGTTTGTTCTGTTTATCTAGATACTTTGAAGTTGAAATTTTTTTCGGTCCTTATGATCTCATGTAATGTAACTATTAAACGAGGGCATGTTTTTAGGCCTTAACTTTTTCTCCTTGGTGCAGGTAGCTTTGTTGAAGTTCACAGGATACAAAATACTTAATAATGTAACTGATACAGGGAAGGCATTTATGATTATACTCATCACAGATATTTTTTTAGGGTAATAATCTCCTACTCTCCAATGAACACTTCTTATTGGGATTTCACTTAGAATATTTGATTCATCTTAAGCAGAATCTTGTTGTTGAAATTTACAAAACAGCATCACTTGTTGACTGCGAAGACAATTTTACAAAATAGCTTAAAAAATTTATTCTCAACTCTATTCCTTTTCACCAAATGATTCCATGTTATTTGAGCTTTTTCCTCTATACTTACCTATCAACTGCTATTTTCACTTGCTCTTCATGACGCCTCCTCGCGTTTACTTAATCGTAAAACTAAAATTTTTGCATGATCTCTAACCACACCGTAATGAGTTCTTGTTTCTATGAAAAATAAACCCCCTCAGGTACCATTCGGAATCTGGCTGGGAGACGTTGTTGGAAGTATTTGTTGAGCACTATGGGCTTCAAGTTGATCCGTCCACTATCACCATTTTTGTCTGCTTTGTTCCTGTTGTCATTGATGCTTGTGTGAAGCTTTGGGTATGTTCTAATCTAGACTATTTTATCTTTTTATTCAATTGTTGTGATCACTTCATTGCCTGATGTTTGCAATTGTTTATTGTAGAAGTCATATGTAACAATCTTCTGCACTTTACAGTCTTCATATCAGTTGCCATTTGGTCCATTTATTATTCTCCATATTTTATGAACACAATAAATTAATTAGCTAGCTTTTAGCAGCACAAAATGGTTATCGTTGTGATTATAAATGCTTTCTTTTGTCCGAACTCCAGACTTTCGAAAGCAGAACAATGACCTGCATGGCCACATGCAAAAATGTGAAGAGAACCTGAATCTTAACTATACTAAGTTAGATAAAGTTTTTTACAGTTTTGTGGAGGGCTGGGTGGTCTCTTGGGCCAAAAGCGAGTTCTAAGAGGGAGGGAGGGAGGGAGCGGGCTCCCTCTCCCCCTTTTCTGGCCAAAAGCGAGTTCTAACGATGGAGGGATGGGATCGGGAGAAACTGCTTTTTAATCAATGATGAATTAATGCTTAACTTTAGTAGTTAACTGTTCTTAAGGAAATAAAGAGTTGTACATTGGAAGTAAGTATTGATCCAGAGTTATTTCCTATATTGGAAGATATTGTTGTGTTGCCTTCTGTTTTTTTTTTTTTTTTTTTGGTTCAAGATTGTTTTTCAATCCTTAGAAACAGAAAACTTCTTCTCTCACTGTTTGGGTAGCAGTGATGAGGATTCATCAACAAAAAACTAAATTTAGGGTTTCCTTTTTCCTACCAAAAGAATGAGCTGAAATTAGCCCTGCTTTTGTTGCTATAAAATAAAGCTACACAATACTTTCATCTAACAAGTAACAAGTCATATTCTACTTTCTAATCATCTTTCTTTTTCTAATGGCTTCTGCAAGAACATCTTTGATGATTACAATCATCTTTTTCACCCTTATTTTTCAATTTTTTCCACAAGCAACGGCTAGAGTGCCAACCCTAAGCTCTCCATCCAAATTAATTGAATAACTGTGCAAGAAAAGCAATAACTTCAACCTGTGTGCCCAAGTTCTGCAATCTTATCCTGAAGCATCATCAACAACTGACATAAAATCCTTAGCTAAAGTTGTCTTGAAAATGGCCAAGAAGCAATCAACAATCCTGGGCAACCTCTTTACTGAATTAGGGAACAGCAAAGCTACCAACCCATCAATCAGACCATCATTAGATCTATGTGCCTCCCAGTACAATGACGCAGCTATTTTTTTCTCCCCTGCTGGGTTAGGAGATGTGGTAAAAAGTTTGGAAATTCATTCTGCTTTAGATGATTCGGAAACTTGCCAAGCTGAATTAGCTACCAAAAGTGTCCACATTGAATCAATTGCACCTGAAATTCGGAAGTGGAAGGAACTTTATGCAGTTTCTAATTCTACCATACTATATGCTGAAGTTGTGTTCGGAGGCAAAGCTGCAGATGAACAAGAAGATTATTAATTCTTATTTTGAAACTCTTGTTGTCTTCAAAGAGTTGACAGGAATCTAAACACCTGAATTGTTGAGGCGTGAATCTCCACTATAACCGTCTTCTTAGTTGTTATCCTGGCAGTTGGCACAGAAAGTGTTGTATAAGTAAAAAAATTCATTACAGTTGTTATCTTCTACTAAAGAACGAGATATTTATTGCCTAATTTTTTTGAAAGTGGCTTCAACTTTGCCTGTTCTCATCATTGCCAAAACAAAACCTCTCTGAATCTCTGCCTCCGACTAATGCTGGTCTTTCTCTAGATTGAAGGGTTTCTTGCACAACCTTCTTAATTAGTCTATAGAATCTTTTATGTTGTGCCATGGAGGTTTAGGTTTTGAGCTTCTTCAAAGTCTGTTTCCTTCAGAATGACCGAGTTCGCTTCTGCTATGGATGTTTGACATTATTTCACTTATGATTTTGAAGAACTTTTTAGATTTATTCAAAATTGAAATATCATATTTATGTTCTTGTGTTTCATTTCCTATTGAGTCAACATTTTTCGGTATGAACGATGATCGGCTTCTTGGCAGTTCTTCTGCATCTGACCACATGGTGCTGGGTGGATAATGGGGTCAAGGTGTCTTAAACATATGCAATTATTAGGATCACATCCATTTGTGGTTGGTTTATTATGATGGGACAATTTGCAGCTAGAGTCAGTGAAGTAGTCATGAATATTTGTTGTTGGTTTGATCATTCTGTACGTTTAAGTAATTATATGGAAGTTGCTGCATGAAATGTAGTGTTCATCTGAGGCTCGCTCACTAAGGCAAAGAATTTAGATAACCTATTTGTATTGGTGAACAGTTATTTCTCATATTTATGGATAATCAAGTACCTTGCTTACACTAGAATGCCTGTGATTTGGACGAAATGATCCTTGTGCATTTTGATCGCTATAATCTAATATTTCTTAGGTGTTGTTGAGGAAGAACAATATAGTTTTGGGGTGATCCAGAAAATGAAAGGAAGATTTTGAACTAGAGTTATGGTTTACTGAAATATTACGTTTGAGATCATATACGTCATTAGGTATGTTCTTGGACAAAACATGCATCTATAACACTTGCCACTATGCAACTGATGGTTGCTTCCTTGCTTGCATTGGTTCCGGTCTCTTAGCGGTGGGTGTATATAGTTTCCTTTTTGGGTGCCTCAGGATTCGGAGTTTCAAGGATGAAGTTCTTAAATAAACCATTTGTCCAAATTAGATTCTCAGTAGGGTTGAGAATATGAGAGTTTTCCTTCTCATGCTATTGGTTTGTATATGATTGACTGACAAGTGCACCAACCATAGGAATAGATTAGTCCCAGCCATCGGGTAAAGTGCTTACCCATTTTTACTGCGGAAGTGGGAAACAGAATGGTCGGTTTTTTCCACTTTCTTATCAGGAACTATCTGCAGTTTCGTCCTAGCAACGAGACTGAAGAAACAGGTGAATGAGAATTGAATTGCATTAGATTGTCTGATGATAGATGGTAGAATGAACCATTTGCTTTTGCATGTGTTTGTTCCCAGCAGCACATCCTCTTCTCTGCTTTGAACTCATTACTATAAGTTCTTCATGAATGTGTTTTTTGTTGCTCTATTAATGTCAGCTACACAACCATTGTTTACAAAATTCAAATTGGTGCCTCCTCTCTTGCTGCAGATGTTCAAGTTCCTGCCAAGATTATCACCAAAGGTGGCGAACATATTTCAAGAAATGAAGCGTCACTAGAGAAAATGCACCCTCTGCAGAGAAATGATGCTGAACTGGAAACATGATCTGTTCTTTTGCTCTTTTACCTCATCAGGGTAGACAAGCTTGGTAATAAACAATCTACTGTACCACAATTCTTTGCCTTCACCGCAGCTACCAAGGTACATTGTTGGTTCATAGCATGTCCAGTTTTCTGCTATAGTATCTGCAGTACTGTAAAATGGATGAAACTGTTCTCAAGGGGGGAGTTCAAATAGTACATTACAAGGCCACTACAATTGTCCCAAATGGGATGTACAGAAACGTCATTATGATTTCTTCATACCCTTTTGGCTGATACTGCAGCTGCTTTTGTTTAGTGGGAGGTGTATCATTATACAAGTGACCTTCAAAGTTCCTGTTGTTTTGGGGATGTACGCGAAATAGAAAGAAGTTATGAATATGTGAAAACTGATGAAGTACCAAAGCCAACGAGAGAGTGACCGAACGGTAGAGTAGTTTACTTCTGATTTTGGGTATGAATCTTGACTATATTTTGATTAATGTTGTACTCCACGCAGATCTAACTTCCTATTCACTCATGGAATCCAAGCATTGCTATCTTTCGAGCATTGTTTAGGTTCGCTTGCAATGGGAGGATAAAATGGAGCACCTAACAGAACCAAATTCTTCCTCCATTTCCGTAACCAGAGAGCATTGAAATTTGAAAAGCTATAGGGTTGGGTTGGTCCTCTCCTGTCTCCTTTGTGGGCATCTCAAGCACAAACTTTCTGTGGTCCACATTGCGCCATCACAACTGTGGGATCGAATCTGTAGCCTGCTGTATGTGTATCTAGTTTTGAGTTCTAGTTTTTACCAGCTCAAAAACTGTTGAACTAAAGATTTGTACAAAAGGGTAAGTACAGTTTGTTAAAAATTCTGGGCAAATAGCAAACAGGTAAAATATGAACTGTGGTCCTCCTTTGTACTTTTGCTGTTTTACCCTCAAAGAATCCAAGATTAGAAAAAGATCAAACATAACCAATGCTAATATATACCTTATTCTGAAACACATTATGCAAATCTCACATCGACAAAAGCACACGAGAGATTCATAATTCATGAGTAAGAAATCGACTTTAACTAGCAAGATGCATTTTGGGGTGAAATGGAAAAATTATTGTAAGTACTCTCTAAAGTGCAACCTGCTTGTTGTGGAACAATGTAAGGATGGATAGTCTCTGACGAAGGCACATTGATATGCACCCCAAAGCAGACAATATTGTGGTCAGAAAAATGCTCGAGATGTTACAACTTACAAGTGATACGAGAGCCTCTCCGCGTCCCTCTTGGTCGATGGTGAGGCAACCCTCCTTGGCGGGGGAGGGGGGTGGGGTGGTATGTAACACGTTAGACAAATCTCGCATCGACAAAGCACATAAGAGATTCATGATTCATAAGTAAGAAACCGACATTAACTAACAAAACGTGTTTTGGGGGTGAAATGATAGAGTTATTCTAAGAACTACGAAATTAAACGTGCTCGTTGTGGAACAGCGCAAGGATAGATAACCTCTCGGATGTCACCTTGATATGCACCCCAAAGCGAAAATCATGTGGAGCTAGACCAAAGCGGACAATATCTTGGTAGGAAAAAGTTGTGTCGTGTTACATTATCCATTAATTACTTACTCTCTTTTCGATTTTGAACTTTCCTCTACTTATTCATCAAAACATTCAATCCGTCATTTTCAGGAAAAAAAAATTATATCCTTTCAAAATCATGGTTGTCATGTCGGGTGGTAGAATCGGGTTTAACTAGTACCAGTTACAAAATCATATGGAATCATGGAATGTCCCTGGTGCGAGTGACATGATCGATTTATGACATTTAAACAAAATGATACCATTTTGGTGAATTTAATTGATAACAAATAATTTTTTATTTGTTTCTTGAATTGAAAGTAAAATGTTGATGTTATTTATTTGAGTGAAGTATAAATTTTTGGATGTTGGCGTTCAATGTTGTATTTAAATATGAGATTTTTTTTATGAATATGAGATTTTTCACTTGGAATATTGTATTTTAGAGAAATTGGCTTCAACTATTTTCGTATGGCCTAAACTTTGACCAAAATAAACATCCTGGCCAATCTTTTTGATCTATAACATCCTGGCCCGAACTATACACCAAAATAAACAATTTGGCCAAACCCAATGTTTGACCGTTAACTTGGACGGTCAAACGCGTTGATTAACGGTCAATGCGCCACATCACTGCCAAGTCAGAAGATCGGATAAATAGTTAATTTTTTTGTTTTTTTATTTTTGGTTTAACTAAGGTATTAGATGATTTTTTTTAATTTATAATAATTTAAAATTAGGGAATGTGTGGAATTGTGAATTATTTTAAATATTTTATGCTGACTTGGCAGTGACATGGCGCTTTGACTAACGGTCAACGCGTTTGACCGTCCAAGTTAACGGTCAAAAGTCGGATCTGGCCAAATTGTTTATTTTGGTGTATAGTTCGGGCCAAGATGTTATAGATCGAAAAGATTGGCCAGGATGTTTATTTTGGTTAAAGTTCAGGCCATACGAAAATATTAACCTTTAATTAAATATGGATGTAAATTTTAGAGAAATTGGCTTCAACTATGTAATGTATATACAATATACATTACATATAGTCATTTAGTGTTAATGATTTTTCACTTCTTTATCTGTTTTTGCTAAAATCGACATGGACTCGGTAAACCGATTATACCACTAATTAGAGCACACCACTTGTCTAATTGTCAATTTGTCATAACGGTCTAAACCAGTTTTACAACTGGTTAATTGATTGCCCAACCGTTTTTGCAACAATATTAATTTCGTTTTTTACTATAAATAGCAACAGATGAACGGCCAAAGGGTGGTTTCTTTCTCTTCTGCTCTTCTCTCTCTCTTTCCACTTATGGCAGCAACTCCACTCGCCCGAGTCCACTCGCCCGCCACCCTCTTTGCTCGTTTTCAACTCGGTCCTGGGATTCTGAGTCGGCTCAGCACCTCCTCTGCTCTCGTTGAGCGAGTTGTAAGTTCCCTGCAACTCCATTTATACATTCATATGATCTGTCTGGGGGTGTGTTCATTCATTCATTCATTTCGTATGTGGAAAGCACAAGCAGAAACAGCCTTGAAAATGGTGGTGGGTCTTCCATTCCAATCCCTTATTGCTTCTCTCATGGGTTCCTGACATGGGTGCCTTGTGATGTGATCGAGCTACCAATTTCGTTTCTAGAAATAAGTTTTCTTTCTCTTAGCAGTATTTTTGAACTTTCGTCCAGCTAATCCGAAATTGTGTTTGGCTTTAGGGTGTTTGGCTGTGCAAAATTGTGTCCTATGGGTTCTGGTTGTTATTGCTTTTTCGTTTTCCTTTCTACCGGAATTTGTGTAACTTCACATTGGAGAAACCCTCTAGCTTCCTTTTCTCTGTCGGTTTGGGTGCATTATGTGGATGTAAAGAGTAGGAGGTAGAGATGAGGGTAACTAAAGGAGGAAGGTTAGGATGGGCCCTTTTATGGATGGAATTCAATGAATGATGGGGTACTGGTGCTTGGGCAGAATATTTTTTTTTTCTTGCCATTTGACATGTATGGGCATTCATGTGTGTATGTGTCCATGTCATGGAAAAGGAAATGATAATTGAGGCCTTTGTTAATCCCCCCATCTCAAAAGATATGTGGTTCCTTGAGAAGATAAGGAAAGGGGAAAGCAATATATGTGGTTTGGGATGGAACTTGGACTGGAGTCATAGATAGAAATGTTAATTGCCTTTCAACAAGTGAGTCTATTGGTCTAGATAACTGTCCATCTGATTGATAACATCGTTGACATCTCAAGGACTGTGTTACCATTTTGTGCCTCTGAGCAGTATAATTATAATAGAAACAAATAAACCAAGGTGGTATAAGAGCTCGCGTAGATGCTCAAATTTGTAGTAAGTAATGTCCTAAGGAGTTTTTGGCAAGAAGGGTTAGTCAAAGAAGTGTTTGTAGCTTTGAAGAGGAACTCACATCTATAGACTTGAAATTCAAAGATTCACACTGCTGCTTTCTACAAGTGCAGGACCAGTATAGAAACGTGTTGCATGGTCCAATTCCTAGACGAATGGAATACAAAGACTTAATGTATGAAAGGATGCCTGGTTGCTTTGTCGTTATTGTGGACTATGGAGCTTACAAGCCCATCTATCTACCCTACAATTTCGCTAGGGTTAGCTAGATCAAGTTCATCAATCCACTGGACATGTGGGTATATGAAGAATGCCAAGCTCGTTGGAGGAGAGCAATTAATAATTTTGAGTTGTAGTTGTTTGATAGTGAAGTGACAGAATTGATCACTCTGTCTATGGGGTCCCCCATGCTGTAAATGTGGCTTGACTTGTGGACTGAAATGCTTTTCTTTTACCTGTTGTTTTAAGGCCAGTAAATATTCATGACAAACCCTGTCTTGGGCAGCTTATTAGTTCTTACCACTTCCCTGGAATGATGAGAGTGTCAGTTGCTAGAGATCTGAACAGCTGTCTGATGGTTTGATACTGTTCAAATGGATGGGTTCTATTCTTAAATGAATAAAGGTTATGTTACTGGCCTGATTTCTTCGGAATATTTGTGGTAAAGATGATGATTATGGAGAACGTTGTTGTAGGAATTGTTGTACTTTTTCTTTCTTTCCAAACTTTTGGTGTGTTAAAATAGGAAGATGCTAGTTTCCCTTGAAATCTATGGTTCTGGTACAATTTCTAGCAGGAGTTCTGACTCAAGTGCTACTATTGATTGGGGAGGAGACGGTAAGAATCTGCTGTTAAAGTTTGGATTGTCGGATATGGTATATTCTTTACTGATGTGGTTCTGAATTCTTGTGGTGCTGTCTGAGTAGGATTCTGCTTGGATGGAGGCTGGTGGGTGATTTTATTGCCTGTGCTGCAGCGGTGAATTTGTGGCTGGTGGTGGGGGTATTGTGACCATTCGGGTGGCATGTGCTAAGTGTTATTGTCTTGGTCAAAATGGGAAGGGGGAAGATCCACATGAAGACACCTCTGACAAATTTAATTCCACTTGTTTGCTTGGTGGGAAAGTAGATTAATCATCTCGCCTGAAAGTGACATCCTTTTTTTCTGGGGCAAAGGACACTTTTTTTATTTCCTGTTGGTTTTCATCATCTTCATTTCTGTTGTACCTCGAGCCCTCTTTAAAAATTAGACGGAGAGAGGTTGGTAATCTGTTTTCCTTGAAGGGGACATCAGAAGTTTCTCCTGAAACCTGTTGTATCTCAATTCTCAACTCTGGGTTCTGGAAGAAGAAACAGCTGCAACCTAAAGGTTCGTGCTTTAAGTTATTCTCCACTTCCGTTAAGTTACTGGAGATGAAATTTACTCCGTATCCTGTTTTTCTTGTTGTCTATCTTGTACATGTAGAGTGAGGAAAAGCTTCCAACCTGCAAAGCATAACAATCAAGGGTCCTTCTGCATTCCAGCTTTCCTGACTTTTGCTACTTCATTCCAGCTTGCTGTAATTTGCTATTTTGAACTATGAATGCTTAGAATGGGAATGGAGTAGGTGTATTTGTGAAGACAACTGTAAATGCGTCATATTGAAAAGAACAACACTTTTTTCTCTCAATCTGTACCCACTACTTCTCTTGTTATGGAGTGGAACTTGAAGGCTGCATCTGATTGGGACTGGGATAACATAATTGGGTTCAGCTCTAAGGCATGTGGCACTCAGAAACAAGGGAAGCACTTCTTAACCCATGATGATGCTGAAGAAGGACTTACTGGGATGAATAGTGGATACATCTATTCACCTGGATGTGGTGGTGGTTTTTCAGGCTCTGATTCAGGACATGGCTCTTCATCCAAGAGCTCTGTGGAAGGACTTCCTGACCGTATCAGTAAGAACCATTTGAGCATTGTGGGAAATGTTGAGAGTGTTTCACCTGTGGATGCTGCTGCCGGTTCTGGGGAACACGTGATTGGTCTGAAGCTTGGTAAAAGGACGTATTTTGAAGATGTATGTACACCTGGAAACACCAAGTCATCGCCGTCCTCTTCTTCTGTGATTGCAAGCTCCTCTGTTGCTGCACCTAAGAGAACTAGGGCCTCTTGTCAGAGTTTACAGTCTCCATGCTGTCAAGTTGAAGGATGCAACCTTGACCTCAAGTCAGCGAAAGATTACCACCGGAGGCATAGAATATGTGAGAGCCACTCAAAGAGTCCCAAGGTCATTGTTGCTGGCCTGGAACGCCGGTTTTGCCAGCAGTGCAGTAGGTAAGTTTTCATGTCGACCTTCATTATTTAGCATTAACAATGCAGTTGCAGCAGCTACTTTGCCACTTCTTGACTTCTGAAGTATTAGACTTTACGTCCTCATTATATTAGGAAATAAAAAAAGGACTAGGACGACTTAAATCTCGTTCCGTCTATTTAGAAATTCCACCTCCAAATGACCCCTTATTTTTGTTTCGGTGCATGTTGATATGAGATTCTTCCTGATAAAACTGGTTCTAGGTTTCATGAGTTGTCAGAATTTGATGACAAGAAGCGAAGTTGTCGTAGACGTCTTTCTGATCACAATGCACGCCGTCGCAGGCCTCCGCCAGAGGCGCTCCAATTTGGTTCAACCTTGTCTACAACGGTATATGGTAATAATTCACAAAAGCTTTGGTTTGCTTCTAATCAAATTGTGTGATACTGTATGACAAGTTAGCTGGTAACTGTGAAACCTTCCTTTCTCCTGAATGAAGATCTTAGTAAAGTTGAAGTATCGATTGGAACAGAAGTTGGCTGTGTGTTCTAATGGCTCTCTGCCTTTTCTATTCTCCTCGTTTTGGCTTCCTACAGATAACAGAAGACAGATGAATGCTATGTTGAATAGGGTCGCTCTACCAGCAAAAAGTTTCACCTGGCCAACTAGCTTGGGTTATAAATTCGCCCAAGCAGGAGATTCTTTCCTTGGATATGTGAAGTCAGAAGGCATGCGTAGGCAGATGAGTGATTTGTCTAACGAGTTGAATGACTCAACATCTGCCTTACCAATGATCTCAGACAAGGGTCTGTCTTTCAAGGGCAGTTCATCTCAGATCTTTAGTCAAGGTTTGTTTCCTATTCATTACTGGATGGTGCTACCGCTGAGACTCAATCAGATCGTGATTTAATGATGGACTACTTCCCTTAACCTGACAACAATGTGTTGACGATACTGTACAGGTTTGGAGGGGCCTGCAGTGACTTGTGACCTAGAGATGAACCCTGATTTAGGGGGTGCTCTCTCTCTTCTGTCAACCAATTCCTCCTCCTGGGGTATGAATGAGCCTCCTGATTCAGCTCCTCTGGACCATCTGATGCTCGCCAACGAAACAAGCCTGGGCCAGACGATGATGCCTGCAGAACCGCAAAGTTGGTCACTCTCATCATCAGAAAATGCACCCATGGAGTCGCGGGGGAACTTGTTTGATTTACAAGACAATGAAAGCATCAGTTTCCAGCAGTTTCAGCCGTTTAAAACGCCTCATCACTCCAACTGCTTCTACCCTGGTCAAATGAACTAAGCTGTTGGAAATGGTTTCTTGTCTTTCGTCATAACCTTAATGCTAGCTGAGGTCAGTATGCTGATCCATGCTATGGATTTTACGCATTTTAATGACTGTGTACTACCTTATTGGCAAATGCGGTTTCAGTCTCGCAAGCTGTTGACATGATTGGTTCAGATATCTTGCATCAATAACATTTCAGTTCATGTGAAGCAGTAGTTACGAAATGCTCCCGAAGCGAGTTGGTCATTTGGCTTAATCCATGGTTACTCTATTCATGCCGTTCCCTAACGTTGGAGGGTTCCATCTGTATGTATTTTCAGGTATTGTCAAGCAAGCAAGATGGATCAGCTTCAATCTACAAAGGGAAGAGAAGGTGATGTGACTGCAAAACTTGGTTAAGCAAGTTTCCGTCAGCAGGCCACAAACCCTAGCCCTATTTCCCCACTCCTCACCCCTACTGAATTGTTGTTTGCTGGTGGGATCGGTTTCCCATTCTATGAAAACGTTTTGTTGGATTCACCTTTTGATAATGGGATGGCAATTAGTTTCTCATGTTTCCCTCAATCAATACTAATCAAATGAGGAAGGTTTACGGGTAAATTGCAAGGTTGCTCATTGGAAGTTCTAAAAAATTCACGTTTGGTCATCACGTTTGGTCATCAAAAGTATTTTATTCCTTTCCTGGTCATTGAAGTGGTTAAACGTTTCACGTTTGGTCACTCTCCGTCAGTCTCAGTTAACACAATCAATTTTTTGTTGATGTAGCTAATGGAAGTGTCCAGTCAACATATTTTAACCCAAAAAAATTTATACTCAACCCGCCACATCATCAAAACTAACTCAACCCATTAACTCAATCTGTGACCCGACCCGTAACCCGCTCCCCTTTCTTCTCCGCTGAACGAAACATCGACCGCTCCCCTCAGTTAGTTGGTCCCCTACTCCTTCAACATTGGTACCTCTCTCTCATAGGTTCCGTCAAATCGAAGATGAGACCTTCCACCACCTCTGTCGCTTTCTCATTCAAAGTCATCGTCGCTTTCTCAATAAGAGCTTTTGTCACATACAGCGACAGATCTAACATTTAATAGAGTGAAAACGCAGTAATTGACTGAGAAGAGACTCCCACCGATTCCGGATCTGTTCACTTTTCTGCACGCAGCAACAAGCCGCCATCGCCGTCAGTGGTGGACCCAAGGCAAGGGAGGGTGTGTCGTCCGACACACCCTTGCCCGAGAATTTTGTGAAGGACCTACATATTTTCGGTACAAAAATTTTAAGTTCTGGACTTCCGACAACTCTTCGATAATTATAGCCGACACACCTTCATTAGACTGAAAATTTTTTATTATTTAAATGAATCAATCTTAAATTCTAATTAACAAAATTCATTTTTAATTTGTTTAAAATAACTCATAATCATATCAATTGCTATTAAAAATACCCACAGGCCCTACCAATATACATGTGTGCTGGGATGGGTCCTTTCATTAATGGAGAAACAAAAAAATTACCAAAGCCCAAGCGGCAACTGTCGAGACTCACCAGAATACTTGCTTTTGAAGTTGGTATGACTTTATATGTTGAATTGCAAGCTGCGAAAGAGCATTTTCAGCTATGAAGATAATCAAGAACGATCTTCGATATCCGTTGGGTGACAAATTTATGAATGATTGTTGTGTATATTTGAAAAAGATTTGCTTTGCAGCATAAGTGATGAATGTATTTTAGAGACATTTAAGTAGATGAAAAGTCATTTTGATTCGTTGTAAACATGACATTGTGAACTTTATAAATTAATTTCTAATAATTTTTAATTAATTTTTATTTTTATTTTTAATTTTTATCGGCGACACACCTCTCCGATAATCCTGGGTCCGCCACTGATCGTCATCGCCTCGAGACCCTTCTGCTTCCTCTGTGTTCTTTGTCAGCTGCTTCGTCGGAATCAAACGACCTCCATTACCGAGGCATAGCTTTGAATCAGAGTTGAAGTCAATGGAACTCTCGGCAGGAAAATATTCAGGCGAGCGCTCTTGCCAATTTCCTTTGCGATTAGGGAGCCACTAGTCGAAGGCAAGTCCGGGAATGAGAGAGAGATGGTCGAAGGAGGTACTGATTTTTAAGGACTAGGAGACTGACCAAATGAGGGGAGCAGCCAACGCTTCGTTCAACAGAGAAGAAAGGGGAGTGGATTACGGGTCGGGACAGGGTTGAGGTTATAGCTTGGGTTGGTTTTGATGACGTGGTGGGCTGAGTATACACTTTTTTGGGTTAAAATATGCTGATTGGGCACTTCTGTTAGCCCATCAGCAAAAAATTGACGATGTTAACGGAGGCTAACAGAGAGTCCAAACGTGAAACGTTAACCACTTTCAATGACCAAGAATGGAATAAAATACTTTTAGTGACCAAGCATGAATTTTTCAGAGCTTTCAGTGACCAACCTTGCAATTTACCTGAAGGTTTACTCATCAAAATTTACTAATCGACTCGTGATTCCTGAACGCTTATGTGCCATCCCTTGTATCATTACTAGTCGGCTCCTTATAGGTTACTAATTATTGTCTGCGGATGTCATGTCAAGTTAAATTTAGGGTTAATATCTTAGTTCGGCCCGAACTATACACAAATTACTAGTCGACTCCTTGTAGGTTACTAATAATTGTCTGCGGATGTCATGTCAAGTTAAATTTAGGGTTAATACCTTAGTTCGGTCCGAACTATACACAAACTTTCTATTTTGGCTCGTGATTTTGGAAATTGCTCTTCTGGCCTGAACTTTGTACCATACTTCCTTATTTGGCCCAGAGGCGGATTTGACCGTTAAATTGGACGGTCAATAGAGTTGACTGTTAGTCAATGGCTAGCTCACTTAGCCACGTCAGCGAGCAGGAATATAATAAATTTATTTTTTGAATTTCTGTATCTTTTTCCTTTCTTATAATAACATTAATAAACAAAAATAAATAAATAAAAAAATCCCCCAATATATCACCTCCCCTCCCCTGCGCCTCCACCAAAAACCCCAAATGGTCACACTCGTCACACACCCACCGCGAGGTGTAGGATCGCAGTGGTGATGGCGAAGATCACGATGTCGACGTCGATCTCTAGATAGTTCGGCCCCCTGTGGTAATTGCATGTGAGTGCCTTCCCCAGCAGGCACGCGCTGTGATTCCCCACCTTCTTCACTATCCGATGCACGATCTTGAACTGTTGGTTCCGGTACTCATCGTCGTCGTTGACGAAATTGTGGAACAGGCTCCCGTGGAGGAGCTGATCTGGGAAGGCGAAGTAGAAAACGACGTTCTGCGGCTCCTGCCCAGGGACCTGGAGGTTCACGGCGAGGACGAAGGAGGTAGTCACCGCCGGGGGTGGAGAAGGTAGTCGTCGCCGCAGGATTTCTGTTTCTTGATGATGTAGTTGGTGGAGCGGAAGGAGAAGAGGTTACCTGGGTAGGGATGGCAATCAAACCCATGGCCGCGGGTATCCGACCGCCCCCGACCCAGTCAACGCGGGGAATCCCCGCTTTGACCGGGTATGGGGCGGGTATGGGTAAAACCCGCAAAAAGTTTGATGGGTATGGGGCGGGTATGGTTTTAGCCTCCCCCGCCCCATACCCATCCCCATACCCGCCCCACTAAGATAATTTCTTCATATACAAAAAAATATGTGTATCAAATTATAATCTATCAATGATGATGAGGATAACTTGAGAAAATAAATAGTAGAAATGCAATTGAGTGACCACCTTAATCAAAATCTAATTCATTTCTCTCAATTCTCATTTCACTCTTTCACTTTCCCCCCTTGTCAACAACATTATGTTAGTTAATTATTATTTAGTAGATGTATCAGAGTTAGAACATAATAATTTGAAAAATATTATACTCTATATTATGTATTAATGGATATTTTAGGATCATAATCTTTGAACCCTATTAAAAAAATGATCGTGTTTTGTTGACTTCATGATATAATATGTTCGTTTAGAGTTATAATTAGAACTTTTCTTGTAAGTTTTAGGTATAATAATGTTGGATGTACGGGTATGGGTATTACCCATGGGTACCCGAAACCCACGGGTATGGGGATGGGTTTGCAAAACATTACCCCGCATGGGTATGGGGCGGGTATGGGTTTGGATATTTGAAGATGGGTATGGGGATGGTTTAAGCAAACCCGCCCCATTGTCATCCCTATACCTGGGGGTGAAGCCCAGCCGTTGGTCCGATCTCGAGGTTCACGTGGGCGGAGGGATCCGCCATTGATTGACTCAGAGATCCAATCGAAGGTTGTCGAGCTGGTGGTCGTGGCGGCGTCGTTTTTGGCGTTGGATTTGTGAGCGGCGGAGGGCGAGCTCCGGTGGTTCTGTAGGGTTGGGGATATGGTGGACGGTGGTTACTCTTTTCAATTTTGCGGGGTGAAGACGGATGCGAGTTGAGGGGATTTATTTGGGGGCTTTTAATTTTTTTTTCATTTATTATTATTATTATTATAAGAAAGGGGGAAAATACAGAATATAAAAAAATAAATTTTTTATTTCCCTACTCGCTTACGTGGATAAGTGATCTGGTCATTCTAACGGTCAACTCTGTTGACCATCCAATTTAAAGGTTAATCCCTCCTCTAGGCCAAATAAGGAGTATGGTACATAGTTCAGGTCAGAAGAGCAATTTCCGAAACCACAGGCCAAAGTAGAAAGTTTGTGTATAAATCGGGCCAAACTAAGGTATTTTTTTTATAATGGTGAATGATTAAATTAATGCACTGAAGCCTAGACCAAAAACTTTTTTGAAGGTTAAAATGTATAATACTTAGAATTCGTTTCACTGTTACGACGACAAGGAGGCTCTCTAAGCACATAAAATAGATTTTGTTGTTGTTGATAATGGTGATAAAAAGATAAACCATGGACCAGGAAACCGGATCGTACCGGCCGGTAAAATCGGAAACCCGACCAGGAACGATACGGTAGGCTGGTTGTGGGAAGAATACCGTGTCGGTCGGTTTTTCCGGCTTAACCGGTACAAAACAAAAATCCGCCCAGTTTTGGTCTAACTGGCGTTAAGCTGTAGGAACAAAAACTACATCGTTTTGGCACATAAAATAGTAAAAAAAAAAAAACGGCCAAAGGCTAAAAACACAAAAACCCTAATCTATCGAAAATCTGGAGCCGCTTTCGTTTTCTGCGTTCTTTCTTCTCCAGCCGTCCAGCGAAAAACTGCCTCACCGCTCCTCTTCTCCTCTGGCCGCTGGCGACTGGCGGCCTGCAACCGGCGACCCCCGATTAGCGAAAGTAACTCGTGACCAGCGATCCTTCTCCGCCGCTCTGCCGTTCATCTTCTCTGGCGAGTGGTGACTGACGAAAGATCAAGCAGATCCGCCGCTCCGCCATGCTACTCAGCTCCACAGCTGCGCCTTACCATTAAATGTAGATGAGAGGGAGGATTTATAGTTTACTCAATGGTTGGTGGAGCATTTAAGGCTTCAATAATAATACGTCTAGTAGTCATATCAATGCAATCAAATGCAGTCAAAGTTATAAATCCTAGAAATGTCTAGGATCTTGTTCCACAATGTTTTCTAATAATAATTAATCACAACCAATCATCTAATGCTCAAACAATGACTAACAGAAATTGATGGATTGAAATTTTTTAATTTTAGGGTTTTCGAGATGCATCATAGGGTACAACATAATTTAAATGACAAGAAAATAAAAATGCACATAAGAAAGCTAATCCTCGATGATCATGCATTTTAATCTCAATAATGATAAGCAACGATGCAACTTCTATCATGTATCCCTATTACTTCAACTAAGGTCATCCTACTCGAGTTTTAACCACATGCAATAGGAATTATGACTAGCTAATGCATGCTTTCACTTCATGTCACTAGACTAATCAATCAAGGAAGGAAGTATGGATAGCACATTAAGTATTTAGGGCCTCTAAGAACCATAACAATCGTCTATAGCATTGGTGATCTATAAAGCATTGCACATAGTCGAGTATATATGGTTGATCGTACCCATTCCATACACACCTAAGACAATGACATATCACATAAGTTGATCGTACCCATTCCATAAACACTGTAATAGCAGAAAATAGATGATTAAGGCATCACATGATTAAAGCATTATAAAACTAAGACATTTGAGTGACATAAGTATCACATGACATAGACATCTAATGGTACAAGCATCACATGACTAAGGTATTTAATGGTATAAGCATCAAAATACATAGATAAATCATGACTAGAACATCTCATTATATCATAAAAACAAGCTGTTATAAGCATCAATATAATTCACATCCTTCACAACGAATTTGAATTAACAATACACATAAAAGAAAGATGGTGCCACCATTGTCCATTGATGATGAAGACATGTGCTTAGCTGCATCCTCTTATAAATGCTAATTCAACCTCCCCTCAGCAGAGTGGCTCTTTGGTCGAGTGCTACATAGTCATTTTAGTGATTGTTTGGTCGAGTTCTACATAGTGATTTTAGTGGTTAGTGGGCCTTTTCCTCCTAAAACAAGGCTGAAGGCTTCCTGATACCATTAGAATTCAAATCGTCTAACTTGAGGACAAAGCAAGACTTATTCTCAAAATTCATTGGGCTTGGACTAGTGGCGGCCGAGCGGTGGTTGAGGCCGCCGTGGGTTTTCTTCCCCCGTTGGGTTGTTTGGCGCAGAAGTAACTCCTCCCATGAAATCTAGAGGACTCCTCTTGGGTTTTTATGACGACTTCATGAAGGATCCCCTTCGATTTGGCCTCGTTTATTTGACGAATCACCTTGATCTTCTAGTAATCGTTCCTCTTGATCCTTCAATCTGATCCACTTGGCGATCCAAGTCATCCTAGAATTGTTTGATCTTGAAAAGCACGAAAGGATACAAAAAGGAATAAAATTATACAAAAACACACAATAGATCTTTTAAAGCACATTATTGATCATATAGTCCTTATTTCTACCTAAAACATGACAAAATATACTAAAGATGTAGTGATAGAAGGAAAAAATGTATCAAATATGACAGTGATAAACACTATAATTTTAGTGTCATTTAAAGTGTATTAGGAACTTTACTTTTGGGAACTATGCCTTCAACTACATAATGTTCTGATAGTGCTGATTTTATGCCTTCGAGTGTATTTAGCACATACGCGTCGGGGACGTTGGCACTTGGCCGTATGCATGGCGCCAATGGTCTCTTCTTGGGCTTTGGTACCTTATGGGCTTCCTTTGATGGGATTTATTGACGAGGTGGGCCTTAGGTCAAATGGGCTTGTGCCTCACCCAATAACAACCAACCACCATATACACGTCACCATGTCAAAGCGATGGTTTGGATGGTAACCATGTTGTAAGGTTGGCAATGCAAGTCAATTAAAAATTGGATGACTACCATGATGATGGATGACACCATCAACTTAAGAATTGAATGATATCCATATTGACTGCCAACCATACACATGGATTTGGATGGTATCATTCACTTAAGAGTTGGATGGTATGTGTTAAAGTTAAGAAACGATGTGGTCTGGTCCACACCGGACCATAATACGGTCAATGGTCCAGATTGAGAAGTTGAAATAAAAATGTTGATATTGCTCATCGATTGATAAAAATTTCACCCGAACTCTTTCTGATAAATAGGATCAAGGTTCTCTAAGATTTTAGTTTGCATGCACTAGTATATAATTGATCACTTTTTAATTACAAAAATGATTAGAACAAAGTCGAGTGGAACTAGAGGTCATTCTAACAGGTGGCCAGGTTATCCACGCGGTTATTTGCAGTGTTTCGGAGTAGGTTTTGGAATTGAAATGTATAAAAAAACTTCAACTTATTTTGTTCGTTGAATTTGAAATTGTTTGAATTGACCGGGATAGCTCAACTGGTGGAGCAGAGGACTGAAAGTACTCGTGTCACCAGTTCAAATTTGGCTTACGGTCGTATTCGATTCAAATAATCTCTGTTCCAGAACTGTGCATGAAATATAAACCAGAGAGGCAGAGACCATACCAAATAAACCAGAGACCATACCAACTACTATACGATCTAGATCAGACCAAGCCTATGCGGTTTGGTTTATATACGGTCTAGACCATATTGAACAAATTATTGTACAATTTGTTTAATCAATCAAACGAAAAAATCGAACCAATAACTAATAATTTTTTTCTTCTTAAAACATAAATTCCAAAACACATGTATAATTTTGATATCTTAAATCAAATACATAATAAAAATACAAACTCGTTGTATAGACTCGACCTCTTTTCACTTGTTAAAGCAGTTCACCTGTCCAAAAATTCACCATAAAAAGTGGGAAATATTTTGGTGTAACTTTATACCCATGCTTTTCCAAGTCGTTTCCAATTAAAATCATTGCATTTTTTAAAGGATTTGTCAGAGACAAAATTACTGAGACGAAATTCTACTCCGATTTTGTCAGGACATGGATGTCTATGTAAATTAGGTCGAGATGAGTCAAGTTGAGGTGACTGACCCATTCAAAGTCGTCCAATTTAGCAATTTTCTCTTTGATGTGAATGCTGCAACGTAACTTATGGGATGGTAACCGTGTCCTTTTCGGTGGACTTTGTACCAATTTAACGGTTAAAGTGAGACATAGATTTTTAATTAGTGACACGAGTAATTTGAGTATTATGAAAAATTATGAAATATACAAATTGGACTTACAAACAGTACTATCTACATATACAAACTAGAACAACAAAACATAAAAATATATTTACAAACAATACAAAACATACGAACTATACAAACTATACAAACCATAAAAAATGAAACAAATAACGAGGTTGACTTTGGAGGCTCCATCTCCATATAGAGGGATTCCGTCCCAAAGTAAACTCGGTTATTTTTTGAACATACAAACATGTTGGACGAAAATTATAAACTAGACCAACAAACTATACAAAATGAAAAGAAAAAAAAACCGAATTGAGTTTGAAGGCTTCATCTCTATATAGATCGAAAAACTATACAAACATTTCATATTTCTCCCATGCAACAGTTACTCCAAAACGTCCCTGAGCAGTGAGCATATCGACTCATTTTCGTATTTGTCACTTCTTACTCGCTAGCTTAACGTACACACCCCGCAAGACCAATGCCACCTTAATTTATTCTTTGCTTTTTACTATTATGCCCTTCACAATTCATCCATTTATGTTTCAAGCAACAGTTAATTTATTCTTATACCATTTACTAACACACCCCTCGAGAGTTAACTTATATGGAATCAAAAATTGAAAATATTTGAATCATGTGTGCCTAATAAATGAGGTCACCAAGATTCAAACACAAGACATCTCGTTCAACTATTATCAATTAGAAGCGCCCTAATTTTCAATATCAATTAACTAATGTAACTAATTTAACCATTTTTCTTTCAAGCCAGAATGTATCCCAACACCCGCCTTATTAGACTCTTCTTCCGCCCCTGATTACACAGTTAAATTGACAAATTTCAGTAATGCCAACCAGTTTTGGCGATAGTACTTTACCTATGTAATGCTAACTGAATATACTATTTATTTTAAAAAATGGTATTGCACCGGTATGTAGGATGACAATGTGTCGGGTTTTGTCAAAATCAAATCCAAGTACGTAGGATGACAATGTGTCGGTTTTGTCAAAATCAAACCCAAATCCATGGGTTTATTCGTGAAAAAACCCCCGGGGTAAAATTCACTGGTTTTGAAAAACTCAAACCCAACTCAACCTGCTGGGTATCCGCGGGTTCATGGGTACCCATGGGTTTTTGTCGTAAAAATTTTACAATAACAAGTTCCTATCAAAATTAAAGTCAAATATCAATATCTTAATACAAATTATCCATATATAAAACAACATTCTAGAAAATTCAAGCAAATTACAATTTAACTATACAAATTGTTCAACACCAATGTAGAAAACTCAAGAAAATTGAAGCAAATCACAAATTATCCATAAATAACATGATTAATAGAAAACTTCTTTCTCCTTGTCAATTAAGTTTCTTCACTCTCCACTCGATACAATCAACTTCATTTTACACAATTAGAAAGAAAAAATTAGACATGTCTCCACAAACATAAATAAGATTAGTTGTTTAGAATATTAAATATACCAAGAAAATTAATTATATGGCTGTGGGCGGGTACCTATGAGGCGGGTTTACCTAAACCTAAACCCAACCCAATCCTATAAATATTAAACGAATTTAAACCCAAACCCGGCCCAAAACCCGTCAACATGAGTTTTACCCGCATTGATCGGGTTGGATAGGGTCGGTATCCGTGGGTTCGGGTTTTGTTGTCATCCCTACAACGGTACGCTATCAATTAAACAACGATTAGATCACTAAAACACCGCACAACTAACTTCTCTGATACGATTTTACTACTTTTTTTCCCCATCCAGTCCTCACAAGTCCAAAGCAAGCAACTATATATATATATAAATAAAGGGACTATCTTGATCCCAGTCATTAACCCACTAGCTGGCCAGTATTTCACAACTACTATACCAACCATGATTTCGTTGCTAATTATGGTGCTGTTAATCCAACACTGCTTCTTCTTCGCTTCCTTTACAACTACTGTTACTACTAGTGCTGGTAGCTATTACAATAATGATGAACATGATGCAGCAGCTCTCCTCCAACTGAAAACCCACATCCTCACCAACTCTTCTTCCGATCATCCTCTCTCCGGCAACTGGACCGCGGCGGCGGCATCCCAAGTCTGTAGCAGCTGGGTCGGCGTCTCATGCGGGCGTCGCCACAGGAGAGTGACCTCCTTGAATCTGTCCAACATGGGGCTGCAGGGGACTCTGCCTCCCCACCTCGGCAACCTATCCTTCTTGCTCTCCCTCGACCTCAGCGGCAATCTCTTCCATGGGAATTTGCCGATGGAGCTGTCTAAGTTGAGAAGATTGAAGATCATCAACTTTTCTAATAACCAGTTCGGAGGCAACATCCCACCGTCGCTTGGGGATCTTGGTGGTTTAAGGGTGCTGGATTTGGAGTACAACCGGCTTTCAGGCGGCATACCAACGTCAATCTTCAACATTTCTTCCCTGGAGAAATTGATATTGGCACATAATCGTTTGTCCGGAAGCCTACCCGATGATATGTGTATTCAGATTGGAAAAATCGAGGTGCTCAGTGTGTTTCGCAATGCTTTGACAGGACAAATTCCATCCCGATTGGGGCGTTGTGGCAATCTTCGGGGCCTGTCGTTCGCCGGTAATTGGTTTACCGGACCGATCCCAAAGAGTATCGGGAATTTGACTGCACTCAGATTTCTGTCCTTGGGGGAAACCAACTTAACAGGTATATACTACGAGTTGATTTGATTGGTGGGTTCATGGAGTGAGTGGTAAATGAATTCATATCGTTTATTAATTACTACGTAAATAAAATAAAGTAACGCTGAATGGTTTTATGTGGCAGGTGGGATACCATCTGAAATAGGCAACTTTAGGAGATTGGAGACACTTTGGCTGTGGCATGCTGGCCTTTCTGGTTCAATTCCATCTGCGATATTCAATGTCACTACTCTTCAAGACGTGGATCTGTCGAAAAATAAGTTATGAGTTTTGCCGGATGATTTGTTTTCTGGTGCACGGAGCCTCCAACAGTTGCGTTTGCTTGATAACCAACTGCACGGCGCGATTCCTACGAGTATTGGAGATTGTGCAAGGCTGCAGATTGTAGGGTTGTCTACTAACCAGTTCTCTGGAAGCATTCCAGCAACAATTGGGAATTGCACCATGCTCAGAGAATTATTTGTGGGCAAAACTAATTTGACAGGTATGCAAATATATTCGCACGTAAAATACACCACACCACTAGTTAGGGGTGGGCAAACGGTTCGGTAAACCCAAACCGAAATCGAATTAAACCGAACCAAAACCGAAATAATGCTATTTGGTTCGGAATTCGGAAGGAAAATATGGATATTTCGAAAATCAGGGTTATTTCAACCGAACCGAATTTCCGACCGAAATACTATAATTGCAACCTCCAAATGGTGGATTTTTATGTTTGTAGTTGTTTTTATACTTAAATATTTGAAATATTTTATGACTTATGTGTTGAAATATTTGATTTTATCATTGATGATGCATATAATTGCATATTTATTGTGTATATTAGGGGTGAAAAATAATTTAAAAGTGAGAAGATACAAGTAGCCTCATAAATTCGGTTTTGTGTAAAAAACCGAACCTAATTATAATTCGGTTTAAACCGACTGAACCGAATTATAATTCGGTTCAAATTCGGTTTGAGGTTTGGGAGACTTCGGGGACTCGGTATTCATAATTTCGGTTCGGTCGAAACAGAACCGACCGAGTGCCCACCCCTACGCCACGTACGTTGAGATTGGATAAGGGAAAATGGATTATTTATTTAGTTAAAATTTCATAACCGGACGGGATACTGAAGTGAAAAATGTTTATGGTTAGATTATTATAGAACTATTGAATATTCTTTAAAATAAAAATAATGTTTAATTATTAATATATTCATTGTCAGGTTTATCCGGTCAGAGCAGTTAACTAATTGAATCAATTACCGATCGAAATGTTCAAATAAGAACGGTTAATAGACTGATCCAAACTAGTTTGGTGCTCGAGTCCCAATTTTACCGGTCTAACCAATTGGTTCGGCTCGATTTTGTCAAATGTGGTCTTTTCTTATGAGGAAAATGTGGACTCTTACATATGAATATGCTAATCTTCAAGGTGTTATTGTGAGGTGTTGACTGATTACTAGAGGGTGGTTAGTCAAATGACTAATTTCATTCTAATTCTTAGTTCATTATTTAAGTGATACTCCATATCTAACGGTGAAAAACAGTTCTCATGTATTAATAAACTTAAAGGATAATTTCGGCATTTTAAATGTTTCACTATTTTTAGCCTTTTTCTCTCACCTCTACTTCCCTCTCTTCGAAAAAAATCCAGAATTGCTCCCCTTCTCTCTTCTCGAATTCACTTATATCTCCTAGACAATTCAACCACAATTTTCTATGAGCAAAACCCGACGACGACTTCAAAGGATTGCAGTTCATTTGTCACCGTCCCAATCAGTGGCGGACCCAGAAATTTTATATAGGGGTGTCCTTTTTTAAAAAATAAATTAAATATAAATAATTAATAAAAAATATTTAAATAAGAAATACTTTACTCATACAGTTTGAAAAAATTCACAATGTGTTTCATATTAAAAAATGATTGTAGAACACACTTGGGGTCTACACTATTAAAAAAAATTGTCTATGTATATCATATTAGACAATCATTCACGAACTGATCACATATGCAATTTCTAAACTTGTTCTTGATGTAATCCAAAGCTGAAAAAGACTCTTTCAATACTTGTTGTACAACCATAAATCAATACAAATTAAGGGTAGCTTGAAATTTGTTTAATTGTTAGATTTTAAAAATAATTAGAGATAGAGAATGATATTATACTATTACACAGTGTTTAAAATCGAATAACATATGAGTTGTAGCCTAATGAAAATTATGTTTATTAATAATAAAAGTGTCCTAGGTTTGAATTACTCAAACTACGACTTATATTCTCATACTCAAACTAAAAGATAAGAGTAGGATAATCACTTTCTAAAAATTTAGGGGTGTCCCCGACTATCAATTATAATTTTTTTGTCAATACGTAAATTACTACCGGGGGTTGGATAATCGTTTTCCCAAAATTTAGAGGTGTTCCCCCGTGGGTCCGCCCCTGGTCCCAACCAGTCAACCACTACTCCCTCCTCTCTCTCTATTCATTGTCTCTCTCTAGTGACAATCTATCGCCGCCACTGAACTGATCCTCCCTCTCTCCTGTGTTCACTATCTTTCGAGACTATAAAACCATCCACAATATGGGAGGAAGGAAAATGTGGAGAAATAGAGAAAAAATGAGTGTTTGGTCACAACGTGGGGTGGGGGAAAAGGGTAATTGGTTGAACACTTTTTTTGGTAAAATCAATCTAATTAGTTGATTTTATCACTTTATTTTTATATAATGATCATTATTTTTACATAGTTAGTGATAGTTAATTAATATGAACATTTTGATATATATTTTTTAATTTGGACATAAAAAAAATTCATCACTAATTAATGTAATTAATGACGAAATCATAATAATTTACACAAGAAAATTGTTACATTAATAATTGAACATAAACATAATTAAAAAGAAATAAAAACAAACAAACACTAAATCGTAAAAATAATAACAAAAAAAACAACTTAACGTGGGCCCACCTCCACCCCTGCATCCCCTTTTTGTCTTCTACAAGTGGATATTCCTTCCCATTTTTCTTCATTTCTCCATCTTCTACCATTTTCCCACCCACGTTGTGGGCTTCTTTCCCATTTTTTCTTTCCTTCCCCCTCCGACGATTCTCTCTCTTGACAGAGGAATGGAGGAAAAAAATGAGAAAGTTACAAAATAATGTTAACAAATCTGATTATAAACATTACAAAGTAAAGATAGAAAAATAATCGTAAAATATACAAATCATATTCATAAAATTATACAGACAAATATCATAATGTATACAAATCAAATCATAAGAGTATGATAAGAAAACGAGGTTATAGGACTAGTAGAGATTATGTACCTTACAGTTAGCAAAAACGACAAACAAACCAACAACTATCAATAAAAGTACCACCACTAGTTCACTACCACTACTTCTGTTACTACCGCACTAAACACTACCATCACCGCAACTACTTTGGCTAATTGATCAAAATGGTCACCAAGGTTTATCCCGATAATAAAAGGGTCACAAATGTTTAAAACATAACAAAAAATCACTCAAGTATTATGATATAACAAAATGAATTTCCTCCATATCTCCATCCAAAATATATTGCCTGCTAGCTTTGCTCCGGAGAAGATATAATTGTAGAGATAGGTTAGGTGTCTTCGGTGCACTCACTTTTTTGGGTGCATTCAGTGCACTCACTTCATAACCGTCATTATAAACATGCGATTTATGTCAAAATGATGTCAATCATCACTTCTGATGTGATGAACAATAACGCACATGAATTTGCACAAAAACCATTAAAAATTTACTTTAATTTGAAGGATTTAGGGTTTAGAGATTTAGGGTTAGGGTTTACGATTTGGGGTTTAGGGATAGAACTCAAAATTGGAGGTCTAGGGCTTAGGGATAGAACTCTAATTAGTTGTTCTCATATGTTATATCATCATATTAAACTAATTCTACAAATTAAAATTCAAAATTGGACACCTTAATACTAGTTTTTGAGTTGGGTGCACTGAACGCACTCATTTTTTGCGCACTGAACTCACTAACTGATAAATCTTCTTTTAAAATGGATGGTATACAGGTGAAATTCCCATTGAATTAGGTTATCTAAATGCTCTGGAAAAACTCGTCATGCGTGACAACAAGCTCAGTGGGTCAATCCCGAACACCATATTCAACATTTCCTCCTTAAAGGTGATAGAGTTTTCTTTCAATGAACTATCAGGAGATCTCCCAATAACTACATTGGGCTCACAACTTACCAATCTTGAATGGCTTGGTGTAAGCAGTAACAACCTCAGTGGAAGCATCCCACCATCAATCTCCAATGCCTCTAAGCTTTGGGTTCTGGAGCTATCTAACAACACATTCAGCGGTCGTGTTCCTGATGCCCTTAGCAATCTGCAATCTATCCAATGGTTTCACATATGGGGCAACAGAGATCTCGTTGTTCCTCCTTCCTTCCTCACTTCTCTGACGAGGTGCGCTCATCTGGAAGTACTAGACTTTTCATCCACTCTGTTTGAGGCTGCACTTCCAAGCTCCATAGGCAACCTCTCCTCGTCCATGGAACAGTTTGTAGCACTAAACTGCGGGTTGAAGGGCAACATTCCAGATGCAGTTGGTAACTTGAGCAACTTAGTGAGGCTCGAGCTCTCATCCAATCAATTAAGTGGATCCATTCCGCGAGCGATGCAACGATTGAGGATGCTCCAGGGTTTGAATCTTGCAGACAATGAGTTGCAGGGACCCATTCCCAATGACCTTTGTGAGTTGCAAGCATTAGTGGAGCTATCCTTGAGTGGCAACAACCTTTCTCAACAAATTCCAGGGTGCTTAGTCAAGCTGACTTCTCTGCAACTATTGTACTTGCAATTCAACAAGTTGGGCTCTGCGATACCTTCTTCATTTTGGAATCATAGCTCTTTGATAACATTGAGCATGGAGGGAAACTTTCTAACTGGTCATCTTCCTCCACAGATCAGCAACTTGAAAGCCATGGTTGAGATGCGCTTATCAAGGAATCGTTTGTCAGGTGACATTCCCGCAACTATTGGAGGTCTTACAAATTTACAATACTTGTATATGGATCAAAACAATTTCCAAGGCCCCATTCCTGATACTCTTGCCAGCATCTTCACTTTGAAATCCTTGGATCTCTCGTCCAATAATCTCTCCAGCGCTATCCCGAAATCCTTGGAGTCACTGAGGGATCTGCAATATTTCAATGTATCACATAATCAGTTATGGGGAGAAATACCCAGTAGAGGCGCGTTTGAACAACTTTCCTCGGATTCATTTAAGGGGAATCCTGCATTATGTGGGTTACCCAAGTTTGGAGTTCCGTCGTGTCCTCGACCCAGGGAAAAGAAACTTGGCCATAAGCACTCAAGAAAGTTACTTATTGCACTCATTCTCTTCCTAGTGGTTGTTGCTATTGCTGCTCTATTTGTGGTGATATTTTGTTGGCGGAAAAGGAAAGTAGATGAAAGAAGCAATGCGAGAGAAGAATCACCTTTGATTAAATGGAAACGAGTTTCCTTGCTTGAGCTTCAGAGAGCAACTAATGGATTTGATGATAGCAACTTGTTGGGAAAAGGAAGCTTTGGTCGTGTGTATAAAGGGGAGTTAGCAGACGGAACCGATGTAGCTGTGAAGGTGTTCAATGATTTGAAGGAAGAAGAAGCCAATGAGGTTACGATTGATGTTCATCACGAATGTGAGATTTTGTGCAATCTTCGCCACAGAAATCTGATCAAAATTGTTAGCACCTGTTACGCAATCGATTTCAAGGCATTAGTGCTGGAATTCATGCCAAATGGAAGCTTGGAGAAGTGGCTATATTCTCACAACTACTTCTTAGACATCTTACAGAGGTTGAACATTGTGATAGATGTTGCATCTGCTCTCGAATATCTCCATCACGGTTATTCGGTTTCTATTGTTCACTGTGATTTGAAGCCCGAGAACGTGTTGTTGGACGGAGATCTAGTTGCTCGTCTAAGTGATTTTGGCATTTCCAAGTTGCTAGGTGGCATTGATTCCATCACCCGGACATTAACGTTGGGCACAGTTGGATACATAGCACCAGGTGTGTTAAAAATACAAGATAAATTTATATGCAGAATATAGTATGCATACACTAATTGGTTTAGCGCTTTTGTGATTGCAGAATTCGGTGGGGAAGGAATTGTGTCGATAAAGAGCGACGTGTATAGTTTTGGTATTCTACTAATGGAAGTTTTCACGAGAAGGAAACCCACAGAAGAATCATTTGACGGGGGAAGGAACATGAAGCAATGGGTTACTACATTACTACCTACGAGAGTGACTGAGCTTGCCGATGCAAATTTGTTGACGGATGAAACAAGAATACACCTCACGACTAAAGTCGATTGCATATCATCAATTATGAAACTCGCATTAACATGTTGCATAGACACACCTGAAGACAGGATGGACATTAGTGATGTGCTTTCCAATCTTAAGAAGATAAAGTTACAAATCTCAAAGCCGAGACGCTTGGCTTGCGAATTTAAATAGATAGAGTGGATTCGTACTTATAGCTAGCGTTGAAGTTGAGATACTATTAAATTGGTGATGATATGTATAATGAAAATCTTGGATAGCTATGACTCACGTATTTCTTGCGTTGTATGTGTTGAAACTTTATATCAAAATTCTCGCTTGTAATACTGCAAATATAATGGACTTCTTTTTTTCTTTTTGAAATGCTTCTAAGTGTCTACCTGTTTGCAAGTGTTATATATGGTGGTGAGTTTTAACGTAGTTAAATATCAGCAACAAATAGAAGCGAAGTCGGGATTCCCATTCTCGCGGATGGGTGGGGGATTGAAATTGCACATTGTTATTATATAATTATGCCGCAAGCGATCAAAATTTTGGTTACTGTTCCTTACGAAAAAAATAGCACAACCGGATTACTATTCATTTAATAATTAAGCGATGTCCAAGGACCGCTATTTCACTGCAGTCACGTCTATTATTAGTTTTAACTTTTAACAACCAATCTCATTTTTAAACTACCAATCCTCCATTCCCTAAGCCACGCTGGGTAGAAAAAGATACTCTGCCAAAATATCAATTTCATTTTTTCTTTTCATTGATGAGAATTGAGGGTGATATAAGCAACTTTTCCTACAACTTTTTAGAAATTGTTTATTTCATGGTCATTATATTTCATCAAATACATAACAGAAAAAGATCAATGGTATTTACAAGTATGTAGTAACACTTTCGATTAATCTCGCATCTACAAAGTACGGGCGAGATTCATAGGTCATAAGAAACAATCTGATTTCATTGTATTGATTGAACAAAATGTATTATGAAAATTTATTGTAATGATTAAAACACTACACAAAACTTTTGGAGGGATAGTTATTTCATGATTAAGACACTATGTAAAGTTTATGAAGGGATAATCATTTCTTATATAGCGATTAGACAAACAAATTAAGTAAGTCTACGTAGTATAAGTTTGAATGAAAGTTTCTTTACTATTAACAAAACTGTTAATCTCATCAATGAAACGTACAAGTATGTAGTAACACTTTAGATAAATCTCACATTTACAAAGTACGTTCGAGATTCATAGGTCATAAGAAACAATTTAATTTCAATGTATTAATTGAGCAAAATGTATTACGGATTTTTTTTGTAATGATTAAGACAGTATCTAAAATTTATGAAGTGATATCCATTTCATGATTAAGATACTATGTAAAGTTTATGAGGGGATAATCATTTCTTATGTATCAGTTAAACACAAAATTAAATAAATCTAACGAAAGTTCCTTTAATATTAACAAACATATTGAGTAATTCTATCCTAATATAAGTTTGAGTGAAATTCCTTTACTATACACTATATTGTTGACCATCTGATCAATTTGCTATACGCAAAGGTTCTGTAAGGTTTTTTTTATATTACCGTTTAATCAATGTGATATTTTCATAACATATTTGTTTTAATATTAGTTAAAAAAATAATTCCATAAACCTTGTGGAGGTATCTATACAAAATATTTTGTTGATTATTTTCTTTAACTAAATCATTAAATGATAATCAGTTTTCTTGCGCAGCGAAGCGCGGGCCAAAAAACTAGTAAGAATTAATAGATAGATTTGTAAATTCTTATTATATGTAAATGTTTCGAATATTTTTGGTATATTGAATCAAGAAACTTACTGTACGCTTTGTAGCTATTATTATTTCCTCTGTGCAAGGTTTTTCTCACAAAATTGGACTTTTTTCCAATAATAAAAAAATTCTTTAAAATTCCCAATATTGCGATACCCTACAATTAATTATTAATCTAGCAATATTGGATATTGAAATTCCCAATATAGCTGAATTTTTGCTGACTTTGTGATGTGGTCGGAGGAATGTCGCCACTTTAACAAGCGAGACTCATTCAGGATAATGTTATTATTGTACATGAGATGTTGCATAACTTCAAGAATCGTGGATATGGTGATTGGGACATGATGGTGAAGTTGGATATGCGAAAAGCATATAACTTAGTAGACTGGGACGGGCTTGACTATGTTCTGCAGGCTTATGGGTTTTCGGATAAGTGGCGAGGCTGGATTCGAGCATGTACCAGGACAGTCAAGTTCTCCATTCTTCTTAATGGAAGCCCTACTGATTCTTTCTCTTCGTCCCGGGGCATTAGACAAGGTGATCCCATCTCTCCATTTCTGTTTATCCTTATGTCTAATGCTTTGTCTTTCTTGATTGAGAAAGGGGTTTCTCATGGTGATATTAGAGGCATCAAGCTCAACCAAAGCTGCCCAAGAATTTCTCACTGCTTGTTTGCGGATGACACAGTCATTTTCGGGAAAGCTAGTGTCATGGAAGCTGATCGAATTATGGATATCCGATATCATTAAGATTTATGGAGATACTACTGGACAAGAGATCAATGCTTCTAAGTCTTCTATCTTTTTCAGCAAGAATACCCCCCATGGGATTCGATCTTTGGTGAGTGCTAAGTTCTGGTTTCGGCCTTCGGTTTGCCACTATAAATACTTGGGAGTTCCATCTGAATGGGGTCGATCTAAAAAAGAAACATTTCTCTTCCTTCTGGAGCGTATGGAAAAACAAGGTGATTCTTGGAAAAGTCTCATGTTATCCCCCAGAGGCAAAGAAGTACTTTTAAAGGCAGTGATCCAGCTCTGCCGACCTACATCATGAGCGTCTTCTTGCTTCCTCTGAACTTAACGAACAAAATGGACTCGATTCTGAAACACTTTTTCTGGTCGGGTTCCATGAAAAAGAAGGCTATTCATTGGTTTGACGCAAGGGTGTTGGGAAAACATAAGGATGAAGGAGGGTTGGGTTTCAAGAACTTCCACCTTTTCAACCTTGCGCTTATTGGGAAACAGGTATGGCGGCTACTCGATAACCCTGATGCCTTGTGGGCCAAGCTTTTGAAGGGACTCTATTTTCCCAATGGTGACTTGCTTTCGACAGTTAAGGGGAGAAATAGTTCATGGATCTGGAATGGTTTTTGTGAGGCCAAGGAGCATATGAAGACGGGTTTGTAGAAAGGAATTATGTCAGGAGAGGATTCACTGTTCCATTGTGACCCTTGGTTGCCTTCCATTCAAAATTTCAGCTTAGCTCATCTGGAGTTGGAACCGTCGCGTGTCAGTGATTGGATTGATCAAAGTAATCGAAGCTGGAACATGAATGCAATAAGGAATCTTGTGCTGATGAGATTGCCCAAGCTACTGCTCGAGTTCCGATTGGCCCTTGTTTCTCGCAGGATAGGTGTATTTGGAGGTTTACGGACTCTGGTAGCTACAGTGTGAAGTCTGCCTACCGTTTGTTTTGGGAGGTGAGAGATTCGTCCCCTTCGACAGATGTGGTTCCCTCTTCACGACCTAACAAGGACGACTGGAAATGGCTTTGGGACCTTAACTTGCCCCCTAAGCTTCGGTTTTTCGTGTGGAAGTGTGGTAAGAATGCAATTGCAACACAGGCGAGGTTGTTTGAACGCAAGTGTGCTCTTATCCCTCTATGCCCGCTGTGTGATGAGAATGTTGAGACCGTTATGCACTGCTTGTTCCATTGCTCCAAGGCATGTGAGACTTGGTCTCGGCTTGGCATGGAGGATGTTTTCCCTGCTGCGGATTCCAGTTTTGCGGATTGGTTCTTCAATCTCAGGGAAAGGTCATCAACGGACCAGATTAACAAGATTGTGTGTACGATGTGGAATGTCTGGATTGCTCGTAATGGAATGGTCTTTGAAGGAAAGGTGTTATCCCCGCCTACTGTGGCAATTGTAGTTGATAGAGATTTTCAAAGGGTTAAGGAAGCTAGGACTCTGGGCACGGTTTCTCCTTCTTCCATATCAGTCGGTTTGCCTTCTCAGCCTGGGAGTTCTCGGTCGACGACCTTATCACCGCCTGGTCCTTTTAGTAAGGTTGTGCATTGTGATGGTTCCTTTGTTTCTGATGCACAGGTGGTAGCATATGGGATTGCTATTGCTAATTCCCACGTTCAGGTTATCGACGGGAAAGCTGAGAGATTCTTTTGTTCTTCTCCGATTCAAGCAGAAGCTTTTGCAATTCTTAATGCAATTATCTTTGCAGCCCTGGATCTAGTCCCAAGCCTTTGGTCATTGCAATGCCGGACAACTCTTGCCCGGGTTGTTTCCATTCTCTGTGTCTCTCCGTGGATCTTGGTTGAGTTTGTTCCCCGTCGATTCAATGCCTTTGCTGATTGGATTGCGAGAAACGCTCGTCTTGATCTCCTTCCTTCTGAATGGATTGTCATTGCTGATCTTGTCGATCCATTATTGTAATTGTATTGCTTCCCACTTGTGTGGGTTTGGAATGAAATGATGATTGATGTTGTTAAAAAAAATCCCTCTAGCGTTAGTACAAAGAGTGATATTACTAAACTCGCTAATCAAATCAGTGACATAATCACACAACATAACATGTCTATACATGACAACTGTTAATAATATTTTTTTTAAAATGTGTTCAGTGCTAATATTCATAAATTTGTTAAAAAAATGTTCACAATAGTTGTTAAAAATATTTACAACAACTGTTAACAATATTCACAACACTTATTAAGTGTATTCAACGTAAATACTCCAAAATATATTGTAAGAATGTCAAACATATTGTAACTGATAAGAATATGCCATGTGGTGTGTATGAATATGCCGGTCTATATATTAAAACACCTAAAAAAATGTGAATAATACATATCAAAGTCATTATATGCAAAAGGATAGTTTATTTACAAGTTCTCTTGAAAAACTATGTTTTGGGCCTCAAAAATAAAAAAAACATAACAAGAAAAGTGCTCGCGACATATTTTTCCAAATCCACATAAGCTAAATGTAAATTTTTAGAAAAAAAACAATATATATAGTCAGTTTGTCAAGTGATATATCCTTTATCATCTTCCCAAATGCCGATACTTGTTGACTACCGCTCTTTTCTTTCAAACGTATTGTAATACCCTATCTATTATAAACTATTTATGACAAAAAAAA